CGAATGTTTTCTTATCGGAGAAAACCAAATTCGGCAGTTTACCACTTTCGGCCAAGCGTAGCAACTCCTTAGCTCTTTTGAGTCTATTTTCTTTCTGTTGCGGTGTAAGTTCTTGCAATTTCAATGGCTTTACCCCGAGCTCATTTTCCAATATTTGCCAAATGGAATATTGCGATATGTTCAGCTCACAAGCCATTTTCGACCACTTCGACGCGTGTTTCGATCAAGTCGCTCTTTTACTTTTCGAACCATTTCTGCTGATGTTGCTATTTTCTTCCGTCCTTGACATCTGGCTAAGCTACCAGTATCACGGTAACGAGCGATGGTATGTGACACAAAAGATTTATTCACATTTAAATTCGGGAGTGCTCTAACGATAGCCACTTGTGGTTTTCCAGCCAAATATAAAAAATCACACTATCACGCTTGAATTCCCATCCATCACGAATAAGTTTCTGGAAAATTCTCAGCAAAATGCTTCTGTACGCTTATTTTTGCAGCTTTCCGACGAGTGGCTTAAAAATGACAGCAGTCTAAAATAGGTTGCAGTTTATTCATCTCACCCTGTATATCCAAAACTCCCTGTAGTCATGTTGTCAGAGGTTCTTCCAGTCTCACATTATATTAGTCTGAAAATGTTTTACTCATATCTTTTTTTCTCACACCATTGCTACGTCGAAAAAATGCGATTTGTCATTGTTGTATTTATTAATAACTTAAATCACATGCGATAAGAGATACACACTTTTTTTGCGGATAATAATTTAGCGCACACTTTTGCGTTTTTTTTTCTCCTCGTTTTGGCATTACATGCGGATTTCCAAAAAAAAAAAGTTCAGTGCAAATAAAACAAAGTATTTTTATTTTACAATCCATTCATGATGACATTGTAAAGATAAATCTCACTGTGATCTGGTTAAGTGTGGCAGAAATGAAAAATGTTAAAATGTCTTGAGGACCGATATTACAGTGAAGGGTTAATATTAGAGATTAGAAAAGGGATTGCAGCTAGGAAAAGAAAATTTAAATAGATTTCTGAAAGCAAATTTTTAATAGAAGAGGGGTCGTTATTTCTGTACAATATTAATTGGCTTTAGCACCTAAAAGTATGCTCTGTTCTAAAAACAGTGCAGTTTTGAAATATAGGTGGCGTTAGCATCACCAAAATGTTTCATTGTCTGAAAAGCATTGAACTTCTTTGAATTACGGACCAAATTCTGGTGCAAAAATTCATTTTGGAAAGTTGGTGTGAATGACAACAATATTCTACATAAAATTTCACCTTAGGTCACAGAACAAGAGAAATCAGTAGATAGAATATATTAGAGTTTTTTATCACTTTAAAAATGTTTACATAGACAATTTTTGAATAACTTTTTTATTGCGACAATCAATTTCGACACAAAATATCACCACATCGCTTGTATCTAGAAGGTTGATGTCAATGGAAAAGTTATTCTACGTCGAATTTCACTATGGGCTCCCAAACAAAAGAAATCGGTGAATACGACAAATAAGATGAATAAAGCGCCTCCAATATTTAAGTTTTTAATAAGGGAAATTTTTATTTGTTATAATTTATTTCTTTAAAAATTGTCATTTTCTCCTCTTCTCTCTCATTTTAGAGAGCTGATGTCAATGGAAAAAATATTCTACATCGAATTTTACTATGGGTTCCCAAACAAAAGAAATCGGTGAATGTGTCATTGACTACTAAAAAGACGAACCTAATATATAGGCGTTTCATAATAAACATGTTCTATTGATCATCATTAACATCCTTAAAAGTTGTCATTTTCTCCTCTTCTCGGTTATTTTAGGCAAATTATGTTAATGGAAAAAATGTTCTGCATTGAATTTCACTATGGGTCGCCAAATAAAAGAAATCGGTAAATATTGTATATATCACAATAAATGCGTATCCAATGAATGAGGTTTGTAATTAAGGGTATTTTTATTGATTGTCATTACTTTCCTTAAATATTTGCCATTTTCTCCCTTCCCATCCATTTTTAGAGAAATTATGACAGTGGAAAAAATATTCTGCATCGAATTTCACTATGGGTCCAAAAGTAAAATAAATCGGTAAATATGACACATACCACTAAAATGATGGATGGTTATTAATTAAGGGTATTTTTTATTGATTGACATTATTTATCATAAAATATTGTAATTTTCTCCTGTTTTCGTTTATTTTGGGGGGAGTATGTTAATGGAAAAAATATTCTTCATCGAATTTCACTATGGGTCCAAAAGTAAAAGAAATCGGTAAATATTACACATACATCTAAAAGGGCGCCCCCAATATTTAAGTTTTTAAAGTTTTATTTTTTGGTTACTTTTTTTAATATTGTCATTTTCTCGCTAATTATAGAGCGTTGATGTCAATGGAAAAAATATTCTGCATCGAATTTCACTATGGGTTCCCAAACAAAAGGAATCGGTGAATATGGTGTATACCACTAAAAAGATGGACCCAATGTATGGGGTTCGTAATTAAGGGTATTTTCATTGATTGTTATTTATTTTCTTTAAATATTTGTCATTTTCCTCTCCCAATTCATTTTAAAGAGATGATGTCAATGAAAAAAATATTCTACATTGAATTTCACTATGGGTCCCCAAACAAAAAAATTAAATATTGCGTATGCCCCTAAAAAGATGGACCCAATGTATGGGTTATTAATTAAGGGTATTTTTATTTATGGCATAATATTCCTTAAATATTTGTCATTTTCTTCTCTCCCATCTCATTTTAGAGAGATGATGTCAATGGAAAAAATATTTTACATCGAATTTCACTATGGGTCGCCAAACAAAAGGAATCGGTGTATATGGCACATACCACTAAAAAGATGGACCCAATATATGGGCTTTGTAACTAAGGATATTTTCATTGAAGGTAATTTTTTTCCTTAAATATTTGTCGTTTTCTCCTCTACCATTTCATTTTAGAGAGATGTTGTCAATGGAAAAAATATTCTGCATCGAATTTCACTATGGGTCGCCAAACAAAAGGAATCGTTGAATATGTCACATACCACTAAAAAAAATGAACCATATATATCGGGTTTGTGATTAAGGGTATTTTTTATTGATCGTCATTAGTTTCCTTAAATATTTGTCATTTTCTCCTCTACCATCTCATTTTAGACAGATGTTTTCAATGGAAAAAATATTCTTCATCGAATTTCACTATGGGTTGCCCAGCAAAATAAATCGTTAAATATGGAGTATACCACTAAAAAGATAGACCCAATGTATGGGGTTCGTAATTAAGGGTATTTTCATTGATTGTTATTATTTTCCTTAAATATTTGTCATTTTCTCCTCTCCCATCTCATTTTATAGAGATAATGTCAATGGAAAAAATATTCTTCATCAAATTTCACTATGGGTCGCCAAACAAAAGAAGTCGTTAAATATGGAGTATACCACTAAAAAGACGGATCCAAAGTATGGGTTATTAATTAAGGGTATTTTTATTGATTGTCATTGGTTTCCTTAAATATTTGTCATTTTCTCCTCTACCATCTCATTTTAGAGAGATGTTGTCAATGGAAAAACTACTCTACATCGAATTTCACTATGGGTCTCCGAACAAAAGAAATCGGCTAATATGGTAAATACTAGCAAAAATACGGGCACAATACGGACGTTAAATAAGGGACATTTTTATTATTCTCCTTATATGTCTTGACTTTTGTCATTTTCTCCCCTCTCATCACATTTTAGAGAAATTATGCCAATGGAAAAAATATTCTGCATCGAATTTCACTATGGGTCTCCAAACAAAAGATATCGCTGAATATGACACATAACACTAAGAACACCGAACCAATATCTGCGGTTATAATAAGAAACATTTGTTACTGATTATCAGTATGTTTCCTTAAATATTGCCATTTTCCCTCTTCTCGCTCATTTTACAGAGATGATGTCAATGTAAAAAATATTCTACATCGAATTTCACTATGGGTCTCCAAACAAAAGAAATCGCTAAATATGATACATACCCCTAAGAAGACAGAGCCAACATCAGCGGTTATAATAAGAAACATTTGTTACTGATTATCAGTATGTTTCCTTAAATATTGCCTTTTTTCCTCTTCTCACTCATTTTATAGAGATGATGCCAATGGAAAAAATATTCTACATCAAATTTCACTATGGGTCTCCAAACAATAGAAATCGGTAAATATAGCAGCTACCAGCCAAATCATGGCCCTAATGTCTGCAATTACAAAAATGGGAAATTATTACTATTATTTTTTTTAATATTCCTTCAATTTTGTCATTTTCCCCTCTTCCCTCTCATTTTAAAGACATGATGTCAATGGAAAAAAAAATACTCTTCATTGAATTTTACTATAGGTCTTCAAACATTTGAAATCTGCATATATAACATATACCATTGAAATTTCACTCCCAATGTGAGGGGGGTTCATTTCGTATAATATTTGATGTTTTTTTCTTCCTTCGTTTCTCAAAAACTGACATTTTCTCCCCTTGGATTTCATGTTTGCTGTATGGTGTTGAGGGCAAAAATATTTCTCATCTCATTCCACTAAGAGTCTTCTTTCAACAGAAATCTGTACATACCATATTTACCTGTGAAATATCCATATATATTCACTGATTCGGATTTATAAAAAAAATCTGTTTAATCTTTAAAATGATCTTCGCATAATTTTCATTCCCCTGCCTTTTGGATTGAACATAATTTTCCCTTTCCTTAACTACCCAGATTATTAACTTCCATCCAAAAAACTGGTCCCCTGTCTTTCCCCTCATTAATTACCCGTTTTACCGATAACTTCAATATCTTTTAATTATCGTATTTAGACTGAGTTCATGTCCACATACACACAACAATACATATATGTGTATTAAAATTTGTCCTCACATCAGAGTTTTCCCTAAGACGACTCAGAATAGTAAAAAAACAACAACAATAACATTGAGAGAAAATGTAAACAAATTTTAAGCAAAATTTTATTTCTGATAAAAACTAAGATTAGCAGCAGCAGAGGCAGCGGCGCCCAATAAAGGTTCTGCCCTCGAAGGCGAACCAGAAATTATAAAATGACATGGATTCTTGAGGGGAAAACATTTTGAAATAACAAAACGTGATTGAAGTGTCAAGACGGTCAATTTATCAAAAAAAATTATAGAAAATAACGAATAAAATCTTGGGTCCCCAAGGAAAGGAAGCAAAGTGACACTAAAATCCCAGGGATACCCAACCAAAGAAAACCCAAGAATCGAATAGCCTAATATGTGCAAAGAATTAATTAAGTTAAAATTAATATAAAATTAAAATAAAATAAAATTAAGTGTATCGAAAATTAAGCAAAAAACAAAAAAAAATCTCAAAAATGAATGCCAGCATCATAACCTCAACAATGGCATCGGCAGTGGTGTCAAATGGCAGCGGTGTCATCAGTGATATAAGCCAATTTGTATTCAACTCCGTGGACTATAGCGTTTTCGTATTTATGCTCTGCATATCGGCCGGTATTGGTGTCTATTTTGGGTTCTTCGCCAAGGGCGAGGATACCACCGAAGAATATCTGCATGGCGGCAAACAAATGAAAACCCTACCAATTGCCATATCATTGGTGGCCAGCCAGCTGTCGGGCATTTCGATAATGACCATACCCGCGGAAATGTATAGTTATGGTATAAATTGGTTTTTCAATGTCGTATCGATGGTCATTATTATACCGATTCTGCTATGGGTTGTCATTCCGGTGTTCTACAATAATAATATTTCCAATTGTTATGAGGTGTGTTTGAAAAAAAAAAAAAAACAAAAATTTTGAAAAGTGTAATTAAAAATAAACTCCATTTTTCGGAATAATTTTTTGCAGTATCTGGAAGTACGTTTCAATCGCAAGACACGTGAACTACAAACCATAGCCTTTATGGTAACCCTGTTCCTAATGTTGCCAGTTTTTATTTTTATACCCGCTTTGGCATTTTCTCAAGGTAAGTTTTCTGCTATAAATGTTGAAAATAGCGCAAATTGTTTCGAGACAATATGCAATGGAATTTTGTGAGGATTATTTGTTCCTTTGACATAAATTTTCCAAAATAATGTTCTGGCGGAGAATTTAGGAAAAACTGAAATTTTGCCAAAATTTGCCCAAAAAAACTTGACATTAAATATTTTCAAATTGTTAGCCATATTTCAGTGGCATATATTCTATGGGTAGATTTCTCTTCTTCAGCGACTTTTAGTGAAATTTTATGGAGATTATTTTCTCCATTGACACCAAACCTCTAACATTAAATATTGTGTGGTAATTTGACCAAAAATGAAATTGATACCAAATTAAACCCATGGAATATTTTCTCAAAATTCACTGCGATAAATCATTAACATATTCCAAAGCTATACATTTCTTTTCATTGGTGACTCATAGTGAAATACGATAAGGAATAATTTTTCCTTTAACACCAATTTTCTAAAATAATATTTTGTGGGAGAATTTGACCAAAACTGGAAAAAGGACAAAATTCGCCCAAAAACATTTCTACAACAAACTACATTAAACACATCAAAGTTGTTAACGTAATTACTGCGTAATATGTTATTATATACGATTGCATTACTTCAGCGACTTATAGTGAAATTTTATGAAGATTATTTTCTCCATTGACACCAACCCTCTAGCATTAAATATTGTGGGGGAATTTGTCCAAAAATGAAATTGATGCCAAATTAAACCCATAGAATATTTTCCCAAAACTCCGTGCGATATATCATTGATTTCTTACAAAGCTACACATTTCCTTTCTTTGGTGACTCATAGTGGAATATGATAAGGAATATTTTTTCCTTTGGCATCAACTTTCTAAAATAATTTTTTGTGGGAGAATTTGACCAAAACTGGAAAAAGGACAAAATTCGACCAAAAACATTTATACTACAAAGTACATAAAATATATCAAAGTTGATACCGTTATTACTGCGTTATATATTGTTATATACGATTGCATTTCTTCAGCGACTTATAGTGAAATTTTATGAAGATTATTTTCTCCATTGACACCAAACTTCTAACATTAAGTATTGTGTGGGAATTTGACCCAAAATGAAAATGATACCAAATTAAACCCATAGAATATTTTCCCAAGATTCCGTGCGATATATTATTGATATCTTTCAAAGCTATACATTTCTTTTCATTGGAGACTCATAGTGAAATATGATAAGGAAATTTTTTTTCTTTGCCACCAATTTTCTAAAATAATGTTTTGTGGGAGAATTTGACCAAAACTGGAAAAAGGACAAAATTCGACCAAAAACATTTATACAACAAACTACATTAAACACATTAAAGTTTTTACCGTTATTACAGTGTTATATATTATTATAAACGATTGCATTTGTTCAGCGACTTATAGTGAAATTTTATGGAGATTATTTCCTCCATTGACACCAACCCTCTAACATAAAGTATTGTGGGGAAATTTGACCAAAAATGCAATCGATACCAAATTAAGCCCATGTAATATTTTCCCAAAATTCCGTGCGATATATCATTGATTTCTTACAAAGCTATACATTCCCTTTCTTTGGAGACTCATAGTGAAATATGATACGGAATATTTTTTCCTTTGGCATCAACTTTCTAAAATAATTTTTTGTGTGAGAATTTGACCAAAAATGGAAAAAGTGCAAAAAATCGCCCAAAAACTTTTATACAAACAACTACATAAAATACATCAAATTTTATACCGAAATTATAGCGTTGTAAATTATATTTTGTGATTTCATTTGTTTAGCGACTTATAGTGAAATTTTATGGAGATTATTTTCTCCATTGACACCAACCCTCTAACATTAAGTATTGTGTGGCAATTCGACCAAAAATGCAATCGATATCAAATTAAACTCATAGAATATTTTCCCAAAACTCCGTGCGATATATCATTGATATCTTTCAGAGCTATACATTCCCTTTCTTAGGTGACTCATAGTGAAATTTGATAAGGAATATTTTTTCCTTTAACACCAATTTTCTAAAATAACGTTTTGTGGGAGAATTTGACCGAAACTGAAAAAATGACGAATTCGCCCAAAAACATTTACACAACAAACTGCATTAAACATATCAAAGTTGTTACCGTTATTACTGCGTTATATATTGTTATATACGATTGCATTTCTTCAGCGACTTATAGTGAAATTTTATGGAGATTATTTTCTCCATTTACACCAAACCTCTATCATAAAGTATTGTGGGGGAATTTGACCCAAAATGGAAATGATACCAAATTAAACCCATTAAATATTTTCCCACAATTCCATGCAATATATCGCTAATATCTTTCATAGCTATACATTTTCTTCCTTTAGTGACTCATAGTGAAATATGATAAGGAATATTTTTTCTTTAACACCAATTTTCTAAAATAACGTTCTGTGGGAGAATTTGACCAAACCTGAAAAGAGGACAAAATTCGACCAAAAACTTTTTTACAAACAGCTACATAAAATATATCAAATTTTATACCGTTATTATAGCGTTGTAAATTATATTTTGTGATTTCTGCTGTTCAGCGACTTATAGTGAAATTTTGTGGAGATTATTTTCTTCATTGACACCAACCCTCTAACATTAAGTATTCTTCGGTATTTTGTCCAAAAATCCAAATGATACCAAATTAAACCCATGGAATACAGAGTGAGATAAAAAAAACTGCAACAAAGTCAAACGCCATAATTTTTACATTTTTTCTAAAATTTTATTGAATGAAAGCAAAAAATGTCGGAAATAGCATCAAATTTTAGAATAAGTTTAGGTTTGTTCGAATTGGTCACCTTTGGCACGAATTATGGCCTTCAAATGACCAATGAAACCGTCAAATGCTGATCGAAAGTTGCTCTGGCCGTTCTCGGCGAAGCACTTGCTTGAGGTGATCGACACTTTGGTATTTTTAAGTGCCAACCTTGCTTTCCAAAATACTTCCGACACAATAGTCCAACGGATTGGTATCCGGAGATTTTGGTGGCCATTATGCACTGGAAATGAAGCGAGGAACATCAGTTTGTAAGCATTCTTGGGTAACGCGTGCTGAGTCCTGTTGGGATGTCCAAGTTCTGCGGGCAAAATTTTTGCTTGCCCAAGGCTTAAATACACCCTCCAGAATATTTTCTCACCCTGTATATGTTGGGCTTTAAGAAAATATTTACCCCATTCTTAGAACTAATTATCCAACATTTGTTTCGATCTATTTGCAGTGACTGGAATCAATATCCATCTGATCAATGGTGTCGTCTGTGCCATCTGTGTTTTCTATACCATGTTTGTAAGTACATAAGCCAAGGGCGTCAGATACTTATTCGAAAAAATAAATATTTTCTTTTAATGAATTTCTTTGTATCTCCCTTTCAGGGTGGCATTAAGGCCGTGGTCTGGACCGATGTGGTGCAAGCGGCTATTATGGTCATGTCGGTGACATTGGTGGGAGTATTGGGCGCCATTAAGGTGGGAGGTGTGACTGAAGTCTTTCGCATTGCCGGCGAGGGTCAACGTTTAAATGTCAAGTAAGTATTGCCTTAGGCCCGGTTACACATTGTGTTAGAGTCATATGTAAAGTGGTTATTCCATGTTTTTCATTTTTATAGCATACTTTAAGGAGCCCTATACAATTTTTTAACTTTACAAGTAAAAAAGCTGTAAGTTCGGCCGGGCCGATCATTTGGACAATTTTGACAATTTTCAAAAAAATAAAATCCGTTAAAAATTCTATCAAAATCTTAAAAATACCGAATGTAGTCGTTATATTAGGGTCTATATGACGACGTGGACCTGCACAGACAATTCTCTGTCATAGGCTGTAGTACCCATTACGAACTTCAAATACCACATTTGAAACATTTCCGGGGAATAATGTAGCTAAAATCATTAAAATTCCGAATATAGGGAGGTACCGTTGTATGGGGGCTATACTAAGACTTGGACCTGCACAGACAATTTTCTGTCATAGGCTGTAGTAGCCATTACGAACTTCAAATACCAAATTTGAAACAATTCCAATGAATAATGTCGCTAAAATCATCAAAATACCGAAAAAAGGGAGGTACCCTTATATGGGAGCTATACCAAAACGTGGACCTACATCACCCATTTTCTATACCAAGAGTCCTGCAGCCATAATACACATTTGAGTAAAATTTTATCAACCTACTTCATTTCGTTCAATTTTTTCCATTAGCCTGGAGTTTGATGCCACCACCCGTTCGACATTCTGGAATAACTTCATATCTTCAACAATTATGTGGACCTCCTATGTGGGCCTGAATCAGAGTTGTGTGCAACGTATTGTCTCACTGCCTTCGCTGAAACATGCCAGGCGGTAAGTTCTCCGCCCCCCTTAAATGTACCCCTGATTCAAATCTTTTAATTTTTTTTTCAGATCCCTAATCATCTTTGGCTTCGGCTTCGTAATGATCATGTTCTTCAATTGTTTCACCGGCATTGTAATGTATGCGCGCTACCATGACTGTGATCCCCTGGAGGCCGGCTTTGTCAGCAAGGCCGATAAATTGATGCCCTTCTTTGTCCAAGATGTTGTGGGCCATCTGAAGGGTATGCCGGGTGTGTTCATTTCCTGTGTCTTCAGTGCAGCCTTGAGTACCATGTCGGCGGGTATGAATTCGCTGGCGGGCATTGTCTATTTCGATTATATCAAACCGCATATCAAGCACACGGAACGTCGTGCCAACTTGACAATGAAGACACTTGTCCTCTTGACCGGCCTCTATTGCATCTTGGCCGGCACTGTGGTGGAGAAATTCTCTTCCATATTGCAGATTGTCTATTCCATTGGTGGCGTGACCTTTGGTTCGGTCTTTGGGGTATTTTTGTTGGGTATGCTGGTACCCAAGGCTCATGGACGTGCGGCATTTTGGGCGGCCATTTCCAGTATGCTGGTAATGGTCTACATTGTTGGGGCATCGCAGGGTCGAAATCATTATGAAACGCTACCCAGCTCGGTGGAGTCATGTCCGGTCCTCAACATGACCAGGTGAGTTGATATTTGAAAATTTTTTTTAAACCTAGGGTGCTATGGATTAGTTGTTCCCACCACTAAGATAAGGTGGATATGGAAGTGTAACCTTGGGATAATGAGGATATGATAAGAAATACCTGAGGTGGGAATACATAAAAGGCTTTTTTTGGCTGCCCTAAGTCACTGGCTGGCTTCTTCGTAGAGGAAAAAAGGAGCTTTGGGATGACTTAGTTCGATTTTGGTCCTACGTTCCTTTGTTCTTTTCCGAAGAAGCCAGCCGATGACTTAAGCCATTCAAAAAAAAGCGTTTTATGTATTCTCACCTTTATCCTAACCCTTATCTTATATTTGAGTGTGAGATTTAGACCTCTATTATCAGTGCACACACACACACATTTAATGCCCATATTTTTTTAAATTCTAATTTCGTTAAATTTCCTTCTTCCCTTCCAGCGCCAGGCTAACATCCCCCTTGGTTGCCATGTCACATCAACAAGACTCCGATAGCCTATCCCCTGCCACCGACAAAGGTTTCCACATACTCGATCTCTCTTTCAATTGGTACTCCACGTTGGGCGCCATCATCGTCTTTGCCGTTGGCATACCGCTCAGCTACATTTTATCACCCGAAAAGGGTGCCAAGTTTGATGTGAAATTATTATCGCCTATCATTCAACCTTTTGCCAACTACGAGTTGGCCCAGACCGAGGAGGTGTTAGAAGTTATCACCGCAAAAACGAAATCATAAATTTTTTCAGAAATAAACAACAGCGACCGACGGAGCAACCAAACAAACCTCAGAACAAAATAAACATAGATAATAATAATAACAACAACAACAATGACTGTTATATAATTCAAGAGTACTGTTATTGTGTCTGTATGTATGTATTAATATTAAGTATGTATGTATGTACTATGTACATTCAATAAATCTTAACTAGAACTAAATGGAACTGGTTTTTATGAGGGCACCTCGGTTTTTTTTTCCACATTTAAAACCCCAATAAAACATAAACAATTTTAATTTGGGGGAAAATTTTTATCAATCCACCAGCGAGTCTGCAGACGAATGTGCTGAGATCAAGGTCTGTCTGAGATGTGTAAAATTTTATCACTGTGATAAGGGGGGATTTCGAAGAGTCAGATTTGATAAAAAAAATGGTATGAGGTGGGTGGCCAAAAATTTTCCAGGACAAGCAGAACTCATTTATTGTGAAGTAAAATTAAAAAAAAAATCTCAAAATCTCCCTTGCCAATTTAAGCTAGACGAATAGCTGCCATAGGCTGTAGTATCCATTACGAACTTTAAATACCAAATTTGAAACAATTCCGGTGAAAAATGTCGCTAAATTCACCAAAATATCGAGTATCGGGAGGTACCGATATATGCTGGCTTTACGAAGAGTTGGAGCTGCAGCGACAATTTTCTGTCTAAGGCTGTACGAACTTCAAATACCAAATTTGAAACAATTCCGGTGAATAATGTCGTTAAAATCATCGAAATACCGAATATCGGGAGGTATCGTTATATGGGAAGACATGAACCTGCACAGCCAATTTTCTGACATAGGCTATAATATCCATTACAAACTTCAAATAGCAAATTTGAAAGTATTCCAGTAAATAATGTCGCTTAAATCATCAAAATACTGAATAATCGGGAGGTACCGTTATTTGAAGTCTATACGAAGACTTGGACCTGCAGCGACAATTTTCTGTCTAAGGCTGTAAGAACTTCAAATACCAAATTTGAAACAATTCCGGTGAATAATGTAGCTAAAATTATCAAAATACCGAATATAGGGAGGAACAGTTATATGGGGGCTATACGAAGACGTGGACCTGCAGAGACAATTTTCTGTCGTAGGCTGTGGTATCCATTACGAACTTCAAATACCAAATTTCCCGTGAAAAATGTCGCTTAAATCCTCAAAATCGGGAGATGCCGTTATATGGGGGCTATAGGAAGACCTGGACCTGCAGAGACAATTTTCTGTCATAGGCTGTAGTATCCATTTCAAACTCAAAATACCAAATTTGAAACAATTCCGATGAATAATGTCGCTAAAATCATCAAAATACCGAATATTGGGAGGTACCATTATATGAGGGCTATACGAAGACGTGAATCTACACGAAAGTTCTGCGGACATAATACACATTTGAGTAAAATTTTATCAACCTATTTCATTTCGTTCGGAAGCTATAGTGATGGATGCACATCGCAAAATCGACATACTTTGTGGGTCCTAAAAATTTTGTCGATTTTGCGATGTGAAAATTTTGACATACTTTGTGGGTTCTAAAATGTATATTTCGAGGTGCTACAAACGGAATGACAAACTTAATATACCCTCCATACTATGGTGGAGGGTATAAAAAATAAATTGAAAGCTGCTGACTATAACTGAACTCGTTCCGTGGTTCTATTCAGTGAATCATAGAACTCTTCACAATAAAATATGAAAATTGTCAAATATGCCATTCGTCATACGTATATATTTTAGTTACGAAAATAGTTTATTGGAGAGTGTTGCCATATTCGATTTAGCAAATGAGACTAAATGCACGTTAAAGGTGAGACTACATAAAAGCTGTTTTGACTGGCTTAAGTCATTGGCATGGTAGAATCAAGGAGGTAGTGTCATGCAATCATATGTTTACATTTTTTTTTTCAAAAATTATTCGTTTGACAGCATCTCATTGTCAAAATTTGTATTTATCCATTGTACATACACAAATCAGAGATGGGAACCCAGTTTTATGTAGTGAAATGTGACAAGGTAAATTACAGAAAATTCAGAGATGGGTATACTTATTTGAAATGACTTTACCTTTACCATGGTCATTCGCATGGCCTAATAATAAGGTATTCCTTTGAGTGAATTAATCTAAAAACAGCTGTTAAAATTTATAGTCTTGGCAGAAGAATTTTGTGGCAAATATGTTTGTTGTCAAATGCTTGGCAACTGAATTAGAAAAAATTTACTTATATTTAAAAAGACATTTTAAAATTTTTGACATATCAATGTTGATGCATCTACCTGTATTCTTCATTTATTACCGAAATTAACGATTTTTGTAGGTTACTCGAATCGCGCACTATTTTTATTGTATTCCTACATTTATTTTTTTTTTATTTGATTTACAATAACCCTTAATTCAGCTTAGCAGAAATGCAATTTCCTCTTGCATATTTAAAGTAACAATTCCTGCACTTTCATCCATTTGCAATATGATTTCAAAAGTGTGACTAATTATAACATTAAGTATACCGAACTGATTAAAAATCACTGATCGGTCTTGACTTTGAGTGACAAGCCAGTCCATTGTTATTTTTTTCTATAAATAGTCTCACATATATGCTCCATCTTACTTACTCTTATTCTTCTTCTTCTTTACTTTGCTATCAATCATATGAACTCAACTGATATTCGTACACACACACACAACAGCATATGTGATAACATTTACCACTATCTCTTTTCTAGTGGAAAATCCGCAACGATAACCGAGTAAATTTCTAGCGTACGGTTCTTTATGGGCTATGAACTCATTGTCGGGTTGTACATTTTTATGGCTATTATTTATATATATACAAATGTACATATGTAAATTATTCGTGTCCTATTTGCAAACGGATTAGAAAGTTTGTGAACTGCCAGCACCTTGGCACTTGGCATTGAGATAAATTCAACAAATTCACAACACAATATTGCAATTCATGTCCATAAATTCGAATCCAACAACAATTATTAAAAACGATATATATGAGCAAAAAAATAAGATAACAAATAAGTCGACCCAGTTTTGCCTTATGTCATTTATGTATATGTAAGCAAACTAGTTCCGTTGTTCTGTTCAGTGAACCGCCCATAAACTGTAGTTGTAAATATGAATTATTTTCTCTAAATTTATATAGATAAATTATTATGATTTCTAATAATCAATTAGGTAAAGTCATGCTATCATATATTTACATTTTTTTTCAAAATTATTCATTTGACAACGTCTTATTATCAAAATATTCTATATTTATAAATCCATTGTATATACACAAATCAGAGATGGAAACCTTTTTTTCAATTTAGTGAAATTTGACAAGGTAAATTACAGAAAATGCAGAGATGGTTAATATTATTTGAAATGACTTTACCTTCTTAATTTAACCATGTAAAGGTAAGAATACTTAAAACGCCTTCTATGAATCTGCCCCTTAAGGTAAGAATCCATAGAAGAATGTTTTTTTTGCCTTAAGTCACATTCTTTTTCGTAAAAAATAAAGGAATGTGGGGTGAAATTGAAAATATCTTCTTTTATGAAGAAGCCAGCCGATGTCTTCAGCCAATTAAAAATTTTTTACGTATCTTCACCTTAAGGTCTGAACACGACAAAATTAACATATGATATACAATTTTTTTTATAATATTTTATTGATAACATCCAACTTTCAAAAATAAAATGGAAATTTCCTACTTTGAAATGTCCCCACAACTTGTGTTCTGTGGCAAAATAGCAAGAATATAAAAATTGGGTCTAAATTTGCCTCCTGTGGGATCTTATTAAAGAAGTCTTGTCCCATATTAAAGGACCATGTAAAATTGAACTAGTTCCGTAGTTATGTTCAGTGAACTACACAACTGTGAACACTACAGCAAAAAAAGAAAGCATAGAGGGAGAAAGAGAGAGTAAAAGCGAGTGAATCTAAAATGGGTTCTTAAAGAACTTTAAAAAAATATCGAAATAATCTTCGTTTCCCAAGGTTCCTAATGCCCGTAAAAAATCTATGAAAAATCTGTCTGTCTGTCCGTCTGTGTAAATCACTCTAGCTTCCGAACGAAATCAAGTAGATTAATAACATTGTACTTAAATGTATATTATGTCTGCAGGACTTTTGGTATTGAAAATGGGCCATGTAGGTCCACGTTTTGGTATAGCCCCCATACCACGGCACCTCTTGCTTATCGGCATTTTGTTGATTTTAGCGACATTTTTGATCGGAATTGTTTCAAATTTGGTATAAGAAGTTCGTAATGGCTACTACACCCTATAACAGGAGATTGTCTGTGCAGGTCCACGTCTTCGTATGGCCCCCTTACAACGGAACCTCCCGACATTCGGTAGTTTGATGATTTTAGCGACATTATTCATTGGAATGGTTTCAAATTTGGTAATTGAAATTCGTAATGAATACTACGGTCTATGACAGAAAATTGTCTGTGCAGGTCCACGCCTTCTTATAGCTCCCATATAAAGGTACCCCCCGAAATTCGGTACTTTGTTGATTTTAGCAACATTATTCATTTGGAATTGTTTCAAATATGATATTCAAAGTTCGTAATGGATACTGCAGCCTAAGTCAGAAAATTGTCTTTGCATTTTCACGTCTTCGTATAACCCCCAAAAACGGTACCTCACGATATTCGGTATTTTGATGATTTTAGCGAATTTATTCACCGGAATTGTTTCAAATTTGGTATTTGAAGTTCGTAATGGATACTGCAGTCTAAGACAGAAAATTGTCTGTGCAGGTCCACGTCTTCGTATAGCCCCCATATCACGGTACCTCCCGATTTTAGGTATTTTGATTCTTTTAGCGACATTATTCATCGGAATTGTTTCAAATTTGGTATATGAAGTTCGTAATGGATACTACAGCCTAAGGCAGAAAATTGTCTGTGCAGGTCCACGTCTTCGTATATCCCCCCTATATAACGATACCGCCCGATTTTCGGTATTTTGATGATTTTAGCAACATTATTCACCGGAATTGTTTCAAATTTGATATCTGAAGTTATTATTGTATTATAATAGATACTGCAGCCTAAGGTAGAACTTTGGCTCTGCAGGTCAAAAGTTTTTTTTTTAAACCCCACATTTTCAAGTTTCATAAAGCCTTAAGGTATTTCCCACTTGTCATGGGATCCGTAGTGGTTCAAATATTCCTTGAAAATTAAAAGTTCTTGTCGTCCTGGGAGCCTTTAAAAATTCCATGAATTCTTGGGCTCCTGAAGTCCTTACCTTAATGTATCCAAGTTTTCTTAAAAATTCTATATAATGTGTTTTAGGTACCTTAAAAAATATTTCTTGGGAATCATAGGCTCTTTAGATATTCCTTAAATAAAAGGTCCATAGGATCCATAATGGCTGGCTTAAGTCATCGACTGGCTTCTTCGTAGATGAGCAAAGGAGATTTAGGTTGACTTAGTTCGACTTTGGTCCTATGCTCCTTTGTTCATTTCCGAAGAATGCAGCCGATGACTTAAGCCAGTCAGATAAGCGCTTTATGTATTCCCACCTTAAGTCAACTTTTACCATCCACCTTAAAGGTCGTTAAAAATTTAAGGCTTCTTGAGGTACATAAGTCATATAAAATTCCCAAAGAATCCATGTATCCTATGATCTATGAGGGCTTAAAAAATACCGCTTCTTGAGGCCCATAAGGCTTTTAAAGGTTGCTTTGAAAATCCAGTTCTCTTGGTGTCCATAAGGTCCTTCAAATGTTTTCACTAAAAACTCACTTTCCTTATTGCCCAGAAGATTCCGTAACTCAAGCAAAACGAAACCAGTTTTCTTAGAATACATAAAACTCTGAGTAAAGTAGACGCTCCATAAAGCTGTCACAATGCTAGAGGAAAAGATAAGCGGTGGTGTAAATTTTTCTTGAAAATATAGACAATCGTAAAAGAAAGAAGAGGGAAATAACAAAACTCCATAAAATCGCGAAATCGCTGGCATGACGCCAGCAATGATACAGCTTCACAAATGTACCACCCTCCTACAATTTATTTGCTACTGAATAAACCTCACACACACCGACATATATATAAACATATGGACTTAATATTTCGATAAGCCTGAGATTGAGTAGAGACGGTAGACCGGGTGAGATTATCTTTTCCCGTAAGAGATTCTGAAAAGATTTTCATCTGTGAATGGAATGACAGACATTTGATTGTAGAACTTTGTAACCACCACAACCTAACGCGGTACGCAAGAAATGTGAACTGTGATGTGAACTTCGAATATCGTCCAAATATATGTAATTCAATATCATTAAGAATATAACTCAAGAGAGTGGAAAAAGAGAAGTCAAAAGTTTTATAGATTTTTAAACTCTGAAACCAAGTGGTATTTGACGAGATCCACCTACACCATGACCTTGCTGGAAAACACGGCAGCAGAGGCTGCAAAAAGTTTCACCTTTGGCGTTACGGATTACATTGTTTTCGTACTGATGCTACTGACTTCGGCTGGCATTGGCGTCTATTTCGGTTTCTTTTCGAAATCGAAAAACACCACCGATGAATATCTGATGGGCAGCAAACAAATGAAGACCATACCCATTGCCATATCGCTGGTGGCAAGGTAAGCGCAAAAAGAATTTAGAGGGGACTAATGAATAAAACATGTTAAAAAAGCTGTAAGTTCGGCCGGGCTGAACTTTGAATACCCTCCACCATTTGGAATGAATTTGGCAATTCTCAAAAATAATAAAATCCGTTAAAAAATCTGTTAAAATTAAAAAAATACCGAATGTAGCTATGCGAAACTTAAAAAAATCGGTGAATAATGTCGATAAAATCAAAATACCGAATATCGGGAGTTACCGTTAAATGGGGGGATATACGAAGACCTGGACCTGCATAGACAATTTTCTGTCCTAGGCTGTAGTATCCATTACGAACTTCAAATATCAAATTTGAGACAATTTCGGTGAATAAATTCGCTAAAATCATCAAAATACCGAATATCGGGAGGTAGCCTTTTATGGGGGCTATACGAAGACGTGGACCTGCTCAGACAATTTTCTGTCATAGGTTGTAGTGTCCATTAGGAACTTCAAATATCAAATTTGAAAGAATTCTGTTGAAAAATGTCGCTAAAATCATCAAAATACCGAATATCGGGAGGTACCGTTATATGGGGGCTATACCAAAACGTGGACCTACATGGCACATTTTCAATACCAAAACTCCTGCAGACATAACATACATTTGAGCAAAATTTTATCAATCTACTTCAATTCGTTCGGAAGCTAGAGTGATTTCCACAGACGGATAGACGAACGGGCATCGCTAAATCGACACAGAATTTTATGCTGATCAAGAATATATATATATACTTTGTGGGGTCTAAAATGTGTATTTCGAGGTGTTACAAACGGAATGACAAATTTTATTTACCCTCCATACTATGGTCGAGGGTATAAAAAAGGGATGAATATTGAAAATTCAAGGGGGCCCACATCCGCAAATACAAAAAATAAATTCTATAGCCGAAATATTGGTCTTCCAATGAGGATTTTTTTCTGATCTTAGACTTCTCGTGAAATCGTATCTGGAATATTTTTTCCATTAAAAGTAAGGTGCAAGTGCAGAAAAATCTTGAAGTCATGGCTAGGCATATTAATGTCAAATTATAATAAAAAGGTATAAAAAGGGATGAATATTGAAAATTCAAGGGGGCTCACATCCGTAAATGCAAAAACTGAATTCTATAGCCAAAATATTGGTCTTCTGACAAAGATTTTTTTCCGACCGAAGACTTCTGGTGAAATCATATCTGGAATATTTTTTCCATTAAAGGTAAGGTGGAAGTACATAAAAAGCTTGAAGTCATGGCTAGGCATATTAATGTCAATTTATAATGGAAAACGACGGCAGGATTTTAGTGCGGCTCTGACATCCCTTTATGATATGTCACACAATATGCCATGCGAGGGCTTCAAGCTGTTTATGTACGCTCACCTTTAAGCGTCTAAAATTATTTTTGGCCACAATTCCAAAAAAAAAAGCCCAAAAACTTTGTATTCATATATCCAAATTGGTACTGATGTTTGAGTGATATATTTTATAGCTACAGCTTTCTTTTGTTCGTTGACCCCTAGTGAAATTTTATGCGCAATATTTTTTTCATTGAGACTAGTTTCCTAAAATGTATAATTATGGGACTTTTGGACGTATTTAAAAAAAATCCCCAAAATAACCAAAAAATGTCCCTCCTTTTTATATTACCATATTTGAAGCGAATATTTAATGGATATATGTTATACCTACACGTTTCCAGTGTTCAGAGAGTCATAGGGAAATTGGATGGATAGTATTTCTTTCATTAAGACCAATCTCGAAAAATTTGGAATTATCGAACTTTTGGCCACATTTCCAAAGATACCAAAATAAACCCAAAAAATCATTTGTTTACGCACCCAAAATTACGCAGATGTTTGAACGACATATGGCACAGTTCTACACAGTTCTATTGCTCTACGACTTATAGTGAAATTTAATGGACAATATTTTTCCTATTGGGATCATCTTCCTAAAATGTATAATTATTGGACTTTTTGGCGCATTTTCAAAAATCCCCAAAATAACAACATACATTTGAAGCCGCCGTTTGATTGGAATATGTTGGATATACCAAGTTCTACTGCTGGATGACTTATAGTAAAATTTGAAGAAGAATATTTTTGTCTTTTACACCATTTCCATTAAATGAATTTTTAATGGACTTTTGTGCACATTTTTAAACCGACCAAAAAATAAACCCAAAAAAAATCTTTTGTTTATCTACACAAATTGGCATTGACGTTTGAAGGATATGTGTCAAACCTACAGATTTCGATTGTTCTGTGACTTAAAGTCAAATTTAATGGACAATATTTCCTTCATTGAGAATAAGCTTCTAAAATGTATATTAATTGGACTTTTGGGCAAATTCAGCAAAATCCCCAAAGTAACCTAAAAAATATTCCTCTTTTTCGCAGACATCCATTAGAAGCCTATATTTCATTGGATTATGTTGGTTATATCTGGTTCTATTGTTCCATGACTTTCATTAAAATTTGATTAAGAATACTTTCGGCCTTTACACCATTTCCATAAAATGAATTTTTAATGGACTTTTGGGCACATTTTCGAACAGACCAAAAAATAAGCCCAAAACAACTATTTTGTTTATACCTCAATTTACATTGATGTTTGAGCGGCATATGTGATACAGGGTGAGATAAAAAAAACTGAGTACAAAGTCAGACACCATAATTTTTAATTTTTTTTAAATATTTAATAAAAAAACAAAAACTGTCGGAAATAGCATCAAATTTTGGAATAAGTTTAGATTTGTTCGAATTTGGTCACCTTTGGCACGAATTATGGCCTTCAAACGGCCAATGAAACCACACACACACTGCCCGAATGTTGCTCTCGAATGTTTAAAAGCTGTCTGACAAGTGACTTAAAAAACAAACACAAAAACACTTCAAATTTGCACAGCAAATAGGGTGCACAAGGTACGAAAAAAAAACATATTAGCTTTGTCATACTCGCAAATGATTTATTCTAAATTATTCCTTTTTGGAGGGAATGGTCTTTCGAGAAAAAATACTTTCTGAAAAAAAACTCCAAAAAAATCTTTTTTTTTTTAAATTTGGTGATTTTTTTAATTTTGACAAGAAAAAAAAACAAAAGCACTTCATATTTGCACAACAAATAGGGTACCCAAGTTTCGATAAAGGCCCATTAGCGTTGCCATATACACAAATGGTTTCTCCTGAGTTATTCATGTATAGGGGAAATGATCTCTCTAGAAATAGGGTACCCAAGGTTCAATTAAGACCCATTAGCGTTGCCATATTCACAAATGGTTTCTCCTTAGTTATTCATGAATGGGGGAAATGATCTCTCTAGAAATAGGGTACCCAAGGTTCGATAAAGACCCATTAGCGTTGCCATATTCACAAATGGTTTCTCCTGAGTTATTCATGATAGAGGGCATGGTAGAAGAATACAGGTAGAAGAATAAGAAATAACACAGACAAATTATTGAAATTTGTAAAAATTTGCGATTTGTGTCGTATAAGAAAACATATAAAGATATACTTATTTTTGACAAAACACTTTAAAATTTTTGACATATGAATGTTTTAAGCGTTGTTGAATCTACCTATATTCTTCTACCATGATAGAGGGAATGATATCTCTAGAAATAGGGTACCCAAGTTTCGATAAAGACCCATTAGCGTTGCCATATTTGCAAATGGTTTCTATTATTAGTTATTCATGAATCAGTTATTTCTCTCTAGAAATAGGGTACCCAAGGTTCGATAAAGACCCATTAGCGTTGCCAAATTTGCAAATGGTTTTTTCCTCAATTATTCATGATGGGGGGAATGATATCTCTAGAAAAATGATTTCCGTGGGAATGGAGGTTTGTGCCGCACATCCGGTGCAGTATTTTCCATGGATCTGCTAAATAATGCTTAATTCCCTTCTCTTTTTGTTTAGTCAACTTTCCGGCATTGCCATTATGTCGGTGCCCGCCGAGAATTATACCTTTGGTTTCTCCTATTTCTTTATGGTTGTGGCCATGATTTTGGTGGTACCGATTTTGAATTATATTATAATACCGGTATTCTACAAAAACAATATTTCCAATTGCTACGAGGTATGTAAACCCTTAAACTGAATACAAATCCTTTTTCCATAGCCCTTTTCCCTTTGCAGTATCTCCAAATGCGTTTCGATAAGCGTACCCGCAAATTGATTACAGCCTCCTTTGTCTTCAATGCCTTCCTCATGCTGCCGGTCTATATTTTTGTGCCCGCCTTGGCCTTTTCCCAAGGTAAAATGGAAATAAATTTTAAATTCAAAAAAATTAAATATTTTTTTAGCAAAAATTTGGATTAAAATTCATTTTCATTTACAGTGACGGGCATAAATATTCATCTGATCAATGCAATTGTGTGTTCGATTTGTATTTTCTACACCATGTTGGTGAGTATTTTTTTGAAAATTCAAGAATTTAAATTTTAAACCAAAATAAAATTGGTTCCTGAAATTCAATTCAAAATCAATATTTTTCTACACCGCAATTTTTTTCTTTTAAGGGTGGCATCAAAGCTGTTGTCTGGACTGATGTGGTCCAAGCTGGTATTATGGTAACCTCTGTGGTTTTGGTGGGCATATTGGGTACCATCAAAGTGGGTGGCCTTGGCAAGGTATTCGAATTGGCCGAAGAAGGTGGACGTCTGGATTTCTAGTAAGTAGACAAAAAAAAAACAGATTCGAATTGAAAATAATTTCGGAAAATTCTTACCTCTCAGTTATGGCTTGGATCCGCGTGTACGAAACTCGGTTATTTCCCTCTTCACCGGTGGCATACTCCTGTGGACAGGGCACATTGGCTTAAACCAAAGCTGTGTCCAGCGCATCGTTTCATTACCAAGCATGGAAAATGCCAGAAGGTAATTTGGGAATTTAGATTTTTTCAACATTGAAATTTAATCGATTTTTCCTTGGTATTTAGAGCTCTAATCCTGACCGGCATTGGTGTGCTGATTATAATGGGCTTTAACTCCTTCAGTGGCATTGTCATGTTTGCCCGCTATGCTGGTTGTGATCCAATCAAGGCCGGCGTAAGTATTTTGTTATTTTCCTAAATAAACCCCACTTTGATTTCTAAACTCTCCCCCCCCCCCCCATTCAGATCGTTCAAAAACCCGACAAAATGATGCCGTTCTTTGTTCAGGATATCATGGGCCATTTGAAGGGTATGCCTGGCGTTTTCATATCCTGTGTTTTTAGTGCTGCCCTCAGCACCATGTCGGCCAATTTAAATTCCCTTGCGGGAGTGGTATATTTCGATTATATCAAACCTTTTATTCGTCACACCGATGAACGGGCAAATACCATTATGAAAATTTTTGTAGTGGCCATGGGTTCCTATTGCATCTTGGGTGGATTGGTAGTGCAAAAATTCAACTCGATTTTACAGACAATTGTGACAATAACCAGTCTGAGTTATGGTGCTGTGATTGGGGTCTTCTTGGTGGGCATGTTTGTGCCGAGGGTTAATGGAAAGGTAGGTTAGCATGTGGTAACAATGTGAATAGTATAATTTTAGTACGTCGGATGAAGTATATAACTGGTTAATGCTTTCTGGATAATGTGGATAACATGGATAAGATATTTATGTGTTTCCGATAACGTGAATAATATGTGTATGTCCTTGGCATAACATTTAAATAACCCGGATAACGCGGATAACAGTTTTATGTCCTTCGGATAACATGGATAACATATTTATGGCCTTCGGATAACGTGGATAAGATATTCATATGCCTTGGGTAACGTAAATAACATATTTATTGCCTTCGGATAACGTGGATAACATATTTATGGCCTTCGGATAACATGGATAACAAATTTATGTTCTTCGGATAACGTATTTATGTCCTTCGGATAACGTGGAAAACATATTTATGGCCTTCGGATAACGTGGATACCATATTAAGGCCTTCGGATAACGCGGATAACGTATTTATGAACTTCGGATAACGTCGATAACATTTTTATATACTTCGGATAACATGGATAACATATTTATGCCCTGCGGATGACGTGGATAACAAATTTATGTTCTTCGGATATCGTGGATAACCTATTTATGCCCTTCTGATAACGTGGATAACGTATTTATGAACTTCGGATAACGTGGATACCATATTATGGCGTTCGGATAACGCGGATGACGTATTTATGAAATTCGAATAACGTCGATAACATTTTTATATACTTCGGATAACATGGATAACATATTTATGCCCTGCGGATAACGTGGATAACAAATTTATGTTCTTCGGATAACGTGGATAACATATTTATGCCCTTCGGATAACGTGGATAACATATTTATGGCCTTCGGATAACGTGGATACCATATTATGGCCTTCGGATAACGCGGATAACGTATTTATGAACTTCGGATAACGTCGATAACATTTTTATATACTTCGGATAACATGGATAACATATTTATGCCCTGCGGATAACGTGGATAACAAATTTATGTTCTTCGGATAACGTGGATAACATATTTATGCCCTTCGGATAACGTGGATAACATATTTATGGCCTTCGGATAACGTGGATACCATATTATGGCCTTCGGATAACGCGGATAACGTATTTATGAACTTCGGATAACGTCGATAACATTTTTATATACTTCGGATAACATGGATAACATCTTTATGCCCTGCGGATAACGTGGATAACAAATTTATTTATGTGGATAACGTATTTATGACCTTTGGATAACGTAGATTACATTTTTATGTATTTCGGATAACGTGGATAACATATTTGTGTCCTTTGGATAACGTGGATAACAAATTTATGTTCTTCGGATAACGTGGATAACATATGTTTGCCCTTCGGATAACGTGGATAGCATATTTATATCCTTCGGAAAACGTGGATAACATGTTTATGTCCTTCGGATAAAGTGGATAACATATTTATGTCCTTTGGATAACCTCGATAACTTTTGTATATACTTCGGATAACATGGATAACATATTTATGCCCTGCGGATAACGTGGATAACAAATTTATGTTCTTCGGATAACGTGGATAACGTATTTATGACCTTCGGATAACGTCGATAACATATTTATGGCCTTCGAATAACGTGGATAACGTATTTATGACCTTCGGATAACGTTGATAACATTTTAATGTACTTCGGATAACGTGGATAACGTATTTATAACATTCGGATGACGTGGATACCATATTATGGCCTTCGGATAACGTGGATAACATATTTACGGCCTTCGGATAACGTGGATACCATATTATGGCCTTCGGATAACGTATTTATAACATTCGGATAGCGTCGATAACATATTTATGTTCTTCGGATAACGTGGATAATTTATTTACAACGTGGATAATACTAATATGTTCATCGGATAACAATAATAGCATCATAATGCCATTCGGATGATGTGGATAAAACATTTCTTTCTCTCTCCTTCTCTCTCTCTCTCTCTCTCTCTCTCTTCAGTGTGTCTTCACCGGAATCGGTGTCAGTTTTGCAGTTATGCTATGGATTATCGTAAATGCCCAAATGCGTTTCAAGTCGGGCGCCATGAAATACGAACCTTTGCCGACCACCTTGGATAGATGTGAGGAGTACAACTTCTATGGATTAATTACAAATTTGTAAGTATTATTGGAGAAAAATATTTCAAGTTCCTCTTCACGACTAACACACGATATCGACTCCGCAGGAATGTCACAACCCCAGCGCCACCCCTGGAAACGCCACTGGTCACCACTGCCTTTGGCAGTAATCGTCCATTTTCCATCTACGAAATCTCTTTCTATTGGTACAAATTAATTGGTCTGATACTAATTGCAATCACCTCTATCGCGTTGAGCTATGTGTGGAAACGAGAGGATGATGAGAAATACGATCCGAAATTATATTCTCCAGTTATATGGAGATTTATACCAAAAGCACCCAAGGAAATGGAGAGTTTGCCGTTGAAAACGCCACCTCCCTCGCTGGCGGAAGATGGAGGAAATACCACTACAATTCTCTTGCCCGATGGAGGTGGGGATCCGCCCACTAATGGCAATCTGAAACAATAGTTGTCTTAAGTTATACCTTTTTATATTTTTTAATTTTTAATTTGCATTAATTTTTTATTTTTAGTTAGATTTTATCAATAAACTGTTATATTCGGCTGGGTCGAAACTTATGTGCCACCTTAAGGTGTTTTATTTTATTTTGGTTTTATTTTTTGTTATTTTGGTTCATAACTAGTAACTCTCACAAATGGGTATTCACAAGAATCTCTTTAACTGAAAAAAATCACAACCCCTAAAGTATGCTTCAATTTTTAAGATATTTGTGCCATTGAAAATGTCATTATTGTTTCATGCTGTTTTTTTTTCAAAGCAATAGAGTAGAGAATCACAATTAGAGAGAAACTGTTATAAAATATACTCACTTATTACAACTAGAGAAATTGGTGTGTGAATTTGAGTGCAATACTGAAAAGAAATATTACAAAAATCTACAAATAAAGTATAAATTTTGCTACTTTTGAAGATTTCAAGATTTAATTTTTTTTAAATATTTTCTATACGACCCCTTCTCCAACAGATTTTGTTAAGCAAATATACCAAATCGTCAACATTTGGGTAGAATTTGTAGAAAAAACTTTCGTAACTATTATTCGTTTGTATATTTTTGAGCCAAAACACCAAGAATCGAATTTTATTGAAAACTGTTATACTTGAGAAAAAATGTACAAAAACCTGTAAAATTTGACAATTCTGCATATTTTAACAATTTTATAGCTCATTTACGACATCTTTCATGCAATTGTACCCAATTGGACCACATTTAAACAGAAATGTGTTGAAATAGAAAGAGAAAATATCAAGATTAACGGATTATTTAAAAACCCCAAATTTTTGTCAGTATAACAGTTTCATGGAAACTTTTATAAACTAAGAAACATGCTTTAAGGGTGATATATTTTCTCTCAATTTCATTTAAATCGCTCATGTTTGAGTTGACGGCTCGCGAAAATAAAAGTTTTCGTGTATAACAGTTTCGCAAAATTGGTTTCAAATCTTCAATATTAGAGGCATTTAAAGTAGAAATGCATGGTTAACATTTCTAAATTTCAATTGAATTGTACAATTTTTAAATAAAAAAGTCAAAAAACCCCAAATTTTAGCCAGTATAACAGTTTCATGAAAACTGTTATACACATAAGATTATACTTTAAATGTGCTAGTTCTTTCTCAATTTCATTTAAATCGCACTTTTTTTGATTCAATAGAAGGCTAAAATATACGTTTATCGTGTATAACAGTTTCTCAAAAGTCTCATGAAACCCTCAATACCAAAGGCAAATTTTTAAAAAATATTTTTACAATTATTAAATAGAATATAGGAAAAAACTTAAATTTTATCTAGTATAACAGTTTCATAAAAACATGCACAAACACTCTTTAAAGCTGATACATTTTTTCCAAATTTAATCCTTTGTTTGAGAAAAAGCACGCGAAATAAAATTATTGTCTATAACAGTTTCACAACAACTGTTATATTTTGTACGTTCTGCGAAAAAACAAAATATGTATTTCCTCATCACAATTTTTCACATGTAGATGGCGTTTGCCACTGAGAGAAAACTACAGTTGTCGGAAGTAGCAAATTTCATCGGAATAACAATTTTAGACCTAACAAAGTATATATATTCTTGATCAGCGTAAAATTCTAAGACGATATATGTCTATGTCCGTCCTATTCAACGAAATTGTTTCAAATTTCGTATTTGAAGTTCGGAATCGGTACTACCGCCTATGGCAAAAAATTATTTATGCAGGTCCACGACTTCGTATAGCCACCAATTTTAAGGTTTTCATTTAAGTGGTATTTTTCGACGGATTTTTTTTTTGAAATTTTTCAAGATCCCTTAAAATGGTGGAGGGTATTAAAAATTCAGCCTGGCCGAAATTAGCTGCTTCATTACTTGTTCCTAGGAAATCTGGCCCTTATTGTTATGTTTTTTTATTGAAAGTTTCTTTTTAAAGTATTCCCAGCTGAAATTGTGAACATTTTGTCCAGTTCCTTCCTTCCTAACTTGAAAATGCAATAGTTTTCAACAATTTCATCATCCGACCAGGTGAGATAGCAATTATGTCTTGGAAAAACTTGTGGCAACCGGAAAAAAGCGCAAGTGCGATTTTTTTAATCCCCTGCCATATTACTATAAAGATACGGAGATATATATGTATCTATTTGTTTATGGAATAACATCAAACTGATGAGTCATTGGAAATGATCTGCAGATTGATATAATTTTGCTAGCAGCTACTATGTGGGAGCTAGAGAATTTATAACGGACTTTTCGTTTTGCGGAAAATCTTTGTGAGGAAATAATTTTAGGTCGTGTTTTACAACCTCCCAATTTATCCATTCACAAACCCCGTCCTCCCGTCCCCCATCCCAAAATCTTTTCCATTATCTTCCTGGGTTATATATGACGATCTGACTTGTGCATAGTAAAATCCTAACATAAATATAATATAATAATTTAGTAAATCTGTTGAGGTAGCGTTCCGATAAGAGGCAACACCAAAATAACACCTTTTCTCTAATGGGCGAAAAGATCATCGGCATCAGAGTAGATTTAGATGTTGAGGCCTTCACAAGGTTGCCAAGATACGAGATCCAAACTTGAAAATATTTCTCGGCAATGTCACCAACTCCAAGCTTCATAGAAGCCACCAAGCCAACTGTGATGATGGAAAATACTAACAAAATATTTTCCTTTGGCCCTGTGGACTATATTGTTTTCGCCATTATGTTAATGGTATCGGCAGGAATTGGGGTCTATTTTGGTTTCTTTTCGAAATCGAAAAATACCACCGAAGAATATTTAATGGGTGGCAAGAAAATGAAAACGCTACCCATTGCCATATCGCTGGTGGCAAGGTAAGAAAGGTCTGGGAATAACAGGGAAATTTTTATCGACAACAGAAGACCTCTGGGTCTGGGACAGGACACAAATATGACAGCCAACATTTTTAGGAGTTTTTGAGAGGACCATTACATCTGTAAATTGGAAGATTTAGAGGACTTTTTTTAAACAGACAATAAAGGACCCTTGAAATATATTTTCCATTGTCAGCTTTTTACATTATTTTGCCTTAGAGGGCTATATAATTTTAGGGGTTATATAATTTTAGGAGTTATATAATTTAAGGGTTATATAACTTTAGGGGCTATATTATTTTTTACAGACCCAAATAACTTTTATGAACCAAACTTTAAAATAATCAAGAGAAAAATTCCGAGTTTCAAAATGAATCCGTTAGGTCTTCCATATGCAATTGAACACCTCAAGACCTCCAAATTCTCTACGTCTTCCATATATCAACATTGTCTGGTTCCTTTATGTACTATGCAATAATACGGCCGCATTTACAAAGTCCTCAGGAGTCTTGCAATTCCAGTATTTCCATTAGATTCAAGTTATGCTGTGGGAGCAATAAAAATACACATTAAATAAAACTTATTAACTATTTTTTACAACAACCAACCTGTACCCTAACCTTGTGTGTGTCTTTCTCTCTCTCTCTCTCTCTTTTAGTCAACTCTCCGGCATTGCCATTATGTCAGTGCCCTCGGAAAACTATTCCTTTGGCATTGGATATATGTTTATGGTATCATCTGTGGTTCTGGTTATTCCCATTCTAAACTATATCATTGTTCCGGTTTTCTACAACAACAACATAACAAATTGCTATGAGGTACGGGAAGAAAAAAGGTGGCCGGTCACACGTCAAGTTTATTAAATGTCGTCTCTTTTCAGTATCTTCAGCTACGCTTCAATAAATGGACCCGAAAACTGATAACTGGTACTTTTGTGGTCAGTGCCTTGCTGATGTTGCCAGTGTTCATGTTCGTGCCATCACTGGCCTTTGCCCAGGGTAAGTGGAGAGACCTTAAGAAATATTTTAAAAATAGTAGTAAACTTTGAATTCCTTTGAAGATCCTCCATAGACAAGTGACCTCAAGGTCTTCTATAGCTCATATGAGACTCCAATGGCCTATAGTAGACCTCAAGGTTTTCTGTGGACTATAGGCGACCTCAAGGTCTTCTATGGACTATAGCCGACCTCAAGGTCTTCTATGGACTATAGGAGACCCCAAGGTCTTCTATGGACTATAGGAGACCTCAAGGTCTTCTATGGACTATAGGGGACCTCAAGGTCTTCTATGGACTATAGGAGACCTCAAGGTCTTCTACAGACTATAGGAGACCTCAAGGTCTTCTATAGACTATAGGAGACCTCAGGGTCTTCTATAGACTATGGGAGAACTCAAGGTCTTCAATGGATTATAGGAAACCTCAAGGTCTTCTATGGACTATAGGAGACGTCAAGGTCTTCTATGGACTATAGGAGACCTCAAGGTCTTCTGTGGACTATAGGAGACCTCAAGGTCTTCTATGGACAATAGGCGACCTCAAGGTTTTCTATGGACAATAGGGGACCTCAAGGTCTTCTATGGACTATAGGAGACCTCAAGGTCTTCTATAGACTATAGGCGATCTCAAGGTTTTCTATGGACCATAGTAGACTTCAAGGTCTTCTAGGAGACCCCAAGGTCTTCTATAGACTCTGGGAGACCTTAAGGTCTTCTATGGACTATAGGAGACCTCAAGGTCTTCTATGGACAATAGGCGACCTCAAGGTTTTCTATGGACAATAGGGGACCTCAAGGTCTTCTATGGACTATAGGAGACCTCAAGGTCTTCTACAGACTATAGGAGACCTCAAGGTCTTCTATAGACTATAGGAGACCTCAGGGTCTTCTATAGACTATGGGAGAACTCAAGGTCTTCAATGGATTATAGGAAACCTCAAGGTCTTCTATGGACTATAGGAGACGTCAAGGTCTTCTATGGACTATAGGAGACCTCAAGGTCTTCTATGGACTATAGGAGACCTCAAGGTCTTCTGTGGACTATAGGAGACCTCAAGGTTTTCTATGGCCTAAAGGAGACCTCTAGGTCTTCTATGAACTATAGGATACATCAAGGTCTTCTATGGACTGCAGGAGACCTCAAGGTCTTATGTTGCCTATAGAAGGTCTTACATGGTCTATAGGAGACCTCAAGGTCTTCTATGGCCTAAAGGAGACCTCAAGGATTTCTTTGGACTGTAGGAGACCTCAAGGTCTTCTATGGACTGTAGGAGACCTCAAGGTCTTCTATGGACTATAGGAGACCTCAAGGTCTTCTATGGACTATAGAATACCTCAAGGACTTCTATGGCCTATAGGAGGCCTCAAGGTCTTCTATGGACTATAGGAGATCTCAAAGTCTTCTATGGACTATAGGAGACCTCAAGGTCTTTTATGGACTAAAGGAGACCTCAATGTCTTTTATGGAGTAAAGGAGACCTCAAGGTCTTCTATGGACTTTAGGAGACCTCAATGTCTTCTATGAACAATAAGAGACCTCAAGGTCTTCTATGGCGTATAGGAGGCCTTAAGGTCTTCTGTGGCCTATAAGAGACCTCAAGGTTTTCTATGAACAATGATTTCCTATAAACAATTGGAGACCTCTGTGGTCCCATAGAGGATCTCAAAGGTTTATATGGCCCCATAGAGGATTTCAACGTCTTCTCTGGTCCCATAGAAGTGCTCAAGGTCTTGAAGCCCTCAATTGCCTTTAAATGTCATATGTTTCCTTGGAAGACTTCAAGGTCTTCTATTGTCCCCAAAATTTTTCATGTATCTGCAGGTCCTTACGATCTTTTATTGCTTTTAAAAGACCTACGGAATACAAAAATGTTCTCTCCATTTACAGTGACTGGCATAAATATTCATCTTATCAATACCATTGTGTGTTCCATCTGCATATTCTACACCATGTTGGTAAGTCCCAAGAGATTCTCCCTGAAATTGCATGGAGTAAATGAAATTTCAATTCACCTTTCTTCTAGGGCGGCATCAAGGCCGTTGTCTGGACGGATGTAGTACAAGCTGGAATTATGATAACCTCCGTGGTGCTGGTGGCATTTTTGGGTGTAAACAAAGTTGGTGGCCTGGGAAAAGTACTGGATCTTGCCGAAGAGGGGGGTCGCTTGGAGCTATAGTACGGAAAAAAATCAACAGGTTATTGGTGATTCTGGAAACTAATATTTTACCTACCCCTTCCTTTTAGCTTTGGCTTTGATCCCCGTGTACGGAATTCTGTGATGGGCATGGTTAGCGGTGGCGTGTGTCTGTGGATCGGTCACATTGGCCTGAATCAGAGCTGTGTACAGCGCATTGTCTCATTGCCCAGTTTGGAGAACGCCAAGAGGTAAGTTTCAAATGTTCTACTTCTTTAAGGCACCCTTAATCTCTCCTGTTTTCCATAGATCTCTAATTATCACCGGCATTGGCATTCTCATCATCCTGCTGTTCAACTCGTTTACGGGTGTCATTATGTTTGCCCGCTATGCTGGCTGTGATCCCATATTGGCGGGCATTGTTGAAAAGGCCGACAAAATGGTCCCGTTCTTTGTCCAGGACATTGTGGGTCATTTGAGGGGCATGCCGGGTATCTTTATCTCATGTGTATTTAGTGCCGCTCTTAGCACCATGTCGGCCACACTTAACTCGTTGGCGGGTGTGGCATATTTCGATTACATCAAACCCTTCATCCGACACACAGATGCCCGAGCCAATGCCATAATGAAATTATTTGTTGTTGCCATGGGTTGTTATTGTATTGCTGGCGGTTTTCTAGTGGAACAATTCAGTTCCATCCTGCAGACAATCTTGACGATAATTGCTCTCAACACCGGCGCTGTGGTTGGTGTGTTTACACTGGGTATGCTAGTGCCCAGGGTTAATGGAAAGGTAAGAAGAGGAGCTCAAAATTCGGTGCATGGAAGACATCTGGGCATCTTCTAAGCTCTGTAGAAGAGCTCAGCGTCTGTGTATAGCCCATAGCTGAGCATGAGGTCTTCTATAGTCCATAGGAAACCTCAAATGTGCATAGCAAAACCTTCAGGTCTTATGTGGTCGATAAAAGATTTCTTTATCATCTGTTATCAATCGGAGACCTCAAGTTTTTCTGTGGTCTCTAGAAATTTTCAGGGTCCCATATGGTCTTCAGAAGACCTCAAGGCCTATTAGGGGCTCTTTATTATTTATTACCCTTTACTCTAGGTGGCCATCGCCTCCATTGGTGTCAGTATGGCAATAATGCTCTGGATTATTGGTAATGCTCAAATGCGTTTCAAATCGGGTGCCATCAAATATGATCCCCTGCCGACGAGGATCGATGAATGTGAAAACTACAATTTTTATGGATTAATACAAAATCGGTAAATATATAGAATTCTGTAATGCCCATACACACCAACATTCAATAACTATCTTCAGCAGCACCACTCTTAGCAGCCTAGAAAACACCGCAACATCCACCTCCGAACCGCCCCCACTGGTGACAACAGCCTTCGGCAGCAATCGCCCATTTTCGATCTATGAAATATCCTTCTATTGGTATCAGGTGATTGGCACCCTCCTCGTTTGGTTAACAGCCATACCGTTGAGTTATGTTTGGAGCAAACCCCACGGGGATGAGAAATTGGATCCGAAATTATTTTCCCCAATTATTGGCCGATTCTTGGACCAACAACCAAGGGAAATGGAAAGTATGCCATTGAAAACACCACATCCATCGTTGGCCGGTGAAAATCTGAAAATAACTTTCAGCCCAAAGGAATAGAATGCTTGTGGGGGCAGAAGAAAAATATAAAAATATAAAAATTCATTTTAATAAATAAATATAAAAATTAGTCAATTAACAAACACGAAAATAAATAAATAAAAAAAACATTAAAAATAAATCTAGATTTTTTCGTCCAAAGAACACCTTAAGGCATTCTATCATCCATAGAAGAACTTTGAGATCTTCTATCATTCATAAAATAGCTTTGAGATCTTCTATCATTCAGAGAAGACCTTGATGTTGTCTATTGTCAATAGAAGAACTTAATCTCTTCTTCTGAGCTCTTCTAAGGACCATAGAAGACCTGAGAGCTCTTCTGTGGACCACAGAAGACCTGAGAGCTCTTCTAACTACCACAGAAGACCTGAGAGCTCTTCTATGAACCACAGAAGACCTGAGAGCTCTTCTATGGACCACAGAAGACCTGAGAGCTCTTCTATGGACCACAGAAGACCCGAGAGCTCTTCTTGGACCACCTTGAGCTCCTCTATGGACCATAGAAGACCTTGAGAGCTCTTCTATGGACCATAGAAGACCTTGAGAGCTCTTCTATGGATCATAGAAGACCTTGAGAGCTCTTCTATGGGCCATAGAAGACCTTGAGAGCTCTTCTATGGACCATAGAAGACCTTGAGAGCTCTTCTATGGACCATAGAAGACCTTGAGAGCTCTTCTATGGACCATAGAAGACCTTGAGAGCTCTTCTATGGACCATAGAAGACCTTGAGAGCTCTTCTATGGACCATAGAAGACCTTGAGAGCTCTTCTATGGACCATAGAAGACCTTTTTTTTTTTTTTTTTTTTTTTTATTTTTTATTTATTTATTTAAATCTTAGATGTACATTTCAATATATATTCTATGTCCCACGAAACTGTAGTTAGTTTGTGTGTGGGATTTACGAACTATAATATTTATACATATTTTTTGGCCATAGTAGCCGTAGACTTCAATGGTTATGTTATTTATTTATATAATTTTGCTTCATTAATTTACTTTTAATACGCTTATCTTGTTCATTCAAAATTTCTTTTGGTAATGCATTTAGTGCAGTAGGAAGTGTAACAGAAATTGAGTACTTTCCATAATCATTTTTGTACTTCGGTATATTGTATTTGCCTTCGGCTTTGCTTCTTGTATTCACTTTGTGATCCAGTTTCTTCGCTAGGCCCCCATCTTCCATAAATTCTTTCACAATAGTGACTGTGTATAACTGATTTATATTGAGTATTGCCATATTTTTGAATATTGCTTTTGGTGATTTCTCTTTATTGCCATGAATGATCTGGTGGGTTTGGTTATCCATTTTCTTGTATACGAGTTTTACAATTCTGTTTTGGGTTGTTTGTATGTGTCTGGTACATTTTGCATTACCCCAGGCTGTAATACCATGCCTAAGATGTGATTCAACTAGTGAAAAGTATGCTTGCTTTAGGACGTGGTATGGTGCGGAATTGCCCAAATGATATAGTGCATAAGCAGATTGACGCAATTTATTCTGCAGGTGTTGAGCATGTACCTTCCATTTAAGGTGATCATCTAAGTAGACTCCTAGATATTTATAGGTTTCCACTACCTCAATCTTTGTGCTGCATTTATCATTGTTGTGTTGGTTTGTGTTGTTGTGTAGACAATTTGTGTCATGGTAGATAACTTCAATATTTGATTTTGGTGTGCGTGTTGGCCTCATGTTCATTATTTTGGTTTTGGATGAATTGACGATTAAACCACTGTCATGACACCATTTAGTAATTATGTTGAATTCATTTTGTAGAGTATTTGTTGCTGTTTTCAGAGATTTATTAGCGACGATAATGGCCGTATCATCAGCGTATGCGAACGCAGTACTCTTTTTAAGCTGATATATCATTTCATTTGAGTATATAATGTAGAGGATTGGACCCAATTTGGAACCTTGTGGGACACCATATGTTGCATTCTTCATTGAACTGCATGTATCATCAATTTTTACACAAAATGATCTTGATGAAAGGTAGTTTTCAAACCACCTCAACGTATTTCCTCGTATACCGCTCCTTTCGAGTGTTTCTATTAACTTTTTATGTGGCAGAGTGTCAAAAGCCTTACTGAAGTCAATGAATAATACGAGACAGTTTTCATTTTGGCTGAGGGATTTACTTATGTGATTGGTAAAGTAACCCAGAAGTTGGTTTATATTCCTTCCTTTTTGGAATCCAAATTGCTGCTTATTAATGATACAGTATTTCTTTAGAAAGTTTGTTAATCTTCTTGTGATGATTTCCTCTAATACTTTTTCAACAACTGGTAGTAAGGATATTGGTCGATAGTTGTCGTAATCCTTTCTATCTCCGCTTTTAAAAATTGGTCTTATGATAGACTCTTTTATTTTGTTTGGTACCACTGCTTCAGTGATGCTGGTATTGATTAATTTAGTTATAACTGGCGTTAAAAGGTTGGCATGTGTTTTTAGATCAACTGAGCGAATATTGTCTATTCCTGCACTTTTTCTTGTATTCAATGTCTTTAATATGTTGTTTATTTCATCTTCGGTTGCATATTCCATATAAAGCGAGTTGTTGACGATTTTTTCCACTCTCGTATTTAAAGTGACAACTGGGCATGAATGTATTATTTTAAGTACGTTCTCGTTAAATTTAGTTGCAAAGTTTTCTGTTACATCCTTTAAAGATTCATTTTTAAAGTGTTTTTTTATTGTATAATCTAGATTTTCCACCGTTTTACCCGTTATTTTATTGATTAATTGCCATGTTCCTCGTATATTGTTTCGATTTAATACAAATTGGTTATGGTAGTAATTATTTTTTGCTTTTATAATTGTTTTATTTAATTTGTTGTTGAAATTTTTATATATTTTTTCATTTGTTTGATTGTTTTTATTTTGCAACCATTTTTTGTATAATTTATCTTTTATGTCGCAACATTTTAGAATATGCTCATTTAGCCATGGATGTGGATTCCTTTTTTTGAGTTTAACTTGTTGAGTTTTTGAGTTATTGTATATATCATTGAAAACAGTATAAATGCTGTTAAATAGATCGTTTGTCCCGTCCGATTCATTAATTAATTTTTCCCAGTCTATGTTTTTTATATCATTGCTTACTTTGTAGTTGTTTAATGAGAAGGTTTTAGCAGTTTCTGTGTTTCGTTTCTTGTTCGAATTGAATTCATTTTCATTGACACATCCTAATATTGCGAAGTGGTCAGATAGATCTATTTTAATCACTGCTGCATGTGCGTGCAAGAGATTTTTATCCCATCTACAGAAGATATGATCAATACATGTCGACGATTTGTTATCCTCCCTTGTGATTTTATTTATCATATTGTGTAAACCATAGGACAATAGGATATTCATATAGTTTGTTGTTGTAATTGTTTGTTTCATCAAGTCAATGTTTATATCGCCCAAAAAGATAATATTATGTTGTCTGTCTATGGCACTTATCAGTTTTTCTAATTCTATCAAAAAAGTTCTTATATTTTTGTTTGGTGGTCGATATATTGGTATAACCGTATGGACCTTGAGAACTCTTCTATGGACCATAGAAGACCTTGAGAGCTCTTCTATGGACCATAGAAGACCTTGAGAGCTCTTCTATGGACCATAGAAGACCTTGAGAGCTATTCTATGGACCATAGAAGACCTTGAGAGCTATTCTATGGACCATAGAAGACCTTGAGAGCTCTTCTATGGACCATAGAAGACCTTGAGAGCTCTTCTATGGACCATAGAAGACCTTGAGAGCTCTTCTATGGACCATAGAAGACCTTGAGAGCTCTTCTATGGACCATAGAAGACCTTGAGAGCTCTTCTATGGACCATAGAAGACCTTGAGAGCTCTTCTATGGACCATAGAAGACCTTGAGAGCTCTTCTATGGACCATAGAAGACCTTGAGAGCTCTTCTATGGACCATAGAAGACCTTGAGAGCTCTTCTATGGACCATAGAAGACCTTGAGAGCTCTTCTATGGACCATAGAAGACCTTGAGAGCTCTTCTATGGACCATAGAAGACCTTGAGAGCTCTTCTATGGACCATAGAAGACCTTGAGAGCTCTTCTATGGACCATAGAAGACCTTGAGAGCTCTTCTATGGACCATAGAAGACCTTGAGAGCTCTTCTATGGACCATAGAAGACCTTGAGAGCTCTTTTATGGGACTGTAGAAGACCTTGAGCTCTTCTATGGGACTATGGAAGACCTTGAGCTCTTCTATGGGACTATAGAAGACCTTGAGCTCTTCTATGGGACTATAGAAGACCTTGAGCTCTTCTATGGGACTATAGAAGACCTTGAGCTCTTCTATGGGACTATAGAAGACCTTGAGCTCTTGTATGGACTTTAGAGAACCTTGAGCTCTTCCATGGCCATAGATGACCTTGAGCTCTTCCAAGGGCTATAGAAGACATTGAGCACTTCTAGGACTGCTTCCCTTGAGTATCCATCCAAAAAAATTGTTGACAAGTTTTTTTTTTACTTTTTGTTTTTTATTTATTTTTATTTGTTGTTTGTTTTTTTGTTGAACATCATTTGTTTTGTATTATTATTATTATTATAAATTTTATATATTATTATTATTATTAATAAAATTATTTTTAATTTTAGACATTAAAACTATTAATCCAGTTTATATAACTACATACATATGTATATATAAAGAATTAAATGGTTTCTGTTTTGTTGCTGTTGTTGTTGTTGTTTCTTCAATTAGATTTGTTTCTGTTTATAAAATTATGTTATACATTTTGAAAACAATGTATGACGACTTAAAAAAATGCGGGTTGGGGGAGGGGATGGTCTTGCGTCTAGGTTTTTTAAAAAAAATAAAAAAAATTTGGGAATCAAACCCAATTTTGCAAAGAAAAAAATTCAAGTTATTAACATAAAATTATTGTTGTTGTTGGTTTGTGTTATGCATATCAAAAAGGCAAAAATATATATATATAGCTATATATCAAAATAAAAAGAATTAAAGGTCATAACTAAAAACTAAGAATTAAGTAAAGAAAAAAAAAACAAAAGGAGATACAATTTTTGAACTGTGGAAGGGGGGAGTTGGTCGTGCTGTTTTGTGGGTGGGAGGAGGACGAACTTGTGATTTTCAGGTGTTGGTTTGTTTTGGACTTTCTGCATATTATTTAAAATTGTAAAAAGGTGTTGATATAACACTTTCCCTATAACTCTGATATTATTTTATTGTTTTTTTTTAATGATATATACGATAGGTAAAAGTTATGTGTTTGTTTTGTGGGTGTGTGTGTGTGTGGTGTGATATTGCCGTTGTTGCACAGCAGCACATTAGAGAAGAGGCGGCGGCATTATTGCTAGAGTTAAAGCTCCAAGTTTTCTTGTTCTTCTTCTTAATTACAAGTTTGCGGCGTCGTTGTTGTGGTAGAGCTGTTTTCATTGGCCGCCGTAATTGGTGGAGATGTGGCAATTTTTGGTTCACCTGGAATGAAAAAGACAACGAGGATTAGATATAAAATAGTTTTGGGGAGAAAATTTAAATGGAATTGAGGAATTCTAATACCTTGTGGTCTTGCATTGTCTATAGAAGACTTTAAGGACTTCTATTGTCTCTAGAAGACCATGAGGACTTCTATTGTCTCTAGAAGACCTTGAGGTCTTCTATTGTCTCTAGAAGATCTTGAGGTCTTATATTGGCTCTAGAAGACCTGGAGGTCTTCTATTGTCTCTAAAAGACCTTGAGGTCTTGTATTGTCTCTTGAAGACCTTGATGTCTTCTATTGTCTCTAGAAGACCTTGAGGTCTTCTATTGTCTCCTTCTATTGTTTCTAGAAGACCTTGAGGCCTTATAATGTCTCTAGAAGACCTTGGGGCCTTCTATTGTCTCTAGAAGACCTTGGGGCCTCCTATTGTCTCTAGAAGACCTTGAGGTCTTCTATTGTCTCTAGAAGACCTTGAAGTATTCTATTGTCTCTAGAAGACCATGAGATCTTCCACCGTCTCTAGAAGACCTTGAGGTCTTCCATTGTCTCTAGAAGACCTTGGGGCCTTCTATTGTCTCTAGAAGACCTTGAGGTCTTCTATTGTCTCTAGAAGACCTTGAAGTATTCTATTGTCTCTAGAAGACCATGAGATCTTCCACTGTCTCTAGAAGACCTTGAGGTCTTCCATTGTCTCTAGAAGACCTTGAGGTCTTCTATTGACTCCAGAAGACCTTAGGGCCTTCTATTGTCTCTAGAAGACCTTGGGGCCTTCTATTGTCTCTAGAAGACCTTGAGGCCTTCTATTGTCTCCAGAAGACCTTGGGGCCTTCTATTGTCTCTAGAAGACCTTAGGGCCTTCTATTGTCTCTAGAAGACCTTGGGGCCTTCTATTGTCTCTAGAAGACCTTGAGGTCTTCTATTGTCTCTAGAAGACCTTGAGGTCATATATTCTCTCTAGAAGACCTTGAGGTCTTCTATTGTCTCTAGAAGACCTTGAGGTCTTCCATTGTCTCTAGAAGACCTTGAGGTCTTCTATTTCCTCTAGAAAACCTTGAGGTATTCAATTATCTCTAGAAGACCATGAGGTCTTCTATTGTCTCTAGATGACCTTGAAGCCTTCTATTGGCTCTAGAACACCTTGAGGTCTTCTATTGTCTCTAGAAGACCTTGAGGTCTTCAATTATCTCTAGAAGACCTTGAGGTCTTCAATTATCTCTAGAAGACCTTGAGGTCTTTTATTATCTCTAGAAGACCTTGAGGTCTTCTATTATCTCTAGAAGACCTTGAGGTCTTCTATTGTCTCTAGAAGACCTTGAGGTCTTCTATTGGCTCTAGAAGACCTTGAGGTCTTCTATTGGCTCTAGAACACCTTGAGGTCTCTAGAAGACGTTGAGGCCATCTAGTGGCTATAAAAGTTCTTGAGTTCTTCTAATGCCTATATAAGACCTTTAAGTCTTCTAATGCCCATGAAAGACCTTAACCTTTTTAACCTAACCTAACCTCGCTCGTTACAGCTACCCTACTTACATAAATCATTTTCGGCTGTTTTATTAATTGCAGGTGTTGTTGTTGTGTTTAATTCTTCAGCATTATTATTTACAACAGCAGCAACAGCATTGCTCGCCGAATCATTTTCCAGCGAATTAGCGCCATTATTGGGTGTTGTTGTGACGACATCAGCAACATCCGCACTATCAACAGTGTCTGTTGTTGAATTTTCCTGGGGAGCAGTGGCAGTAGCCTCAGTTGCATGTTTATCATTTGTTTCCACCACTTGGGTTGTGCTGACAACCTCTGCAGCGGGAGCGGCAGTAGCCTCACTTGTTGTTGCTGCGGCTGGTGTTTGTGATTCAACTATTGCTACATCCTCATCATCCATTTTTTCTACAACATCATTACTTGATGAACTTGAATCGACTTCCATGGGTTCGGGAGTTGTATCTTTAGATTCAATAACTACAGTTTCGCTGGCCGTCACAGTAGGGGCAGCAGGTGCAGCAACAGTTGTAGCATCTGTTGATTGTTGCGGCTGTTGCTGTTCTAAACTTGATGTTGGTTTTTCCACAGCGGCATTTTCCACCAATTCAACTTCATCTGAACTCATGGAATCTGATTGTAGGACAACAACGTCATCAGCTTTGGCGGCAGAAGATTCTTCGGCAACCACAGCAGCAGCATCGGCAACTTGGCTTTGGGTTTCTTCGACGACCGGTTGCAGGGGTGCTGTGTCTGTGACATCTTTAGCTGCAGGTTCTTCTGTGGCTGTTTCTTGTGGTTTTGTTGGCTCCTCGACGGCAGCAGCAGCGGGGGCAGATGCGGGTGCGGCCTCTTCTGAAGATTTTTCTTCATCTGTTTTATTTGTCTCCTGTGTTTGAGCCTTGGTCGCTACCTCGGGTTGCTGGCTTTCTTCAGTTACGACTTTCTCGGCTTTTGATTTTTCTTCAGATTCCTTGGATGCAGCAGCACTATCTACCACTTCTTCGGACTTTTTGCTTTCTTCTTCAGGTTTCTAGAAAAATAAATGTGGAAATATTATTAACGAATTTTTATAAATGAATCCTTTTAGTGATCTTCTTACCTTCTCTTCTTCTCCGGTTTCCATTTCTTCCACTTCCTCTTCCTTTTCGGCGGCTGCTTTATTCTTGGCCGCTGCAGCCTTACCACCTCTACCCTTGGCTGGAGTTTTCTTTTTGCTGGGTGTAGCCTTAACTTCCTCCTCCTCTTCCCCTCCATCTACAGATGTATCCAATTTGCGACCACGACCGCGTGCACGTGTCGGTGTGCTGGCACCACTGGCCGGTGAGGTACGTGCCTTTTTGGCAGGTGGTGGTGTTGCGGCCGCCGCCGCTCTGGTTGGTGTACCTCTGGTACTGGACCGTGTCCGTCTGCCACCTTCCATTTCCAATGAACCACCCATATTCTTAACTAGCTCCTCGCTTTCTAGGCGGGCACGTTCCACATGGGATAAACGTTTTGATGGGGTACGTTTGGCCTGCAAGAAAAGTGAAAAGTATTAAATTTTTGTAAATAAAAACTGGTAAAAACAAAGAAACTTAAAGAGCGGTCGATCAACGAAGAGTTAGAGGTCACTTATGCCAAAACAAGAAGCCATCAAAGTCGTCAAGTCTATAGGAGCGCTTGAGGCCTTTTATGGCTTATATAAGGCCTTGAGATCTCCTGTGGTCTATAGAAGACCTTGAGGTCTCCTAAGTCTTTAGAAGACAAGGAGGTCTCCTATGGTCTATAGAAGACCTTCAGGTCTCCTTTGGCCTATAGAAGACCTTGAGGTCTCCCAGGAGACCGTAAGGTCTCCCATGGTCTACGGAAGACCTTGAGGTCTCCTATGGTATATAGAAGGCCATGAGGTCTCCTATTGTCTATAGAAGGCCTTGAGGTCTCCTATTGTCTATAGAGCACCTTGAGGTCTCCTATTGGCTATAGAACACCTTGAGGTCTCCTATGGTATATAGAAGACCTTCAGGTCTCCTATGGGCTATATAAGACCTTTAGGTCTCCTATGGTCTTTAGAAGACCAGGAGGTCTCCTATAGACATTGAGGTTTCCTATGGTCTATAGAATACCTTGAGGTCTCCTATGGTTTATAGAAGCCCTTAGGTCTTCTATGGTCTATTGAAGACTTAAAGGTCTCCTATGGTCCATAGAAGACCTTGAGGTCTCCTATTGTCTATAGAAGGCCTTGAGGTCTCCTATTGTCTATAGAGCACCTTGAGGTCTCCTATTGGCTATAGAACACCTTGAGGTCTCATATGGTATATAGAAGACCTTCAGGTCTCCTATGGCCTATATAAGACCTTTAGGTCTCCTATGGTCTTTAGAAGACCAGGAGGTCTCCTATAGACATTGAGGTTTCCTATGGTCTATAGAATACCTTGAGGTCTCCTATGGTTTATAGAAGCCCTTAGGTCTCCTATGGTCTATTGAAGACTTAAAGGTCTCCTATGGTCTATAGAAGACCTTGAGGTCACCTATGGTCCATTGGATAACTTGAGGTCTCCTATGGTCTATTGAAGACTTTAAGGTCTCCTATGGTCTATATAAGACCTTGAGGTCTGTTATGGTCTATCGAAGACCTTGAGGTCTCCTATGGTCTATAGAAGACCTTGAGTTCTTCTATGGTCTATAGAAGACCTTGAGGTCTCCTATGGTCTATAGAAGACCTTGAGGTCTCCTATGGTCTATAGAAGAGCTTAAGGTCTCCTATGGTCTATAGAAGACCTTGAGGTCTCCTATGGTCAAATGGAGACCTTCAAGTCTCCTATGGTCTATAGAAGACCTTGAGGTCTCCTTTGGTCTATTTAAGATCTTGAGATCTCCTATGGTCTGTAGAAGACCCTGTGGTCTATAGAAGACCTAGAGGTCTCCTATGGTATATAGAAGACCTTGAGGTCGTCTAATGCCTATAGAAGCCTTTGAGATCTTCTAATGCTATAGAAGACCTTGAGTTCTTCTAATGCCTATAGAAAACCTTAGAATTTTGATTATAAATTATTTTCTAGATCAGGTAACGTATTTATGGTCTTCTCAGGTATGTATGTGGAAATCCTCTATACCTTCTACCAAAGCGTCTAAGTTTACGTTGGACGCCATTGTGAGCGTTTTCATTTAGACACCCCCTCATCAATCTTTCAAATATGAAATGAGGAAGAAAAATAAATACAACAAAAACGTAATTGATTTTTTTTGGTTCTTCCATTCCTTTTTGGCCATTTGTGTGACAAATCGACAAAAATTTGGCGCATGATTTTGTGGTGCGCAATGCCATTTGGACTCGCTCGCCACAAAACAAAAACACTTGTCGTCCCTACCAGGCAGACAGACACATGTATCAACGTTTTGGGGGAGCAAATGCTCTCTTCGACTTTTTCTCTCTCTCTCTCCTTCTCTTGCTCTCCTTTCTCTCGCTCGGAAAAAATGTACATTTGCAAAAAGTGAAAAATTTTCTCGAAGAGGTGTTGAAAATTTTTCATTTGAGAACATCAAATCGTATCGAACGGTACAGCAGAAGTAGCAGCCGAAGCAAAGAAAGAATTCAAAAAGAAAATTCTATAAAACCAAATTTTTCTTTGGGAAAAAGGAAAGTAAGTAAATTTTGTGGAAAAAGGCATGGCAAATTTTCATCGGATCGGAAAAAGAAAATAAAATTTGTTAAATTTTTGCAAAGGATGTGGGAAAAATTATGAAAGACAAGGTAGAACAAAAAATGGACAAAAGAAAGAAAACTCTTGTAATCCCTTAGAAAAATGTATGTGCTTGTGCGAAATGAAAAACCCATAACCCCCTAACCAAACATGGGGAGAGTAGTGGTAGTGAGAGAGCAGAAAAAGTGTTGTGTTTTTGATGCAAAATTTAAAAATATTATTAAAATTTTGAAAAAAGTGTTTTTTGAAAACAAAAACATATTAAAAAATTCCCTTACAGTAACCTCATGTTTTCTTATCCTGCATGTCATAATCCTCCTTTGCGTATGTGCAAGAAGTGTGTGGCAGGCACAGTATAGATTTTTTTCTTGGCCCGACACCTTGTCAAACACACACACACAGACAAATTAACGAAAAATGGAAACTACGACGAGAAAACAATGAGTGGTGGTTGTAAAACAACAAAAATAAATGATGGGATGTTGTCCTAAGGACAATGTAATAATTTCGATAAATGGATTTCATAATAGTTTTAGGATGGATTTACAGTTGTAAAACACATTTCGAAAGACTACAATTTATTATCAAAATGCTGTTGTGGCAAGACTTGTGGGATATGCCTGAATTTGGATAATTGAGTCAAGGACCCAGCAGCAGTTCTCAAAGGATTTCATAATCATTTCCTGGAACAGTAAGAAAAGATTACTCAGTTTTAAATTTCAAAATGCTTTGTCAAAACATGAGGCATAGGGAATTGAGTCAAGGACCCACAGTTCGAGGTTTTTGGTTCCCACAGGATTCTGTAATAATTTCAGAAAGGGAAGGAGGAGTAAATGTTCTTCACTTCTAAAATCCATTATGAAAAAATGCAATTTTACTTCTAAATGTTGTTGTGGATTGTGAGTCAAGGGCCTAGCTCTTCGTTACTATCTAAGCATTGTATGGCATCATCTGAGCAGAAGCCCTATTGAAAACAAGAGCGTTGCTCAACAATTAATCAATGATAAAAATAGACGATAAAATGGTAAAAATATCGATATCCGTATTGAGCTACAGTATGGAAAGGAAAACTTAAAAAATATAATAAAAAATTAAAAAAAAAAATATTAAAAAAAATAAAAAAAATTTAAAAAAAATTAAACATTTCAAAAAAAAAGCAAAAAAAAAATAAAAATTTGAAAAAAATTAAAAAAATAATAATAAAAAAATTAAAAAAATATTAGAAACTATAACAATTGGAATCATGTTTAGGAAATCCATTACATTGGATGTTTTTTTTTTTTTTTCTTTGAAAATTGTGAGGTTTTGTTATATTTTATATTAAAAAAATTAAAAATTCAAATTAAAAATAAAATTCCAAAAAAAAAATAATAATTTGAAAAAAAATTAAAAATTTGAAAAAAAAATTAAAAATTTGAAAAAAAATTCAAAAAAAATTGAAAAAAATAAAAATTAAAAAAAAAATAAAAAAAATGAAAAAAAAAAATAAAAATTTGAAAAAAAAAAATTTGAAACTATAACAATTGAAATCATGTTTAGGAAATCCATTACATTGGAGTGTAAAAATGTTTTTTTTTGAAAATTGTGAGGTTATGTTATATTTTGAACAAATGCTACCTGGCTAGCTTCCCACCCAAATTATGTTTAAAACTATTTTAAAACGGCAAAAGCAGCTTCCAGAGGGAACCTTTTTTTGTCTTCCACAAACTAGTTAGGAATGATTTTTACCAAAATTGTTTACAAATTTTGAGGTTATGTTCAGAAAGAAGCATTTTTTAATTTGGGGTTTTCTGAAAAATTCGCATTTATTAACGAAAAAAATGAAGAAAAATTAAATTAAAGAAATAAAAAAAAAAACAACTGAAATCCAATCCAAAATTTTAATATGTTATATTTTTAATACCAATTTTTTATTTATTTATTTTATTTATTTATTTTTTTTTTTTTTTGAAAATTGTGAGGTATCGTTTTGATGGATATTTTGTTCAAAGGTTGACTAACTTCCCACTCAAAATATATTTAACACAAAATATTTAATCGACAGAAGCCGCTTCCTGAAAAGGTTAGGAATAATTTTACCAAAAAATTCTATTCTAAATTTGGTACCCATTCCGAACTCGAAATACTAATTTTAAAACTATTCCGGTGAAATCAATCAAAAATCATTAAAATATCGAATATCGGAAGGTATCGTATAAGGGGCTACGGTATCGATAGTGGGCACCCCTTACGAACGAACTACACATACCACATTTGAAGCAGAGTCTTATCAGGGAAGATGGAACTAATTTGTAGCACCAAATATTACATTTTAAACCATTCCGGTGGAAAATGTGACACAAGTCTTCAAAGATGAGGACGTGTACCTGTACAGGCAATATCCTGTCATTAAAGATGGATATACGTCCGTTACGAACTCCAAATACCAGATTTGGAAGAAATGCAGTGGAAAATGCGACAGAAAATATCGAATATTGAAAGGTACCACCGACGTAGCCAGAGTGGAATCCGGGCCCACTCCGAAATGGTAAATTTTTGGATATTTTTAGGCAATTTTGCTGGCGAAGTAAAGTACCAATGTAAGTTATTCCTATAGTGATTAGGAATTCTGTTGCGAGATGTTATCCTTCGAAGGCTTGGCCTCCTCCAATTTCAAATTTTCAAATGGAAGATTTCAAATTTTGACCCATTTCGATTCGATAGGAGAGACTATACTAAAGAGGGAACGAATTATTGGAAGTCGATTCCAATATCAGAAGAAGTGGAAAATTATGGTCGGGAGTTGCAGTTATTCACAAGCTATAGCATGGACTGTTTTAACTTAATTCCAATACCCCTTCATTATTGAACATTTCATCATCTCACTAAAATGCCTTTTTTATCACTACTTCTCTTCACAGTCTAGCCTGCCAAGATGTCGTTGTTGAAACGTTTCGCTGATGAGGAACGAGAGTCCAAATATGGACGAGTTTTTGCTGTATCGGGTCCAGGTAAGATAATAAGAACACATCCATTTTAATTGTATTCCCCCATTAAATAAATCCATTTTCTTTCAGTTGTTACCGCCGAATGCATGTCCGGCTCCGCTATGTACGAACTGGTACGTGTCGGCTACTACGAATTGGTTGGTGAAATTATTCGTCTGGAAGGTGATATGGCCACAATTCAGGTGTACGAGGAAACTTCAGGTGTCACAGTGGGTGATCCCGTCTTGCGTACCGGCAAACCGCTCTCGGTTGAATTGGGTCCCGGCATTATGGGTAGTATTTTTGATGGTATTCAGCGGCCACTGCGAGACATTGGCGAAATGACCAGCTCCATTTATATACCAAAGGGTGTAAATGTCCATGCCCTCTCACGTAGCACTGCATGGGAGTTTAGTCCGGTAAATGTTAAGGTTGGCTCACACATTACCGGTGGCGATTTGTATGGTGTTGTGGTAGAGAACACCTTGGTTAAGCATCGTATGATGGTTAGTCCCCGTAGTAAGGGTACCGTGCGTTATATTGCCCCACCGGGTAATTACACCATGGAAGATGTGGTCTTGGAAACGGAATTCGATGGAGAGGTGACCAAACACACCATGTTGCAGGTGTGGCCAGTGCGTCAACCCCGACCGGTTATTGAAAAGTTGCCAGCCAATCATCCATTGTTTACCGGCCAGCGGGTGTTGGACTCCCTGTTCCCCTGTGTCCAGGGTGGTACAACGGCCATTCCAGGAGCCTTTGGTTGTGGTAAAACGGTTATTTCACAGGTAAGAGGATAGGAGAGCCGTTTGGGGAGAGAGTATGGGAAATAATTTGATTTTTTTTTTTCTTTTGATTTCCAGTCCCTTTCCAAGTACTCCAACTCGGATGTCATCATTTATGTGGGCTGCGGCGAACGTGGTAATGAAATGTCTGAGGTACTCAGAGATTTCCCTGAATTGACCTGTGAAATTGATGGTGTGGTTGAGTCTATTATGAAACGTACCGCCTTGGTGGCGAATACCTCCAACATGCCTGTGGCTGCCCGTGAGGCCTCCATTTACACCGGCATTACCTTGTCCGAATATTTCCGTGACATGGGCTACAATGTGGCCATGATGGCCGATTCCACCTCCCGTTGGGCTGAGGCCTTGCGTGAAATCTCTGGCCGTTTGGCCGAAATGCCTGCCGATTCTGGTTATCCTGCCTATTTGGGTGCCCGTCTGGCCACTTTCTATGAACGTGCCGGTCGTGTGCGTTGTCTGGGCAATCCTGAACGTGAGGGTTCTGTATCCATTGTGGGTGCTGTATCACCACCCGGTGGTGATTTCTCTGATCCTGTCACCTCAGCCACCCTGGGTATTGTCCAAGTGTTCTGGGGCTTGGATAAAAAACTGGCCCAACGCAAACATTTCCCCTCGATCAATTGGTTGATTTCTTATTCGAAGTACATGAGAGCCTTGGATGAATATTATGACAAGAATTTCCCCGAATTTGTGCCACTGCGTACCAAGGTTAAGGAAATTCTCCAGGAGGAAGAAGATTTGTCGGAAATTGTACAGTTGGTGGGCAAGGCCTCACTGGCTGAGACGGATAAAATTACCCTGGAGGTGGCCAAACTTTTGAAGGATGATTTCTTGCAACAGAATTCCTATTCACCCTACGATCGAGTGTGTCCATTCTATAAGACAGTGGGTATGCTCAAGAATATGATTGCCTTCTATGAATCGGCCCGACATGCTGTTGAATCAACGGCCCAATCGGATAATAAGGTGACATGGAATACCATCAGAGAATCGATGGGCAATATTATGTATCAGTTGTCATCAATGAAATTTAAGGTAAAATGAGATGAAAAGGAGTAGGGGAGAAGAAAATAATGTAAAAATCTTCTCATTACAGGATCCCGTCAAGGATGGTGAGGCCAAAATCAAGGCTGATTTTGAACAATTGCATGAGGACATGCAACAGGCCTTTAGAAATCTTGAGGATTAAATCAAGCAAAAACCTAATAATTTGATTTAGAGAAATTTTAAAGACAAACTCTTAGCTAACCTAAACGAATAATAACCAAAAACAAAAACAAAATAGAAAACAAGCAACCTGAACAATAATTGTAGCTGGACAAAACAAAAAAAGGTGAATATAATATATACTCAATCTGGTGTATAGTAAAAAAACATTTTTCCTTTCAGATTATCTTTAGGTAATGTTAAGCATATTCTATACAAAAAAAAAAACCAAGCAGATATTATAACACTTTGGAGGCAACTATTCTTTTAGAGAAAAATAAAAAAGTGAAATGTATCTTTGGGCGGGTGGAATGTTCATTGAAATCCCTCCTCCCGCTCCTCCTAGATACATGGAATATCAATATACATGTTGTAAAAGACAAAATTTTCGAAAAATATCTCTCTCTTATTGAAATGTTATATGTGTTATTATTCTATTTTTATTGTATATTAAAATTATATTGAAGTGAAAAAACCAAAAAACATTAAGCTCTCATATGTATAATCCATACAACAACAAAAAGTACTACAATAACTACTAATGGAAATCGTTAAAGACAACAACAACAACAATACAAACATATAATTTTTGTCATTATTTAACAAAAATACTAAATACACACTCAACGATTAGCTATTATTAAATATTAGTAATCGCATAAAAATACCAACTGTTATTTAAACCAAACAAATATTATGTATGTGACGACTATGTGTAAGTCGTTGTGTCTTACATACATACATATTCTAAAAACATTAAACAATAATAAAATAAAAAAGAAAAATGCATTATGTATATTCAAGTTACATTGAAAGTGTTAAAGGTTTTTTTTTTTTAAAATACAATGTATTGAAACGTGGAGAGCAAGTAACGAGAGAAAAACAAGTGAAAAAGCTGTAAGTTGGGCCGGGCCGAACTTTGAATAACCTCCACAATTGAAGCGAATTTGGCAATAAAATCCGTTAAATATTATGTTAAAATCTTAAAAATGCCGAACGTAGCTGTTATTTTAGGATCTATACGACGACATGGATCAGCATAGGTAACATTTGTCATAAGCCATTACAATATTCAAATACGAAGCTTAAAAAAATCATCAAAATACCGAATATTTGGGGGGTACCGTTATATGGGGCAATACGAAGACTTGGACCAGCACAGACAATTTTCTGTCATTGGCTGTAATATTCATTACGAACTTCAAATACCAAATTTAATACAATTCCGGTGAATAAATTCGCTAATACCATCAAAGTACCGAATATAGAGAGGTACCAATTTGCGGGTACGAAGACGTGGACCTGCACATTACGAACTTCAAATACCAAATTTAAAACAATTCTGGTGAATAATGTCGCTAAAATCATCAAAATGCCGAATATTGCGGGGTACCGTTATATGGGGGCTATACGAAGACGTGGACCTGCACAGATAATTTTCTGTCCTAGGCTGTAGTATCCATTACGAACTTCAAATACCAAATTTGAAAAAATCCCGTTGAATAATGTCGCTGAAATCATCAAAATACCGAATATCGGGAGATATCGTTATATGGGGGCTCTAGGAAGACGTGGACCTGCACAGATAATTTTCTGTCCTAGGCTGTAGTGTCCATTACGAACTTCAAATACCAAATTTGAAACAACCGCGGTGAACAAATTCGCTAAAACCATCAACATACTGAATATCGGGAGGTACAGTTGTATGGGGCTATACCAAAACGTGGACATACATGGTCCATTTTCAATACCAAAAGTCCTGCAGACATAATATACATTTGAGTAAAATTTTACCAATCTACTTAATTTCGTTCGGAAGTAATTTCCAAGAATTTTATGCAGATCAAGAATATATATACTTTGTGGGGTCTAAAATGTGTATTTCGAGGTGTTACAAACGGAATGAAAAACTAAATATACTCTCCATACTATGGTGGAGGATATAAAAAATTAGATTGCAACCTCTTCGCCTAGAAGATGTGACCAAGGACTTTAAACGCCGCTATATGGCGCTCATGACGATCAGAAGACAAAATTTTGTGGCCGGCTACGTCAAACAGTGAATCAAAAGTAAGTCCTTTTTGTAGGAAGAAATATGCAAACCCTGTTTGAAATTATGGCTGAATACTTCGAAATACAAAAATGTGGACCGATATAGTCAATGTTTCATACGAATCGAAGCTACTACACCACATAAACGGGTATGACAAATTTCCAAGCTGCACATTAAATAAAGTGGCCAACAAGTAACTTCATTTCAACATGATGGACGGGCGGGAATAGCCAAATGAAATTAAAGTTTCACACTCTGACAAATATTTTGAGATTCTGCAAACCCAACGGATAATGCAAATGGTATCTATGCTGAAACGACTTAGAATTCTTTGCTGATATCATGTATTATGGGGTTGTCTTCAAAATAATGAAATAGTCCATATTTCGTGATACACATCATATGGTGGACTTTATGCTGGTAATATTTACCCTTTTTGAAAAAAAAAGAAATCTTAAATGTTTACTACATAAAATAATCTTCAACTTCATTTAAATATACCTATACCTTTCCACTGGACAATGAAGTCCTTTAATGCAGATGCACACACGCAAATTATAGCTACACACTAGCCAACAGTCATTCTTGGAACATCTTTGGTTTTTACTTAACCATTAAAGTAAAGATATCTAGACAAACAAAAAATTCTCAAAGGAAATTTTAAACAATATTATTTGTACTTATCTCACAAAAGTTTCCACTGTTGAAGGCGGCGACCACAAACTATATTACGTCTTCTAAACATCAATATTTCCTTTTCTCTATATCTTTATTGCCCAAGCAATTATCTTTCAAAAGCTTTTTCAGAGTTTGCCCATTTTTTCACTATGCAATGGGATTTTATTAATAAATTTTTGCAACGAAAAATTTGCTAAAATCCCGCCATTAATGCAACGCCTCCACATGGGCTATCAATGCACTTTACATGGTTAATGTCAAATACTCTGGCCGCCTCACTCGCATGTGGCATCTCTTGTAAGGTGTCAAGTCATTTTAAATAATAACGGCTAAATGTTACAGCTCTCTTCCTCTCTATCTACACCCCTTCATTCATTTAATGTGAGAAATTTCATTTCTCAACGAAATAGAAACAAACACAAAACAAACAACAACGAGCAACATGTAAAAACAAAGTACAGCAAACACAAAACACATAGAAAAAAACACACACGCATACACAAACAACACAAAGGAAAAAAGATCTAACGAATGAAACAAGAAATGGAACAAAACAACGAAATAAAAACAAATAAATTTGAAAAATAGGTTGGCTGATAACACAACGAAGACGGTGGCGACGCTCGGGGCAGCGACGACGACATGAAACAACATAGAATCAAGGAAAGGGAGAAAAAAATATATAACACACACACACGTGCGAGCAACAACAACAACAAATATTAAACACATTTGGTTTGGCCGGCAACGGAGAATCGAACTAAAAATGTAAATATACTGTCGTACAGACACACAAACATCCCAGCAAATATAAACCAGAAACATGAACGACAACAAAAAAAAAATACAGTCACGATGGATAGATAGATGGCTAAATGGATGCGACGGCGGTGTGGTGCTAAAGGTGGCGGGTGTTTTAATACAGATGTGAATGTATTATGCCTGTCATGAATTGAACAGAGTAGAATGTATTGGTAAAATGTTACATGTGGAAAGATAGACCACAAGCAAAGATTCATGTGTAAATCTCAAAAAAAAAAAAAAACAACGAAACATTAACCAGTAGCGCTTGCTAAGCCGCCATTATGGCAATCAATTACAGTGATTGTATTGCTAAACATTTTGCCTGCCATGACTATGGCACTGTTGAGCAATAGTTTTGTTATTGTTGTAAGATATTACATGTTATGCACACAATACAGTTGCCAATTCCCCATTATGTCAAAGTGTAATGAAATTCTTGCATGCTTTCATTTCCAGAGTGTTCCATTCTGTGAGGAAAAAACACGCGGGAAAAAATTCTGCTCACACCGGCAGCGCTGCAACTACTCGTGAAGCTTCATTAATCTCTGCACTTTTGTGCTGCTAATTTTTTATTCCTCTTCTTTGTACTAATCGCCAATCTCACGAATAAAAGGAATAAAATTTAGAAAAAATAAAAAAAACAAGTAACACGAGTAAATGACGAGACTATAACAGAAACGAGGTAAGCTTTATCGCGCAACCTTGTTAATTGGACAATACGACGACGACGAATCATTTATTTGTATGCGCTTTGTCGTACTTATCGAACTCAAATGACGAACATCAACAACAACATTATTATATACAAACAATCAGCACTTACGGGTGTCTTTTTGCTCTCCACTACGGGCGATGATGATGACGATGACTCGGCCTGTTTTTCTGTGGATGCGGCAGCGGATTCCACATCAGCATCTGGTGTTTTTGTAGTGGCATCCTCCTTGGCCTCACTTTGAGCGGGAGTCTCAGCTTCAACTTGTTTTGTAACTTCTGTCGCCTCAGTCGGCTGCGCTGCAGCTTCTGTTGATGGCGCGCTATTTTGCTGTTGTTCACCAATATTTTCCACAACCTCGGACATGTTTTCCTCTTCTTATTTTGATGACTTTATATCAATTGAATATCAATGCTCTTGTTTTAGGATAAAATCTAAAACTTTGTTCAAACAATAAAAAAACACCGCAGAACTTTTATTCTTTGCTTTCAATTGCCAAGCACTCTACTACACACTTCTGCTTTTGGTATTCACGCGAGAAAAAAACGTATGTACGTAGTTTGATTGTATTGAAACAACTCTACTCATGCACAAACACAACTACAGGCACGGAATTTTTTTTTATTTGCTGGTTCACACTCGTTTTCTTTTACCCGTCTCTTTAGAACACGTAATTTATCTTGTTCGACCAATTACAAAGTTATTTGTATTAAACAAAAATACGTATGAGTTTGGGTAATATTTAAGAGAATTGTTTTTAATAAAAATCGTTTATTTTGAACAGAAGTTAATGCACAACAGCCGATAAAAACGCCAACTAAAAGTGTTAATGCTCAACAGCAGAGTAGACGGCAAGTAGTAGTAAATCGATTACAGTTGTAAAATATGGTAGTAAAAACGTTTGTTTCACTGTTATCGATTATTGAATATAAAAGAGAGGGCAATGCATCAAGTTGTTCGTTTGGGCGTTAGGTGGGGTATACACTATCAAACAAACTAATATAGATAAAGTAAAGGTGAAAGTACACAAAAAGGGTTTTAACTGGCATAAGTCATCGGCTGGCTTTTTCGTAGAGGAACAAAGGAGTTTTAGGTTGACTTAGTTCTATTACAGTCCCAAGCTCCTTTGTTCTTTCTGACAAAACCAGTTGGTGACTTAAGCCATTCATGAATTTAAGTAATGAATGGTGCAACTACTCAAGACAACCTCTATTCCAATAAAATATCCAGCTCAGCGGTTTAAAGTACATTCCTCTTAAAATCTACTATGTAAAACACACAATTTCAATATTGTCAAAATTATATTTTTTATTATTCAAAACAATACATATGTATGTAAAAGGTTTGCATCATGTAAACCCAGTAAAATTTAAACGTCAAAACATGATAGAAGAATACATTTACAAGGTGAGACAAAAAAAACTGCAACAAAGTCAAACGCCAAAAATTGTCGGAAATAGCATCAAATTTTAGAATAAGTTTAGATTTGTTCGAATTGGTCGCCTATGGTACGAATTATGGCTTTCTAACGGCCAATAAAACCGTCACACGCTGCCCGAATGTTGCTCTGCGATATTTTGGCCCATTCCCGGCGAAGCGCTTGCTTGAGGTGATCGACATTTTAGTATTTTTTAGTGCCAACCTTGCTTTCCAAAATACTTCACACGCAATTATCTTACCGATTGGTATCCGTAGATTTTAATGGCTATTGTGCGCTGGAAATAAAGCGAGGAACATCATTTTGTAACCATTCTTGGGTGATGCGTGCTGAGTGCGATGGTACTGAGTCCTATTGGAATGTCCAAGGTTTGCGGCCAAAATGTTTGAGTGTCCAAGGCTTTAATACACCCTCCAGAATATTTTCGCTGTTATTGCGGCCCACACCATTTCCATGTTTGGCGCTTGAGTTCTGGTGGCCAACCGAAACTGCACATTGACCTCTTTGGCAAGGAAAAACGATCATTTTTTTTGTTTACAAACTACTGGACAAGAATGTTTTCTTATCGAAGCAAACAAAATTCTTCAGTTCACCACCTTCGGCCAAGCGAAGCAACACTTCAGCACTTTTGAGTCTATTTTCTTTCTGTTGCGGTTGCGGTGTAAGTTCTTTACGCCGAACTCATCCCTCAATATTTGCCGAATGGAATATTTCGATATGTTAAGCTCACGAGCTATTTTTCGGCCACAGCGACACGGGTTTCGATCAAGTAGCTCCTTTACTTTTCGAACCATTTCTGCTGATGTTGGTGTTTTCTCCCGTTCACTTCCTTGACGTCGGGCTACGCTACCAGTATCACGGTAACGAGCGATGGTACGAGACACAAAAAATGTATTCACATTTAAATGCTGGAGTGCTCTAACGATAGCCACTTGGTTTTCCAGCTAAATATAAAGAAATCACACTATCACGCTTGAATTCCATCACGAATAACTTTTTTTTGGAATATTCTCGCCAAAATGCTTTAGTACGCTTGTAAACAATATAATGTGTTTTCACTGGAATAATTTTAACAGCTGTCGGACGAGTCTTAGAAATGACTGCAGTCTGAAGTTCGTTGCATTTTTTTCATCTCACCCTGTAGATGCGCCAACGCTCGGGAACCTTGAAATATCAACATTTTTAAAATGTTCTTTTTCAAAAATAAGTAGATTTTTATACGTTTTCTTTCGCCAATCGGCACATACCAGTTGCATTTATTATATGTAAACACTCTATAAATTACGGCAATTCACAATTGTAGTTAAATGAACTAAAGAAACCAGTTAGCTCAGAAAACTGGCTCTATTTCACAAAGTTCCTTGCAGTGAAAATTTTTTCTGTTGAACTTTCTTTGTTTATTTTGCAAACGGCTCATATTTGCCCGGCATCGAAAGCAAGTTTTCTTATTAAATTTTTAAAACTCTTATAGAAATAAAAAACTATCACATTGACACAACAATGGAGACGGGTTTTGATGTTGGAGAGGCTGCGAGCCATAGAAATGAAATAATAACATATATACTGAATGGAATATCGAATAAACTTCCCCTAAAGGAGAAGGATATGAGTGCAACGCTCAACATTAAGGGAAGGATGTTTAATGTGGCCTTTCAACAGGCAAAATTAGCCTTACAAGAGGTAAGGTAATAAGATTTAAATAAAAATTAAGTATTTCTGATTCATTTATTTTTATTGCAGACATATGGCATTGTTGTTACCGATGTACCTGATACCAGAAGTGGCAAAGCGTTTATATGCTACAACGAAGATGCCGCCAAATGTCATCTTTTGTACGATGAAGACCAACTGCGTCAGTTGACTTTGCTTTTTATTGTGCTTTCCTATTTATTTATGAGAGGTTCAGATGCCCCCGATAAAAATAGTACAACAGAAGGTAGGACGGCATTCGTTGAAATTTCCACATGAGATATTAATTCTTTTATTGTTTTTTGCAGAAGATTTAATTCATTTTCTTAGTGGCTTGCGTATAACATTCGATAGTTGTCATGAATATTTCGGAGCCAACGTGAAAAAATTGTTAACAGAAACTTTTGTCAAACAACTCTATTTAAAAAGGGACAAAGTTATATCCGATATCGACGCAGAAACAAAGTATGTGGAAGATAACAATACTTGAAAAAAAAAAAAAAACGTTTAACATTATTTAAAATAACAATCCATATTTTTAGGTTTTACTATTCTTGGGGTTACCGAGCCCATGTTGAGTTCGATAAAAAGCTTGTTTTTGAGTCCACCGCTAAGGTAATGAACATTTGTTGGCATTATGTATTTATAATTTTTTGTGTCTTTTTCAGATTTTAAAAAAACCCACAAAGATTTTTGTGGCAAAATATAAAGAAATCTATGGTGATGATGAAAATCAAATGCAGGAATAAGTTATTTTCCTTTTGTTATTTTATTCAAAGTTACAAATAAAGGTAAAAGGATTTATGTTTTGTTAAACAAAAATAATGGATTAATTCTTATACTGACTAAAATTTAATTTTAATTAGTGTAAAGAGATCTATATTTTATTTCAAAAAGAGATCTGCATTTCGTATAAAAACAGCCGAGAAAACTATAAAGATTTTCCAGGGCGAAAATCCATAGTTTTCTTTGTGGAAGCCAAGTTCTGAAAAGATTTATCTCTGATTGTAGACATTCTTTCAAATACTATTCAGTTATATGTAAGGGTTATTAGAACAAAACAAAAAAGAAGTCTATTCAAAAAAAAAAAAAAGAAAAATAATAATATTTAATAACAAAACGCTCAGTTGGATTTTGTTTCCAGCTCCTTGTCGGAATACGATATATGATCTTCATAGAATTTAATGACCATTTGTGGTATTTTGATATTGGCCACTGAGGCTGGCACAATACCTGTTCGTTTGACGCCCTTGAATCTTATAAGGAAATGGATGTTACCATTTATTTCAAAGGCCCCAATAATCGTTTCGGCCTCTATGCCCCTGTGGAAACGTGTAATATGCAAGAATTTGGAATTATTATTGCTATGCTTAGATTCGCAACTCGGCTTTCTCTTTGGTTTTGAATCTTGTTTGTGTTCAATATTTTTGCGAACTATTGTTTTTGAATTTCCAAGTTTGCGTTTGGAGGATATTCTTCCCTTGGTTATAGAGGATATATTCTTCTTAGTTCCTGATGCTGAATTCATGTTGGCTCTGAAGTTTTGTTCTTTTTCAAATTTCCTTAATAAAGCAGAACAATTTAGATGCTCTTTACGTTCCCAGGTGTTTTGGGTCTCTGGATAGCCTTTCCATTTGAGAAGATATTCAATCCGTCCATTTCGTCTACGTCGACCACAAACCCTTTCCACGATGTATTCCTTATGTTTTTTATTTTTAATGGATTTCATTTTGTTTTTATAAAATTATATCTATTCAATTATGCATTAAAAGGATAAGAATATCAAATTTTTGACAATTAACCGACAACGGAGTTGTAAACTTGCCCTACTCATTGTTGCATGTTTAAGCAAGACCAATTGCTGAGAAATGCATCTCTGAAATGCCCCAAGAAAAAGAGAGCAAATACAAACTAGGGTTTACACAAGACAAGTTCTAAAGTATGTAGTATAAAACAGGCATTGTAGCATGGCAGAAGAATGCAGGTAGATACATCAACGCTTGGGAACATTGATATGTCAAAAAATTTTAAATATCTTTTCAAATATAAGTAGATTTTTATATGTTTTCTTATACGACGTCATTCGGAGGTTATTATAGTACGAAAATAATTGACAACCGCGTAAACTGAAAAATGGTTCGAGAAGTAAAGAAGCGACTTGTTCGAAAACCACGTCGCAGTGACCGAAAAATTGCTCTGGAGCTGAACATATCGCAATACTCCATTCGGCAAATATTTAAAAGTGAGCCATTGGAATTACAAAAAGTGCAAGAACTTACACCGCAACAGAAAAAGAAAATAGACTCAAAAGAGCTAAAGAGTTGCTTGCCTTGGCCGAAAGTGGTGATGGTGAACTGAGAAAACATTCGTTGTCCAGCAGCAGTTTGTAAACAAACAAAATGATTGTGTTTACTTGCCAAAGATGCTGAAAATGCGCACCTTCGGTTGACCACCAGAACTCCAGCGCCGGCCATGGTAATGGTGTGTGCCGCCATAATAGCCGATGGTCCCTAATCGACCATGGCATCGGAGTAAATGCCGAATGTTATAGTAAACATATTCTGGAGAGTGTATTAAAGCCTTGGGCACCCAAACATTTTGGCCGCAGTCCTTGCACATTCTAACAGGACTCAGCACCATCGCCCTCAGCACGCGCCACCCAAGAATGGTAACAAAATGACGTCTCTCGCTTCATTTCCAGTGTACAATGGCCCCAAAATCTCCGGATACCAATCTATTGGACTATTGCGTCTGGAGTATTTTTGAAAGCAAGGTTGGCACTAAAAAAATATACCAGTGTCGATCACCTCAAGCAAGCGCTTCGCCGGCAATGGGGTATTTTGTCCCATTCCCGGCAGAGCAACATTCCGGCAGTTTGTGGCGTTTTCATTGGCCGTTTGAAGGCCATAATTCGTGCCAAAAGTGACCAATTCGAACAAATCTAAACTTATTCTAAGATTTGATGTTGTTTCCAAAATTTTTTGCTTTCATTCAAAAAAATTAAAAAAATATGGCGTTTGACTTTGTTGCAGTTTTTTTGTTTTTATTTCACCCTGTATCCCTAAAGGCTTATTTCGCTACAAAAAACTGTAGGCTTTGTCGATGCATGCGTTGCAATAAGCATTTTGAAAACACCCGAATTTAAATATTATTTGAAAAACATCATTTTTAAAAAAACACGCTTTGTCCAAAAGATCCCCAAAGCACAGCAATTTGAAACAACAAAATTTGTGGTAGAAAGTTGTACTCATATCACCTGAAAACTCCAACATGAAAGTAAACAAGGACTAGTAATTCATATAAGTCGCAAATAAAATGAAATTATCTGCACATCACAAGGGCGAAATTATGCTATTTCGATAATTAATGCATGAACTCTATTGTCCTGTCTCATGTAAATGCAGTGTTATTTATTTTAAGTCATTTTTTTATTTGTTCCTTTTTTTCTTTTCTTCCTTGTCGATACCACACTGCATGTTCTTATTGGTGGCTCCTAAAAATATTACGTATGACAAAAAGCAAAAAAAAAATTTAAGGAAAAACTCATTATTTGCAGTGGGGATGTACAAAATAATGATTTATATGTCTAATACATTAAAAAGATCAATAATTAATACATGAATGTTCTAAGAAATAATATTTCCCACTAATCCAATGTGCCATGCGGCAATATTAAAGAGTGCACCTCCTTTTTGCAGTTCTAGTTTGGATTCTTTATTTGTTTACATTTGTAAACTTCTTGTTAGAATTAAAGTATTCCCAAAAATAGAATATAATAAAAGGAATTATTATGGAGGCTGGGAAGGAAAACAATTGTCAGGAGACTTTCGGTGATTTTGATTTGAAAAATTTACTCTGTGACCAGGAAGAGACTGAGGTGCCTCTTTTAACCGAAATGGTGGGTAAACTTCAATGTATATATGTGTGTGTGTGTTGTTCTTTAATTAATTTTTCTTCCTTTCCGTTCTTAGGTGAGAAACCACTACCTCAATTACCTGGAAAAACAGCTCATGGAAAATTTCCTTAAATGTTATAATAATCTGGATGATAATACGAGTGACCAGGAAAACGAACAGCTTAATGTGTGTTCGGAAAAATATAAAACATCTATTAAGAAGACGGCGTTTTTGTTGGAGGACAAAGCTGTGGAAGCATGCCGCATAGCCCTAAGATACCAAAGAGCTATGGTGAAGATTGTAAGTATTGATGGATTGGACATTATTATATTGGAAAGTGTAATATATTTAAATTTTAGAACAAAAATCCTATGGCAGGATGGATATATCTATCCATGGATTCTTCATGTAATTGATAATTAATATATTTTCTCCCACAGATTGCCATTGTGAGACGTTCGACCCAGGAGAAACGCCTTATAACACCTCTGGAAAATACAATCTTGAATTTTGAATTGAACCAACCCCAAACCAAAGGCACCCAGACTGATGCAGTAATAGATCACAAAACAAATGTCATCGATATTCCCCACAGAAACGAGACGATTTCCCTCCAGAAGCCAGAAAGGGAAATTCATTCGAATGAAGATACTTCACATGAGATGACCTTGGATGAAAAAATTGAAATATTTAAACGTCATTTGCAAAATGGTCACAATACTCATGCCGTGGACATAACAAGACATGCAGATAAGTCATTGGCCACCAAAAGACATTGTCAAGTGAAAAAGTCACACAAAAGTAATAGAGAACATCATCATCATCCGCGGCGTCATCATAACCATCACAGGCCTTATAAGGAAATAAATAACCATCAGATGGGGGGAAAATTACCCATAAGTCCTGCAGACACCATGTTGACTTCTCAAAAATCATCGCCACATCCTGTAGAAAACCCCCTAGAAGTAGTTCATGAGGAACAAGAGGAAGAAGTGTTAACAAAATCCATAAATAATCTGGTGGCCGATATGGAAAATTCCAATGATAGTGTCGCCTTGGAATTGGCCCGGTTATTTAGTGAAGAGAAAACCGAATTGGATGAAATATTTGGCATAGATCCAAATCAAGAACCCGATGATCCACAAATCTGTAAAATATTAAAAGAAATTGAGCAGGCTCAAGTTGGTGGTGGTTGTGGTGTTGGATCACAGCAGCAGCCCCAAGAACATACTCCAAAATATGACAACATACAAAAGAGTCCCACAATACAATCAAATAGTAATAACAAAAACAATGCAGACCAAACCTCCCCGAACCGATCCACAAATAACCCCTGTGAAAAAGATCTCAGCAATAGCCTCTGGCCATGCGAATTGTTTATGCAAAAACGCAAACTAAGCGAATCATTGGCCCGCCTGCTGGAGGAAGATTTGCGTTGGCATGATATCATGAAATGGAAATTTGCCGAATTATTTGGCGAGGATAGTGACGATGAATTCACACCATGCAGTCCGAGCATTGAATTGGACGAGATATTAATGGGCAGCTGTGTGAAACGTATTTCGCCATGGGTTGTAAAACATCTTATGAAACCAATGAAACATGGCCTGATTGGCAATCGTTTTGTTTTCAAGAAATTAGCTAAGCATATAGCTCGTTCGATTATCATGGAAAATCAATATCCCGGTAAGTATTCGTATGACATTTGTTGTTGTATGTGATGAAATTGAATTGTTTCTTCCAGATGAGGCTATCGTCAAGGGATGTATTGAAAATTATTTTTGCCTGCATCAGGCCGTTATGACACTGGACGATTTGCAAGATGTACCAAGTATATCGTTAATATAAATGAAGGATACAACACCTGTATAGAATAGTTAATTAGTTTAGTTTTAGGATATGTGTATTTCAGTGAAATATAAATATATATTTTTTTGTTTTCAAATACATTAAGCTATTTATATTTATTTTTTTTTAATATTTTCAGATGCTTACCTGGTTTCAGGGATTTAAAAAAAACCTACTTAAAAAGACATTTTCTTAATTCGTGGCCTTTGGAACAACATGTTAGGGGCCGTTTATGTTTACACAGTAAGCCATAAGGCTAAAGAGGGAATATATATATATATATTATTTGATACGGCCAATATGTGCCAGATCGAAAGAATTACAATCTTAGAATCTAGGTCTCTTAGAACGAAATCTGTTTCAGAACAGAACGCTCTAGCGGTGTCCGTTCATCCGTCTGGCTGGCTGGATGGTTTAGATTTTACTCTATTTTATTATCAAACTTAGATCGGATTCGCAAAATTGGTCCACTTCTTCTGGCACCTACCATAGAAAAGCTCAACATTTCCAAAGAAAAAAAATAACTCATAAAAGAGAAAAAAACATAGAATGTTGTTCCAACATTGCAAGTCCCAACAATATCGAACGACTCCATCTGGTACCTTCCAACAAAGGGTTGCAATTTTGAATAGCCGAGAGAGAAACAAACATCCGATCCTCTCCAAATTTCAAACATCCCAATATTTTTTTTCCAACACAAGATCTGATGTGAAGATGAAAGGCATCGGCCCACTCCTTCCAGTACTTTCCCCACAAAAGGGTCAAAAGTTTGAATAACCTAAACTCTCCTAAAAGGCAAAATGCCCACCCGATCCTCTTCAAATCTTACACATCCCAATATTTTTTCCAACACAAGACCTGATGTGAAGATGGTAGATATCGGCTCACTCCTTCCGATACCTTCCACACAAATCGGTCAAGATTTTGAATAAACAAAACTCTTCTAAAAGGCAGAAAAAGGCTTCCGATTCTCTTCAAATTTCACACATTTCTATATTTCTAGCAACACAAGATCTGATGGGAAGATGGTAGATATGGGATCATTCCCTCTGGTATCTTCCCCACAAATGGGTCAACATTTTGAATAACCAAAACGCTCATAAAATGCATAATAAGCATCCGATCCTCTTCAAATTCTAGACAACTTAATATTTCTATCAACACAAAATCTGACGTGAACATGGTAGACATCGACCCATTCCTTCCGGTAGCTTCCCCCCAAATGGGTCAAATTTTTGAATAAACAAAATGCTCATAAAATTTAAAATAAGCATCTGATCCTCTTCAAATCTTACATATCTCGATATTTCTAGTAACACAAGATCTTGTATGAAAATGGTAGATATCGGCCCACTCCTTCCGGAACCTTCCCCACAAATCAGTCAAAATTTTGAATAGCCAAAACTCTCATAAAAGTCAAACTAATCACCCGCTTCTCTTCAAATTTCACACACCTCAATATTTTTACCAACACAAAATCTGGCGTGAAGATAGTAGAACGGTCCACCCCTTCTATTATCTGGTACCTATACATCTGTCGGCCAAAACAGTCTGATATTTTTAAACCTGTTTTCTACTGAAATATGTTCCAGTTTTCCAGTTCTCATTCCCCCAACCCAACCTCAATTTCCTCAAACACCAATAAGAACGAAAAGAATTCATTGTTTTTTTCTGAAGTTATGATTACAATAAGATTTTTTCTTTTTTGTGTTTTTTTATAATTATATAAATTTTTTAAATAGTTATATTATATTTATTTTAATAAACGAATATTATGTTGTTGTTGTTTCTTTCATTTTTGCTGGTGTTGTTGCAACTGCTGCTTCTGTTTCTGCTGTGCATGCACATGCTAACTAACATCTGCCTGTTTCATGATCATCATCAACATGTTCATCAAATCATACATACATACACACATCATAATCAGTATCATCATCATCATCAACTACTGCTGCTGCTGCATCGTCGGGTTGTCCACTTGCCGAGTTGTTGTTGCGGTTTTTATCAAATCATTGTTGCTGCACTCAGTTCAATGTGCCAATTGAAACAATTAAACATTATTGACAGAAGAGGAGGACAATGTTTTGTTGTTGTTTTACTTTTTTTTTTGTTTGGGAGAAGTGGAGTATGGATGGCATCACACATTGCTGTTGTTGTTTGTTTGTTTTCTTCTTTACAACCCAAAACATACCAAAGAGAGATAGATAGAGAGAGACATTTATGTGCTGCATAAGAAATTAATAGGGAGAGATGTTTTTGTGTGTAGTGGTGTTCTTTCGGGGGTTGGCGATCCTTGGCCATCCAAATGCCCATCATCACCATAGTGATACTTTGGTGAGATTTTCTTGTTGTTGTTGATAATGCTGTTTGTTACTGCTGTGGTTGGTGGTGGTGGTGGTGGTTAATTGGTTGCTAAGAGTGATTTTTATAATTGCGACGACAATGATCTTGTTTGTTCTTGTTGTTGTTGTGGTTATTCGGGCTGCTGTTGCTATTACATTTCTTCTCAATTTTATTATAATAACAATGCTGCTGCTGTTGTTGTTGTTTGTTTTGCTGTTGCTGTAGTGATTTGGCGGGTCTATGGAGATGATAACACTACCTAGTATCGGGTATTTGATTTGTGTTTGCTGCCGACATCGCTGCTGCATTGGCGGCAGCATTTTGTTTGTATTTTTGTGGCTGTTGACCTTGCTGTTGTTGTTGCTGCTGCTGCTGTGCCTGGGAACCTGTTGCAGCTGCACCAGCAACACCACCCGCTGCCTGGGGTGGTGGACGACCACGTCGTTCAATGCCTCTATCTGTTGCTGCCCCACCAGCTGCCGCAGCTGGTTTGATGCCAGCCGTTGCATTGCCGGCCGACTTCTTTTTACTTGAATAGGCCTGCTGCTGTTGTTGTTTCAAATCGTCAACAACGAAATCTTCCGGCGAGGTTTGCTGCTGTTGATGTACCTGTTGGCGCACCGTGCCACTGCCACCACCAACACTGCTTGTTGTATTTGTAGTTTGTGCAGACGCATCTGCAGCATTGTTGTTCATCATGGTTTCCCGCGTATTGTCGCCATACGACGACGACGACGATTCACTGTCATTGGCTGTGTTGTTTGTGTTGTTGGCGGCCGCTGATGCTGCCTTTTCATTATTTACATTATCACTGTTGGTAGTCTCTTGCGATTCGCCACGTTTATCATGCTCTGGATCCAGGTCCAGGGATGTACAGGCCAGGGTGGAGAGCAGCAAGGCCTGTACAAATTGTGATCTACAAGGGAAGCAGGGGGAAAATAATTAATAAAAAAATATATTTTACTTTTAGACTAAAGTTAACTCACCTATCAGCCCTTTCTCGGCCGATCTCAGCCCATTCGGCATCACTCAGCGTTGGCTGCATGAACTTTGTGAGCAAGAACTGTGATTGGGCGCCATCAGCTCCACTACCATTGCCCGATGCCCCACCAGCAGCTGCTGATCCAGCATTTGCTCCACTGCCAGAGCCACCAGCAATTGACATGCCCAGCATGCTGTTCCCGTTGCTACCACTGATTCCACCACTGCCACCAGGCTGTAGAAAGGAGGAATATTGTGGTGACAAACCGAAATCGTTGAAAGACAAATAATTGCTAGAATTCAACGTTACTTCTCTAGTATTTAAAGCATTTGCAGCCAGACTTGATTGTTGCGATTGATGTTGGGCCGACACCGACCATTCATTGGTGCGCGATGAGCCACTGCCGCCACCGTTGGCATTCGAGCCCGAGCCGCTACCACTGATTAGACCACTACCAGATCCAGAACCACCACCGCTAGCACCACTAATCACCTCGGCCATGGTGGCATTTGAATTCGATGATGAGACCAATGGATGGGCACGTCTTGGCAAACGTTCCAGCTGTTGACGTGTGGCCTAAAACAACAAAAAAAGAAAAAACACATTTAGTATCGCCATTATCCCTTGCCAAAGCATTGGAAGTTAATAATTGCCGTCACTTGTTGCCGTTCCAATTGGATTTGCATTTGCAATTGCTGCAATTGAGATGTTGGCGGTCCGCCTCGTCTGACACCAGATAATTGTGAGAGAAGCTCAGCAATCGGATCAACCGATTCCCGTCCAGAGGGTGATAAAGCTGAAAGACCACTCGATGAGCTGAAGTGCATATTGGAACGGCGTGCCCGTGGTCCGCCAAGTGTACGTCCTGGTATGCGACGTACTCCACCGCCATGTCGTATAGCTGAAGGTTCATCGTGCAAAGGAGTTAAGGATGGAAAACCCAACAAATGTATATGTGTGTGTTTGTATGGTTTTAGATAAAATAAAAAGATAATAAATTGTAGGAAAGGGGAGGGGATAGGAATGGGATTCCAGGTCTGAGGAGGGAGGGGGAGCGGGGAGGTATGGGATTCCAGGTCTGAGGAGGAAGAATAATGGGATTTTGAGGGGTAATGTTAATTCGTAGCAATTTTAAAAGCATTTTCTTTCAAAAAAATCCAAATGTTCGTGGAATGCTTGCGAACATTTTTTGCAAGACTATCCAAAATTTAGGATTTTTTTAAATTATCTTAGCTTGCGTTTTTTAAATAATTTTCAATCAATTTAAGAGATCATGAATTGTTTAAAAAATATTTTTTCAAGACCCTTGGACACAGCTGAAAATTTTTTCTCTAAAGACTTTGGATTTTTTTTAAATGTCTTTAAAATTTTTCTAGAATTTAGTTTGGATTCTATTCTATTTTTAGTTTTCAAAAAAAAAAACTGTTTAAAAAATGTTTGTTTTTGAAAAGGATATCAAAAATGAAATCAATTCCCGTGGCCCGGTGCGATGTTCCAGCGATAGATGACCGGCAAAATCATCTGTGACTAGATTCGGTTCACCACCAGGCAGGCCGGCGCAGACCGGACACACAACTTCCGAACTTGTCTCCGTATGTTCCGATGATACATGTTCCAGCAGTGTGGCATCACTGAAACCCATTTTTTTACAATACGGACAGGTAAAACTTTGTGGCTGCTCGGAATTGAGCATTTCACCACCAAAGAACAATTCAATATCCGAACGCGTTAGAATACATTGCATAGGATGTTCAACCAAGTGGCGGGTCGATGTGACGCCCTCTTCATAACAATCGGCACATAAATCATAATCATAACAAATTAGGCATTTGTAGCGGCGACCATTGAAATTCGATTTAAGACATGAATCGCAGCTGACACCTGCAGGGTGAGAAAAAGAGAAACGAAATAACAAAATATTAACACACAATTACTTGTCTGAAAATGTTTTGGTAACCCACCTTCATGGCGACTCATTATTTAGTTATGAAAACTTATAGCAGTTTTCAATTGAAATTCCTTGCATCCACCTTTGAACTTCCAATTAGTTGATTTTTAGTTTGATTGCCTGCTTTTTGCAACAACTGCTTTCGCTCCACCTGCTGCTCCTCTGCCAATATTTTGAATAGAAATAACTAAAGATAAAAAGGCTATGCCTTTTGTTGTTTTTTTGTTAAGCACCAAATTGCCTACTGCTTTTAGTAGATTTGTTTTCTTCTTTTCTGGGGGGATTCGTGTCTCGAGTTGTATGCGTATTAAGGGGTATGTCGTTGGAAGTTGTTATCTTCCAAAAAAGTTGTGTTTTCTCTAGTGGCTCAAAGAGGAACTCTTTTAGCAAAAAAACGTATTTTTTCAATTACAATAATTGGAGTTGTATGTTATATTTGTTTGTGGTTAGTAAGAAACGAAATGAACTAAATTCCCTTGCAGCAACAAATTAATCTGTAAATAAAAAAAATGTGAAAATAAGTATGAGTATAATTATGTTCTGTAGATTTTAAATTAGAAAACAATTTGATATGAGATTTAAATGTTTCCGTATGGGTAAATATTTTTATGAAATTCAAATTATCCACAGAGGAAAGCGCCCAAGATTCGGACAGACCGATTAGAGGATACTGTGCTTCCAGTGACGAATAAAACCTAAAATGTTTTTATAATTCACTTTTTTATACTGAAACCTCCAAGGGCAATGGATAATATTAACAATATTTAAAATACAAAAAAAAATCTCAGACTTGCTTCGCGTGTTATGGGAGTTATGATTATTTAAAATTTGGATCCTTTGTCGAGGGTTGAGGAGTTGGTATTTTCCAACTTCACACCAGACCTTAATAAAAATATTGCGATGTGTGTAATTTGAAGAGGACCGGATGCTTATTTCGGATTTTATGATCGTTTTTGTTATTCAAAACTTTGATCATTTGTGGGGGAGGTACCAGAAGAAATGGTCCGATCTCTACCATATTTATGACAAATCTTGTGTTGATGAAAATATAGAGATGTACCAAGACTGAATGGAATCGAATGCCAATTCCGTGTTTTATGAGCTTCATAAATATTCAAAATTTTGACCCTTTGTGGGGGAGGTACTTGAGGGAGTGGACCACTATTGTCTATTTTCGCATCTGACCTAGCACTGATACAACGTTTTGACTTTTTGTGGGGGAGGTACCGGAAGGAGTGGACCGATTTTGCCTATCTCCGAATTCGATCTAAGTTTGACAATGTACCAAGTACCAAGTTTGGATAAAATCGGATACTTCATCCGAGAGTTATCGTGGGCACCAGTCAGCCAGACGGACGGACATCACTGGATCAATTTCCAATGTCCTGGAACGGATTTGGTCCAAAGAGACCTATTGTCTAAAACCGTTATTTCGAAGCGGCACGTTTTGGCCATATCAAATGATATATACCCCCTCTAGCCATATGACTGAGGGTACAATAATTTCATATTATTACTGGATGAAGAGTCCTTTTTGTCACCTGACCGTGCAGTGATATAAATATGAGGAAAATTTTCAAAGTTTTAACAAAATCGTATAAATCTTTCTATGAGATAAATTATTTTCTTTGAAAATTTTAACTTTATGCTTCGAAATTCAGCTAATTTGTGGGTCTGTAGCCATCATATATCACCAAGAGTCTACACCCCCTTGATAAGATAATTGAAGGGATACATGCAGTTTAGCTGACACTAAACCTTTTCAAAATCTTTTCAAATTCTCTTCCAAGCAATTGGTCTAAAACAATCCTGATTTGTCTGTTATTTGTCGGCATTCATATTGTTTGATTTATGAAACCGGTAATTGCATCAGACTGATATAAAGACTGTCTCATACATCGGAACGTGTAGGGACACGCATGGGTAGATGAAGACTCAGTTAAATACAGAAGCTAATGTGTCTGCATCTAGAGGGTAATGGATTACGTATGTAGGGTAGTTATGGAGTTAGTCCCTAAGGTACTCATCAACTCATTCTCCATATATTCCAAAATTGCTCTGGGCTAGAGATCTGTCTTGGAAACTGTCATGGCCTATAAGTTTACACTCAGTTAAATACAGAACCTAATATGGTTGAAGCTATGGAAATGCTAATGAGGGTTGTGGATTCGATCAGACTGCATACTACTTGGACATGGCTGAATAAGCTTGTTGATGTAGAAGCTCCCTGCCTCTCTCTTATATCGGAATGTGTAGGTGCACGCTTGGGCAGATGAACACTCAGTTATATACAGAAGCTAATGTGTCTGAAGCTAGAGTATGATAAATTACGCATTTAGGGTAGTTATTTAGTTAGTCCTTAAGGTACTTATCAACTCATTCTCCATCTACTTCAAAATTGTTTCAGAAACGTTGAAACTATGGGCATGGCTTTTAAGTTTTCCATTTCGACATTCCATTCAAACGCGCGTGGCTAGATTTACACTCAGTTAAATTCAAAACCTAATATTTTTTAAGCTATGGAAATGCTAATGAGGGTGATGGTTTCGGTAACCATGTAGTTATGCAAGTCGATCCTAGGGGTACTCATCAACTCATTTTCCATCTAATCCAAAGTTCTTCAGAACTATAGATTTGTCTTGGAAATTATGGTTAGTGGCGGTTAATTTTGGCGGGTATCGCGGCAATTCGATTTCAAGGATAGTGAAAAAGCCATAGGCTTAGCATTTCTCGAAGATAAAACTTGTTCTACGATATAGTAAGCATTAAGAATATTTTCTCTCTGGACAAAGTAGGGATCAAAATTTCGAGGAAAATATTGAATCCTTAAGACGGTATGCGGATGAGAAGGAATAAAACCTCGATCAAAATCACAGACAGAGACTAATCATTAAATGCTTCTTGATCCGTTACATGGCATTGCCCTGAATGACTTTGCAGGGGGTCTGGCCGTATCTATTCTACCTCTGGAGGTCAAGTTTTAGGTTAAAGGACGAGCAATTGCTTATTGAAAATGAGTTCACTCGAAGACCTATATATATGTATATTGTGTTCATCGTAGAATGCATTTGAGAGAAAAATTGCGGTTTCACTTTCATCTTCTTCTTGACAGAGCTTGCAGTGGTCGGCGGTTTGGAACTTCCCGGGGCAGTGTTTCCCTACGTCAGTGAAGAATGACATAAAGGTAACTTCACTGAGTGATCTACAAACATCCATGTCGATTGACTCATTATTATTGGGTCCTAAATACCAAAAATATATTTTGCTTGGCATTCTAAGGTCATAATGTAATCAAATTCATGGACATAGTCTAACACTCAGCTACGCCACAAAATCTCCTTTTAAAAACTAATGCCTTTTGTCGAGAAATCAAGACATTCGGCAATGCACCGACTACGAGTCGAAGTCACCTTTTAAAGTGACTGGTTTTGGTGGGTCTTTAGGAATATAAGAGACCTAATTTCCAGGAAAAGCTGAAGCGACAATCCTTCTCCGGAAAGAATCGATATGTTTGTACTGATACAACAAGGAAGTCCCCTGTAAAGTCCGACGTTCAAAAATGCAATCCAGTATGAATGGTTTTCACCCAGTTGGGTTTCACTATAGCGACCTCAGACCATACAAATACCGGCCAAAATATTCTACATATTCAAGCTAAATCGGATTTTCCAAAGGTCCTTTAAAATTTTCCATATTCCGTGAGCTTGCTGGCTTGAGTAATAGGCTGGATTCGAAAACCCACATGCCTTTGGATATTTTCTTCACAGTTGGAATACTATTTTTTTCCGTCCAAACATGTGTTAGAAACCACTTTATGGAAATGCCTTTTATAGTGGTGTTGCTCTGCAAATAGGGATGCAAAGTTGAGTTGTCGGAGTTTATGTCTTATAATCGATTTCGGAAGTTTCCTTTGCATTGAGTGGCAAAAGTGAAGGCTTAAATTAAATTTACACCCAGCCGGCCGACAAATCAAAATTGATAAGGTGGGCCGGCCTTTTATCCCGATTACAACAATGCAATTCAAAATATTATTCCGATTGCAGCAACACAGTTAATTCCGCTGGCTGGGTGTAAAATCAATTTGTTCCAAAGCTAAGACAATATCCACATTGCGACTACGGCTTTGAATCGATACCGACCTCTACACTGGCGACTATCGCTCGACTCCCCCGAAAATTTGGTTGCAATATGGATTTGATTTACAAATACTTATTGGTCATCTCTCTCCTAAATTTTGGAAATCTTAGGAAAATCTGAAATGCAAATTATTATTGCATTATTAAAGGCCAAAACCCCAACAAAAAATCTTGATATTTTAATTACCTTTATGTATATGTAAATACAAATTATATACCTATGTGTAGATATATAGTTTATTTGGTAAGATTTGAGAAAAACACTTCCACGGAAAATGCCGAAAATCGACCAGGGGAAAAGTGATGAAAATGAGGCGACAACACAAAGAAACGGCCGAGAAGAAATCGAATTTTGATGGCTGAATACTTTTCGTTTCTTTCCTTCTTTTTTTGTGTAATAATTGTGTTGTTTATATGCAAAATTATTCATACACTCTCAACACACAGGCAGCCACATATATTTTCTTATTTTTTTTGGGAAATGGTTTACATTCCTTCAATGTACAAAACTTTTCTTTTGGCATTTGCATAGAGCAGCAGCACCAGCCAAGAACACCTCACATGGGGATCGGGTATGATGACAATCAGTCGCGATGCGGTTAAAGGCAAACGTTTTGGCAGGCAGGCCGATTGCTAAAATCAATCTTCCTCAAATATTAGAAACAAATTATGCATTTTTTAAACGTATTAAAAATTATACTTTTCCTATGCTCGGCAATGGCGAGTTTTATTTAGTTGTGCAGCACATTTTTATGACGGCTCCAATGATATTTTCTTTTGACTTATTCTTGTGCAAAAAAAAAGTATTTTGCCTCGGATTTTTTGCGTTTTCTTTGTATTATTATTTTTTCTTTTTTTTTTATTCTCACGAGTGACGTTCCGTAATATTCGTCTGATTATACACAGAACAACAACAGCAGCAGCCAGCCAAACAGCCAGCTAGCGATATAAAAGGCCTTTCGCATTTAAGTGTTGCAAAATGACAAGACAAAACGAAAACAGTTCAACAAATTAAATTACTCACACACTGCACACAAAAACAACAGCGAAAATAACAAAATTATTTTATTATTTTCTTTATAATTAAAAGAAACGGAAATTACCAACAAAATATTAGTAATATCTTGCCAAATGATTCAATGGAGAATTTATTACATTTCTCTCTTTCTCTTAATTTGACAAGTACTCGTTTTTGCAACTCTGTTACTTGAGATTGTCGCATGAGAACTTCTTTTTTTAACTTTTCCCCATTTTGGTTCTTCTTTTTCTGGCTGCCACTCTCCAACGAATGAGTTGGAGGCCTAAGCACTCTCTCGCTCCCTTTTTCCTTCTCTTCTTGTTTAACTGTTTTTCTGATGATTAGTTAACAAAAAAAAAAAAGAGATATGCAAAATAAAACGGGAAAATGGAATGCATTTTTGGAGTCTCTCCCAGTACAAAATTCAGATTTTTACACACTTTCGCCACATATTCCCCGAAAAATATATATTATTTTTTTTGTTTTAAATTGCCATTAAAAGAATAAGACGCAATTAATGCACAATTTTTTTACACAAAATACGATACATATTAGATTTGCTCTGCTGCTGTCGTCGTTGTTGTTTTTGTTGCTGCTGCAAGAAGAACCTCAATAAATGCAAGGGGGTCTTGGTTGGTTGGTCTGCTTGCTCAATAATCGTGAATGTACGAACTTAAATTAGTTGTTTGGGTCACAGTCGTCGTTATGTCCCGCGAAGGTAAAAATGTTATACTTTACTTTTTCTTGTTTGATTTCTCACACACAAACACACACACATTGGCAGACATCACACTTCACACAAATTAAATAACCAAAAAATGCACTTTTTCATCATCACCAACGATCATCATCATTATTATTATTACAACAACTAATGTATATGTTGTCGCCGTGTTTCGTGCGTTTCTCTTTTTTTTTGCAATTCACATCAATTATTAAATTTTCTTGCTATCTTTACAAAAGATCTTGCATCTTTGTCACAACGAGACAATTCACTTGCGAACACCTCGTATACATGTGTATATGTATTTTCCTTTTTAGCAAAAATTGATTTTCCTTTGATGATTTTTCTTCTTTCCATTTGTCATGACAAATGAAATTTTCAATTTTCTTTCATTTTTTTGTTTCTTTGTATTATTTTCCATTTCTCATGTCTCTACCGACGATTTCTGTCGGGGGCAAAGACAAAAAAATTTATATATTCTTATTTCACATACTCTTTGTAGATTTATCGTGATATCCAATGATTATTTGTGTGTATGTATTATGAAGTTTGTTGAAAACTATAAATTAACAAAAAAATTTCAAGTAAAAATAAAACAATTTTATTTTTACAATTTTTTATTTCTTTTGTAATATTTTCGAGACGTTCTCTTCGTTCTCTTCTTCTAGGGACACGTAGGTCGTCTTTGGACCAATCGATTAATCGACTTTTGATATTATATATCGGCAGTGTCATATTCGGTTCCGATATGCTGAAAATCGATTTTTCAGCCTCAATATCGACAGCTCTTGGCTGAACACACACACGAGAGGGGTCCACACTATCAGATCAGTTAAGTATACATTATCATTTCTAATTGGACTTAGCGTTCATAAATATTCAATTTCCCCACTACGGTAAGTTTTGAAAAACGTCGCCGAGTACGTCGTATTTTCGGTAAATCTGTAAATTACAGTTTTGCTTATATTTAAGTTGTATGCCATTTGCTCTGTTTCTGTACTTGCAAGAATCCCTTTATGATATCGAAACAAATTGGAAAAAGAGTAGATTCTTTCAAATCCTGAGTAGAGCAATTGGCTTTCCTCTAATCTTTTCACATTCCCTCTCTGTTCAAGGTAAAAGCGAATTAAAACATGTGTGGCCTGTTCCAGAACCGCAAGAATGTAAAAGTTTTTACTACGATAACCGATTTTCCCTTTATAATGTGGGAGAAAATTGCAAAACCAGTAGATTCTTGAAGGTTCTGGAACAGAACATTAGATAGAAATATCGGACGATAATTTTGGCAAATTTAGTTTATTTTTATCATTTTTTTTTTTTTTTTTTTTTTTTTTTTTTTTTTTCCGAACGTTCCCACGCCTCACATTCCCACCCCTGCCGACCGAGGGGGCGACCTCCCTTTACGGAGGGATCGCGTACACATCATGATCCGCATCATAATGGGAATTCAGTAGGAAATTTAAAACCAGCTACAGAATTTAATTCATCAGCTAGTTTGTCAAATAATAAAACATGTATGTTAATTGTTTAAAAATAAAATTATTCTAGATTTAATAACTTCTAAACTCATACCAAAATCTACATTACAGTACACAGAATTAAAGTCAACACACATTTTACTAAGAGGTTCGCCCATTGAATAATTCGTGCGGTGAAAATCAGTATATAATAATTGGTAGTATCTACTAGATCTAAACGGAACATTAATTCTAATAGATGAAATCAGAAAATCTGAGGGTATATTACCATTTAATATTTTTAGTACAAACATGGAGTTCAACATAATACGTCTGCTTTTAAGTGTAGGCAATCTAATTAATTTTAGCCTGCTAGCATAAGAAGGCAAAACAAAATCACTATTCCAATGTAAACCTCGTAAGGCAAATAGCAGAAATTGTTTTTGCACGGATTCTATTTTATCTGAGTATATTGCATATTGAGGATCCCATACAACAGAACCGTATTCCAATATAGGTCTAACAAGAGACGTAAATAACTGTTTTGTTATATATGGATCAGAAAAATCTTTGGCCCACCGTTTAACAAAACCTAAAACACCATTTGCTTTATTTACCATTGTTATTACATGGCTATTAAAATTTAATTTTGGATCCATCAAGAAGCCAAGATCAACAAATGAATCTACAGTTGATAATGAATGACCGTCAATATTATATTTTAATATCAGAGAAGAAGATCTGGAGAAGCACATATGCTTACATTTGCTTAAATTTAACTCCATACAATTTAACGTGCACCATTTAAAAAGGCTATCTAAATCGTTTTGTAGTAAACTCGCTCGTTTATCACAATTATGGGAAATGAATAATTTAACATCATCTGCGTACATTAACAATTTCGAGTAATTTATGGAATTAGGTAAATCGTTGATAAATAAAAGAAAGAGGACCGGTCCAAGGTGACTTCCTTGCGGAACACCCGATGGAACGTTAATCGTTTTGGATAGATACCCTTCAAACAAAACTAGTTGTGATCTATTTTGTAAGTAAGATGATATCCATTTGACTAAGTTTGTGTTGAAACCCATATAATTTAATTTATATATTAGGAGTTCATGGTTAACCCTATCAAAAGCTTTACTAAAATCGGTATAAATTGTATCAGTTTGTTTACGCTGAACAAATCCTTTTATTACTGTTGACGTAAATTCTATAAGATTTGTTGTAGTTGAAAGACCACTACGAAAACCATGCTGATATGGACTCAATATAGATTGAATTTTCTGTGAAATTACTGCAGTAATTAATTTTTCAAACAATTTTGGTATGGCACTTAATTTTGCAATTCCTCTATAATTTGACACATTAGTAAGACTACCAGACTTATGTAAAGGTATAATATAAGATTTTTTCCAAAAAGTAGGAAAGTGACCAAATTTAAGTGAATAATTAAACAATATAGTTAACGGAAGTGCTAATGTTTCTGAACAATATTTAAGAATTATATTAGGTACGCCATCCGGTCCTGGACATTTAATCGATTTTAAACTACGCAGACTGTTGGACACATCATGACGTTGTAGAAAAGGCATACAAATTTGATCAGCCTGTGATAACTTATAAGGATACGAATCTTTAATTTGGCAAGATGTACTGGAATAGGTTGTGGCAAAAAAATCTGCGAAACATTCAGCAATATCTGTGCCTGTGACAAATTCTTTATTGTTATATTTCAATACTGAGGGCTTTGAGGAAACTTTTCGTTTTAGATTAACAAAATCATAAAAAGATTTAGGATTGGATTTAACATTATTTTTAATCTTGTCTAGGTAAAGATTATACAATCGTCGAGACTCTAAAGTATATTTAGATCTAGCAACAGAGTAATTAGTATAGTCTATTGTTAAGCCTGATTTTTTATATTTACGAAAAAGCTTATTTTTAGAATTTTTTAAACTTGATAACTCAGGGGTTATCCATGGATATTTATTTGAATTTTTAACTCTAGTGGTTGGAACACATTCCAGTTTAAATCTATTTAAAATATCATAAAATTGATCAATTACATATTCTAAATCTGTATGGCTGTTACACAGGCACACAGAAGCCCAATTTATGGAGGAAATGAGAGTATTAAGTTTTCGAAAATTAGTTTTTTTGTAATTAAGGACAGTTTTAAATGAGTCGGACTGACTTTCTTCAATTACATAACTGTGAGTCATGGAGATATATAAAGTTGGATGGTATATATCTTCAGGAGTGCATATTGGAGGAATTCTGAATATATCAAAATGCTGTGTTATATTTACAAACGCCAAATCAAGAATTTTGCCATGCGAATTTTTTACACTGTTTATTTGATAAAGATTTAAGTCACACAAACTATTTACAACATCAAATGTATACTGGGTACTGTTCATTTCAGATGGCAAAGGAATCAAAGCTTCAGAATCTGGCATTGGAAGCCATTTAATGGAGGGCATATTAAAATCACCAAGGATCAGAATGCGATCGGAATCTTTCATTTTTTCAGTAATTAAATTTATTTCTGATAAATGCTGATTATAAATGTCAAGTGAAGATGAGGGGGGAATATAAGAGCAAGTTACAAACAATTTAGATTTGCCCAATTCAATGGAAACACAAACAAATTCTATATCAAGAAAATCATTTAGATCAATTAAATTAGTGGTATATTTGGTATCAACTGCAATAAGGACGCCACCACCTTTTTTACAAACACGATCTTTTCTAAATATTTGATATTTTGAACATAATATTTCACTATTTAATATAGATGTTTTTAACCAAGTTTCGGAGAAAACCAATACATTATAATTGAAACCAATGCTATCAGTATATAAACTGGTTAATTTTGTATTAAGCCCCCTTACATTCTGATAGCAGATAGAAAATGAGTCATTTAGTTTTTTGGCACCGAGTCTGGTCTAAGAGGCAAATGAGCTAAATTATCGGATCTCTCCACAAATTCTTTAATAAATGCCCTAGCAGGCCAAAATTCTTTTAAAATCAACTGTACAAAAATATTGTCAGGCACAACGATTTTGAAAGAAGATCTACTTTCAGAAAATGCAGATCGGAGCTTATAACATTTCAAAAAGTAATCTCCCTCAATTTTTGATTGATCTGCTTATTTCCCACTCTCGCATATTTTTCAAGTCTATCAGTTCTTTTTGGAACAAAGTAGCCTTTTTAACCAATTTCCTTTTAATTAATACTGAAAAAGTCCCAGCTTACAATTTTGACCCTAACATTTTAGAATTAGAACGTACACCCGACATCAGTTATCTTGTACCGAGTACTTTGGTACTCAGAAAGTATGCAACACTAATTTTGTATGCCTCCAAAAAAGAAAAGAAACAAAAACATTAATTCACATTCTATTCAATTATTAAATTTTTATTCATCCATTTTCTCTGGTGGTGGTCCACATGGCTGTAACATGCGCTCCATTAAATCAAATCTTACTCTTCCCTTGGTTTCATTCAAAGCGATGCCAAAGTAATTCAACATATCGTAATGGCCCATATAACTGGCCAATGAGTCGCGGTGTTGATTTGTTAGCCATTCGTATTTTGATGTGTCTGCATGGCCGGTACCAATGTATTTGCTCTGTAAATGTTCCAATTGACTGTGGATATTGTAACGATCGCCCATCTTGATTTATTTGGTTAATTTAAAGTATTTCTTTAATGTATAAAACAAGCCGCTCCAAAGCGTTTACTAACAATGTTATTTGAAGAATACAAAGTGTGGTTGTTTGGCGTATGCAACGGCGGCGACAATTGTGGACGCCGTTGGAATATTTTTGTGCTCTGTGAGATGGTAACACATAAAGTATTTTAGGGCACCCTTTTCTAGATTTCTTTCCAAAAACTAAGATTACAGGAATGAGACTCCAAACTGAAGTATCTATTGCTCTTTTCCAGGAATAGCAGATTCTGTAACAGAGCATATTTTAACTAATCACTTTATAGGGAGCCAAAGTCGATTTCGTAAACCCTATCTCCTGCCATTTTTAGATTTTTGGAGCCCTTACATTTATATTGGCGGTTGGTTTCCTGGTTGTCTGTTGGCGCTCCTAATATTCCAAATTTTATACCAAATGTGCGGACGAACATGCTTGTAAGTCATTGGAATATGTGTAATGATTAGGCATTGATGTTTTCTTGTTTTAATATTTTTAAATGTAGAACCTTGGAACCCTGTGACATCTTAAAGGCATGTCGCTACAAAGAACCAAAGACCACTAAAACGTCTAAAGAAAATCAGGCAGAATGTAATCAAGTGGATCAAATGGAACATGACAATTGTCTGGTGGAACCACAATGGCGTTCGGAATTCAACTGTGACAGAAAATACATTCCCTCCTATAACATAGCTCCCACGGATATTACGCCCGTCTTGGTATCCAAATATCATTTTTACGACGAAGAAGAGGCAGAAAGTATGAAAAGTTCCCGTGTTGTTGTCCCCATGATGTGGGGTATGATACCGTTCTGGCATAAAGGCGATTATCGTAAACATGGTCTGACAACCAACAATTGTCGTCTGGAACATATGTTAAATTCCAAATTGTTTCGGGGTCCTTTTCGTCGGGGCCAGCGTTGTGCTGTTGTATGTGAAGGTAGGTGGATTATGATTTTTCTTTTATTTTTTTGAAGTATAAACATTTTACTAACCCTGTAAAAATGAAGGTTTCTATGAATGGCAAACCACAAAGTCGTCAAAACCCTCCGAGAGAGCAGCTCATTTGTTGTATATGCCCCAAAAGGCTGACATTAAGATATATGATCGCAATACCTGGCAACCGGAAGATGTAAATCTCCTAAAGATGGCAGCCATATTTGATGTGTGGGAAGATGATCAGGGCGATAAAATCTATAGTTATAGTATTATTACATTTGAATCATCGAAAATAATGTCCTGGTTACATTATCGCATGCCAGCCATATTGGAGACAGAGGAACAACTTAATGTAAGAATGAAGTTGAATCAGATTTTTAATATTATGTTAACGTGTTCTCATTTCCAGACATGGTTGGATTTCAAAAATGTTAGCGATGAGCAAGCCTTAGCCACACTACGTCCATGTACCCAACTGCAGTGGCATCAAGTATCAAATTTAGTCAATAATTCTCGCAATAAATCCGACAAATGTAACAAACCCATTGAAATGGTAAAGGAAAAGCCCCAAATGAATAAAATAATGACAGCATGGCTCAATGCCCGTAAACGTCGTGAAGCTGCTTTATCATCAGAATTGGAAAGTGATAATGAAGAAGATGGGCAAACGTCTTTTTATAGTGTTGTGGGAGGCGGTAATATAACTACGACCACTAGCGAAAGTGAATCTGAGCAACAACATGCAACAAAACGACCTCGTTACCGTGACTACAAGCAAGCCATCAAAAGGGCTAGAAATGTTGGTGACAATTCGGTGCCCGATGTTACGGATACAAATGTGGATAGTGATGTCTCGAAATCACAATTCGAATAATTTAGTTTTTTTGTTATTTATTTTTTAAAAAACGTGGGATGTTCCTATAATCAGATCGAATGTTTATTTACTGTGTAGAAGCGATATATGTTTTTTGTTTATTTGAAGTCTACTGCCTCCAACCCGCCCTTTGGATGAAAGTATTCTGAAATTTACTAAATCAAAAGTATTTTCATTTCCAATAAAAACTGATGATGATGAAAATTCCCCCATGAAATGACTTTGATCTACAAAAACTGCTGATGCAGAAAAACAAAAACTGAAAGAAACTCAAAAGGTTTTTTTTTTTGTTTTTTTTTTTTATATATTTTTCCATTTTACATACATAGATTATTTTCTTTTTAGAAAAAAAGGGTGATGAGACTTACATACTAAATATTTTCGTTTTATTCGGGGCTGCCTTACTGATACTGAATCTAATTTAGAAAAAAATAGCAATAAAATACGTCATTTGTTCATCTCCTCTCGCACCAGCATACTTCCTATTCGAATTGTGTATTGAACATGTTTATGTTCAAATCTTCAAATGTCCCCGTTCCACTTTGATCCAACATCTGTAACATATCGGAAAATTCCTGACCTTGCTGTGGGGGTTGTTGGCCCGGAACATGAGCATGCACTGGATGTGTGGCATGTGGATGGGTAGCAGCATGGTGGGGATGAGCACCTGGGTGGGGTGCATGTTGAGCCGTCTGCCAATCCCACATACCGTGTGGTGGAGGTGCTTGGGCCGGACCCGTCTGATAGGCTGCTGCCGTCGATTGGCGTCCATTGCCAGCACTTAGCTGAGTATAAGTGGGGCCACTAGGGGAACGGGCCGGACTTGTTTGCTGATACTGATAGCCTTCGGTCACGGGCTGTTGTTGCTGATGTGGCGGTGGTCTTAATGGCCAATTGCTTGGATGTTGGGGTGTGGGCGATGAATTTGCTTTGGGTATCTTTGCCATGTGTGCCGTATTGGGAGATGGTCCCCCAGCGGCTGTATTATAAGCCAACGGAGAATGAGTGGCATCATAGCTATAGGGTACCGGATTTTGTGCTGACGATGGTCTTTGTACATTTTGTGGTGTTTGATTTGCGGCCTGTTGTGACAGATGAGGCGGACCAGCATTGGTGGGTATCATATTGTGTGGAGCATACATATTTGGATCTGCGGCTGTGCCAGCAGGTGTAACATCACGTCTACCTTGCAGGGTGTAATCCACACCGGGTGTTACATAGACATGTTCCTGTTGTTCCGGATTATTGTTATCATGGCCCGTCGCCGTATGCAGCGATGTTTTATTGGAACTATTTGTGCACACAATGTACTCCACCTCATCGGTGTAGGGATTGAGAAAGGCGTAGGCTTGAGTTCTCAGCCAAACATATTCACCCGACTTGGCCCGGGCACGGTACATCAACGAGAACATCTGGCCTTTTTGTTTCAGCACCTGTTCGAAACTCTCCTTCATGTGTGACTGATCTTCGGGATGGAAGAAATCATAGCATATTTTACCCAACAGCTCGGGTGGTGTATAACCCAGAATATTCATCACCCGTTGATCGACAAATGTGAACTTGCCGTCCACCGCATGACGGGTTATAAATTCGGATTGATTGTTGGCATTTGTGACATCTGTTGAGGCTGTGGATGTAACCTGTAGCCGGCCAATGGCCACCAGGCAGCAGTGAGATCCATGCATATCATCATCGGGCCGTTCCATATGTACGCCGGGGAACATTTCAGTTGGTGGCCAATTTTTAATATAACCCGTACAGTGGACCACAGCAAAATTGGTGCCATCGCGTGAGGGACCCAAGGAGTTGCGCTGTTTCAAACGATTCAAATGACCGGCCACCATAGTCTCGGGATTAACATTTCCCACACGCATTCGGCATATAAAGCCACGGCGGGCTCCCATGCTCAGACGCATCGAAGATTGATGGCCCTCCTTTTTCACAGTGCCCGACTTCAGGTCCAATATCCTGCCCGAATTCTGTGACTCCTGTGTGGAAAGTTGTTCACGGATTTTCTCACGATCATCGGGATGTATGTGCTCATACAGACTGGTACCATACCAATCACTTTGGGTATAATTCAATACAGGTGTCACCGAATCGGAGACATAAATAATTCTGCCCGAGTCACAACTTACAACGAAAAGGAAACCATCGGCTGCCTCCAGTATTAAATGTTTCAATTCCTGATCGGTGAGGAATGATGGTTTATAGGTGCCATCATTGCTGGTATTGCCCGTGCCCCTAAGGGCCTTCATGTGGGCCACGGCCATTCTCAGGATGGTCAGCTTATCCGGTTTCCTGGCCAAAGCACTGCAGGTCGGCACCATATCGGATAATTCCGTAATGTAGGCCGTCATTTTGTTCCGTCTTCTGCGTTCGATTTCACAATGATTCTCTCGACTGGCATAGCGTTCCTTGTCCTGTATACTGGTATCATCCATGATTGGAATATGTAATGAGTTTCTCTTTTTTAGGTCGTCTTCGTTGTTTCTGTACTTAGTGTGGTAGTCGTGAAGGTGTGTGTGTGCGTGTGCCTCTTCTTGCCGTTTTATTAGCTCTAACTTTTTTTCTAGCTCTTCTTTTTTCTTTCTTATCCGACAGACGACAAACTCACATACAGTGTACAATGTCAGTAGTAAACAGCAGTCGCAGCAGCGGTGGCAGCCAGCAGCGTTCTTGGTAAAATGTATCTGATGAGGGTGTTTGTTGGCTGCTTGCTTTGCTTTGCTTTGTGTCTACGTAGACGAATAGTAGTTGTATACAATTTTTATTTGTTTGTTCTTTTGATGAACTATTTTCGTTTTAATTCTCTTCCACGAATTACATGACCACTTTCTTTTAATAATTATTTGTTTTGTTTTATACTCTAAACTATTATTTTTGATGGAACAATTAATTAATTTCACGGACTCAATACATTATCAGAAGAGAAAATGAAAATTATTACTGTCAGTGCTGTTAGGTATACAGAGTAACCGTTAACTATTGCTGTGGTTACTGCGCGTGACAAGTAGAGTACACTGAAAAAAACAACACTATTATGACAGAGAGGAAATCACTAAAGTCGATATTTTAATCGATAGTTACCAAGAAATGGTAAATGAACGATAGAAGAATGCTGGTAATTGCACCAGATCTTGTGAATTGTCAAAATATTGTAGAATTTCTTGACATTTCATCAATTTAAATAGCTTTAATTGTCAAAAATATTGTAGAATTTCTTGAAATTTTATCAAAACCAGAATTGTTTTGACATTTCATTGTAATAGCAGCTTTGTAGATTGGAAGGTGATAATGAAGGAGATGAACCAATGTTATTTTTAGTATGGGAATGGTAACATAACAACGACTCATGCTGAAATGTTACAGGTAGGGACATCAACACAGCACAATAATGAGCTGTCACAATTTTGGAGCTCATTTACGAATACAGGTAGTCGCATCGACACAGCTGCTGGTACAATGAACTGTCAAACCAATTTTGGAAGTGAAAATTTTGAATGAAAAACAAGTAAAAATGCTGTAAGATTTTAACAGAATTATTTATATATTTATATTTAATATTTTTTGGAGAACTGATAAATTCGTTCCAAATGGTGGAGGGTATTCAAAATCTTAAAAATAACTTTGAATTGCTTCCACCATTTGGAATGAATTTGGCAATTCTCAAAGACAATAAAATCCGTAAACTAACTATGTTAAAATCTTAAAAAAACCCGAATGTAGCTGTTATATTAGGGTCTATACGACGTCATGGACCTGCATAGGTAACTTTTGCCATAAGTCATTACAATATTCAAATGCGAAAATTAATAATGTAGCTAAAATCATCAAAATACCGAATATCGGGATGTAGGGGAAGACGTAGACCTGCACAGACAATTTTCTGTCATAGGCTATAGTATCCATTACGAACATTAAATACCAAATTTAAAACATTTCCATTGAATAATGTCGCTAATATCATCGAAATACCGAATATCGGAAGGTACCGTTATATGGGGGCTGTACGAAGACGTGGACCTGCACAGACAATTTTCTGTCATAGGCTGTAGCACCCAAAACGAACATAAAATACAAAATTTGAAACAATTCCGGTGAATAATGTAGCTAAAATCAACAAAATACCGAATATCGGGTGGCGTTATATGGGGGCTATACCAAAAGGTGCACCTCCCATTTTCAATACCAAAAGTTCTGCAGACATAATATACATTTCAGTAAAGTTTTATCAATCTACTTCAATTCGTTCGGAAGCTAGAGTGATCTCCACAGAGGGACGAACATGGCTAAATCGGTGTAGAATTTTATGCTGATCAATAATATATATACTCCGTGGGGTTTAAAATGTATATCTCAAGGTGTTACAAACGGAATGACAAACTTAATATACCCTCCGTACTATCGTGTAGAGTATAAATATTGAAATTTATAAAAATTGTTGAAAAATGCGTGTCATAACAACGTCCGATAGGCGTCGCATTAGAAAACATATCAAAGTTTACTCATTTTTGACAATTCCAAATTTTGACATATCAATGTTCCCAAGCTTTGATGCCTCTACCTGTATTCTTCTACCAAGTGACTAAATTCATAAAGTAACCTATAACCGGTTAATAAAGCGGCTTTTTTGATTCTGGTAAAAAACTTGAAGACGATTTTGCAACTTTTTTTCTTCCGATTTGCCTTTCCACAAATTTTAAGCTGAGGACATAAGTTCCAACATAATTTGAAAAAGTTTTTTGACTTTGGCCTATGTTGAGCCATTTATTTCTTTTCAGCTCCACAGACCAAACACTTAAATATCGTAAACTTTTTAATTGTTTGCCCAGATATTCCATCAACATTCATATGCCAAAATGGAAGCCCAGCCGAAGACCCAAAAGCCTCAGGGTAATAAAAAGAGACTTCCAAATGTGAAAGAGCCGTGGTGGTGCGAAGAGGCAACCCAACTCTTGAACTCAAAAAACGAAGCAATGATGAAATTCCACATGTCTGGTACAGATGAGGATTTCAAAACGTACATGGAGGCACTCAAAGCGTACGAGTGTGGCGTAAAAGATTTGAAGTTTGAGTGGAAAGAAAAGCGAAGAAATAAGAAGAAGGACACCAATGCTTCATATAATACACAGTATGTAGAATATATTTCCAAGCCATGGTGGTGTGAGGAGGCAACACAACTCTTTAATTCAATGAAAGAGGCCAAGGAAAAATATAACAAGTCGGGAAATATTGATGATCTAAGGGAGTACAAGAAGGCAGGAAATGCATTTAGGAAGTGCAAAAACGAGTTGAAATGGGAATGGAAACAACAACAAAGGCAACAACAATATCAAGGCCAGACAAACATGGAAAATACTGCCAACCAGGAAGAATCTAAGGAAAACCAAGGGGGAGAGGGTAACACGACAAATGTAAATAACCACTTGGAAAATTCTTCAGACAACGAAGAAAAAGAAAACAACCAAAAAGATAATGTGAACGAAACAAATAAAAACAATGGAAAGCCCAAGAGAAGTGTTAAGGGAAATATGAGGGACACATCCGAGAACCGATATGTACCCAAGCCGTGGTGGTGTGAGGAAGTCGAACATCTTATGAATTGCCGAAATAAGGCAAGACATCAATATTACAAGACAAGTTCGTTCGTTGACCTGAAAGCATATGCGGACGCCGAAAATGCCCTTAAGGCATGCATAAACAAGAAGAAAAGAGCATGGAAACGTATCGAAGAAAGTGAACCAGAACCAAAATTGGAGTTTGTGCCTAAGCCATGGTGGTGTGAAGAAGCTACACGCCTTGTTGAATGCCGCAATGAGGCAAGATCGAAATATAACAAAAGTAAGACATCGGAGGACCTCAAGGCCTACGAGGAAGCAGAAGAAATATTCAAAACTTATATTAATCAGCTAAAATTGGATTGGAAGCAAAAGCAACGAAATGATAAATGAATTGTTATATTTTATTATTAAAATAAAACAGAAAATGATATAAAAAATCCAGAACTTGACTGAAATTTCGTTGAGCAGGTGATTTTTGTGCCCACTTTTGTTCCGTACAAAAAATACCCATCCTTATAGTAATCAAAATGCTGGATTACATTTTGAGCCGTCAGTGTACGAACAAGTCATGGCCATATAAAAAATATAAAGGGTCTGTATTTGCATGTATTAGGTGTGTCTGGTTACTTTTCCTGCAGGAATTGTCCAGTAACTTCTTTCTGAGAGAGTAAGGTAGTTTTATTCTCTTTTGCAATGAAAATGCGAAAAGTAAACAGACGGTATTCCTGCAGAAGCTTGCAACTAATCAGCTGATTTGTCAAAACAAACCAATTTGTCCCCCATAAGGAGAAAAAAAGGAAGCAATACTAATTTTACAAGTTTTTTAAATAAAAATGTTGGAAATAGTCTTTTATTTCCTTATTACATATTAATATTTACGTTTTCCACATTTTTTAAAGTTTTTCTCCAAAAACAATTAGTCTTTCAAGTTCCAAAAAAATATTTTCAAATTAAAAGCACAAAAATAAATAAACAAACAATAGAAAACATCTGATTGAATGTCGATAAATGAGAAGAAGAGTTGCAAGTGATTGCAAGAAGAAATTTTTCCAGCAAGAATTTGCAAACTCTCACTGAAAGAACTGTCAAAATTTCTCTCTCCAACCGCTCTCTTTTGCAGAACTTTTGGGTTAACAGACGACTTCCAGTAACAATTTGTAACAATTGTTACAAACTTTAGGGTAATCAGACACACCTATTATTGTGCTTGAAATCACAGAACAAAATATAAACATTGGTCAAAATAGTGTTAACAATTTTTGACATTACATCTAGTTTTTAAAATTGGCGGGAACAACTTGTTATTGCGCTGTGTATGCTCTTAACTTTAGTGTTGACCGTTTGTTTTTGCCGCCGTCCACAAAAACGAAAGTGCGCCGCCGATGCATTGTTTACACCTTTAAAGCCGCCGTCACCGAATAATCGTTGAGCTTTGTTATCTGTCAACTCGGGTTGATTACTAGTTCCGCGGCTCATTTAATGAATCCTTCTATCTGATTGCGTCTTCCTCATTTCTCATTCGTAAATAACAGAGATTTTTCTTTCTCTTTATGTTTTATCGGGCATTCCTTTTTTGACATTTTTTATTTATTTTGTTGGGGACGTCTTTCATTTTGGTTTGACAGAAGCAGATGTATACTCACACCTTCTAACTTGCTGATGTCACATCAATCAATACGAAGAGACTAAAAAAGAAACAAAATAAAATTTTTCTTAAAAAATCAACAATAATAAAAATAATAAACATTGCTTTGCAACATGGAGGCTCTTGATATTCTAGAGAAACGCATTGATACACTGACACGCATTTTGGGAGTACCCCAAGATGCCAACACCGGTGAATCATCAAAGGTACCAGCCGAAAATGTTGTTGACTCTTTGGTTTCGGCCAACAACATTGTCAACGAAGCAATATCTGGGCGTGAAAAAATCAAGACAATTGTAGATCGTAGTGAAGAACTGGAAACCTATTTGGATCCACATTTCCTGGAAGAAAATCAACAAGTTCGAGCCAAGGAAGTGTACCTAAACGCTGTGGCCAATGATTTGCACACCCAGTTTCAACAATTGGAACGTATAAAAGAGCTGGAGCCAACGTTGGGAGCAGAATATTTCCGTAACATTCCCGGCGGATGTGTGGACAAATTAAAACAAATTAATGAGGACAACAAGGAATTCGCCCAACAAGCGGAGTTGATTGAGGAAAGTTTAATTTTGGCCATGAAACGTTATGGCGAAATACAAAAAGGTCTGCTAGACTCATTGGGAGCCATGAACAAGCGGCTCGAGGCGGTGGAAGAGCGCTTGCAACAAAACAAAAAAGACGAAATGGAAAAAGAGCTACCTTCGGAAACAAATAATTAGTAGAAAAAGAAAGAGTATTAATCTTATTTAAAATAAGCTTGTAAAAAACAAATAGAATCATGTATAATTTATTATTATGGGATTGTGAATGGACTGCATAAATAATAAAACATTTAATTTATAGCCTAAAAGCAAATTGTCTTTTTTACAACTTTTTGTTAAATGCGACTAAAAATTCTATTTGGCTTCAAAATGGAATAACAATTTATTTAGTTTTTAATGCTACCTAGACTTGGAAAAATGCTAAAAATCTTGTTGATATAGTACAGCACAAAGACAATGGCCAGAACAAAACCCAAAAGACTCAAACGATTGCGCCAATGTTGTTTACTTTCCTTCATCATATTGCAAATGCGTTGGGCCGCTGCCTGCGTCTCTTCAATGGAGCCGTTATTGTCTATTACGAAATGGGATTTCTCACATTTCTTCTCCAAGGGCATTTGGGATTCGATGCGTTTTTTGGCATCCTCTTCGGAAAGTTCATTGCGTTCGATTAGACGTTTTAATTGTTTATCGGGATCGCTAGAAATAAGAAACCGAATTTAATAACATCCTCAATACTTGAATTATAAACCTACCATGTAACACAAATGATCTTATGTATGAAATCCATTAAGATGCCGGTTTCAAACAGCAAGGGTAAATCCAATACAATCCATGCCTTGCCAGTCATAAAATTCTTAAAAACTTCCTTAAATATGGTTCGATGTATCACAGGATGAGTTATTTTATTAAGTTTCCCTCTCAGCTCCTTGTCATTGAATATGGCCTTTCCCAGTGCCACTCGATTAATTTCACGTGTTGGCAAAAACACTTCATCGCCGAAAGCTTCTTTAATCTTGTGCCAGCAGGGTGTGCCGGGCTCCACAACTACAGGCAAAAATGATAAAAACAAATATACAAATGTAGGTCATTTCCTAATTAACAGCCATCAGATTAGGATCTTACTTTGTCTAGCGATTTTATCTGCATCAATGACGGGAATACCATTGTCTTGAAAAACTTTGCTAACTGTACTCTTCCCACTAGCAATACCTCCAGTTATGGCAACGATAAACATGTTTTTTTTACTTATTTATTTCACTTTTTATATCTTTTAAAAGGGATAACTTAAGAACTTCAAGAGGCTGGCAAAGTAGAGGTGACAACCAATCGATGGTAATATCGATACTATTGATGCTTTATTTTCGATTGATAGTTTTTTCTATCGATATTTTCGGACGATATGGCTGTTGTCACGTACAACGACGGCGGCAGCGCTTTTAGTTTCGTCGGAATAAATATTAACATATACATAACATTGTAGAAAAATACAGGTAGTCGCATCGACACAGCTGCTGGGACAATGACCTGTCACACCAATTTTGAAATTGAACATTTTTAATGAAAAAATTATTGAAATTTGTAAAATCAGTTGAAGAAATGCATATCATAAAAACCTCCGTTTGGCTTCGTATAAGAAAATAAATAAGAATCTACTTATTTTTGACAAAAACATTTAAATTTTTGGCATATCAATGTTTTTAAACATTCATGCATCCACCTGCATGGGTACATGTCGCATCGACACAGCTGCTGGAACATTGAACTGTCAAACCAAATTTGGAATTAAACATTTTGAACGAAAAATTATTGAAATTTGTAAAAATTGTTGAAAAGTGCGTATAAGGAAACATATAAAAATCTACTTATTTAAAAAAAAAAAAAAAAACATTAAAAATTTTTTTGACATATCAATCAAAGCATTGATGCATATACCTGCATTCTTCTACCATGCATGTACGGTAATAAATGAGATATGTCAGAGATTGAAATTATGACAATACATTGAAATATTAAAGTGATCAACTTATTTTTTTAATAAATGAAACGTATTTAAGACATGCATTTGGTAAAAATTATTATTCCAGTGTTTCTCATTGACTTATTGCCAAGTATGATTGTTTTTCACATGTCACCCGGTCGCATTCTATCAAAGTAACCGATAACAATCGATAAGAGTAATCGGTCGGTGATGATGCTATCAATTCAAATTGAATGCTAACCAAGCGTGTTTTTTCATTTATTTCCGAACATTTGCGAGTGAAATCACCAGCTACGTTTTTTGTCCGCGTAAAAATAGACGGGTTTTTTAATAATTATTTTTCACACAATTCAGTACAGTTACGCAAGAAAACAATAATACAAGATGGTGGATAAAATTGAAATGAGTTTGGATGATATTATCAAATCCAATCGTGGACAAAATAAAAAAGTTGGTGGAAATCGCGGTGGTGCAGCAGCAAATAGACGCGGTGGCGGTGCAAATCAGGGAGCACGTCGTGGTGCTGGCCGTCGTGCACCAATTTCACCACGTAAACCTGGCGGTGGCGGTGTAATTAAAGGTCGCGGAGCTGGAGGAATTCAAAAAGCCAAATTCTCAAGGGTAAAGCTATGATGAAATTGAAATTCTTCATTAAAACCAAATACCAAAATCACAATGAAAGAGTTAACAAAATGGCTCACACCTGGCTTGATGACATAGAAAAAACCCCATTGTCAAACGTTTTGAGGAGCGTGCTCTAAGAGAGGCAAACAAGAGGAAGCAATCGCCAACAACTGCGGCAGATGATATTTGCATTGAATTCAAGCAATTTTTAACATTTTTATCCCCAAACAAATCAAACAACGGTATTCATTCTAACGAAGAACATTTCCTTTGCAAAACTATAAAGAAAATGGCCTCATAACGGGATCGTAAAATGCAAAGGAAATAAACGTAAAGAAGATGCCAAAATAATACATATAGAGAGCGAGAAAAAAGAGCGAATGAGCGGAGAGAATTACAACGGAATGATGTGGCAACACCGTATTGTGCGTGATAAATCAAATGACGGCAAATGGCATCAATGGTTGTTGCTGTTGTTTGTTCTCTGCAACGTTTCTCCCACTTATTCGACTTGTTTGCATTTTGCAATTAAATCTACGCTAGACCAGAGGTTATCTTCAGAATCAACCACAACAATAACAACTGCAACTGCTACATCATTATTTGTAATGTGTATTTACCAAACAAAAAAATCTGTTCTTGTGTTACTCTACTACCTATTTACAAACATTTCCCCACAAAAATTTTGCAATCTAAATATTTTCTTTTTGAAAACATATACTCCCCCGACCCCTAATGTTGGGGGAGTTGGTTCTCTAGAATTTAGCTACGTTTTATTTAGCAAAAGTATCCATCCAAGCAGAAAACGATCCATCCGACCGGCTTTCACATTTTAAAACATTTCTCCTGTGTTAATCCGATCTGCAAGCGCTGCATTCTTCCCCCGTTTTGTCAACTCCAAAAAGTTTAGTTTATCGTACACAAAATCAAAAAAAAAAAAGCCCAGGCTTTCTTCTCAAAAAAACAAAACAAACAAAATCCTTTAGTACAATAACAAAGCAATCAATCAAACAAACAAAACACAAAAGTCGAACTTCTGTTGCAACTTGTACCTACTCCTACTTCACTCTAGGGCGATGTAAACAGCGCTTGGAAACATGACATGTACGATGGACCTAAACGTGGTATTTTGAAATCAACGGACTCGGCAAAGCTGTTAGTATCAAATTTGGATTATGGCGTATCGGATTCGGACATCAAGGAGTTATTTACCGAATTTGGGCCGGTGAAGAAGGCCGCCGTGCATTATGATCGTTCGGGCAGATCACTGGGTAAGTGGAAATTGTAATAAAGATTTGGAAGATTTTTTTTAGGAAAAGCCATTAGTTTTCCAGGAATGCCATCAGTGTTCAGTTGGAAAAATAATTTTCAATTTTCTTTCCTGAAGAAGGAAGTTTCATCTCCGATCAGCAAGAAGTGAACTTTTCTTTAGGAAAAGTCTTCTCCGATGAACTTTTCTTCAGGAAAAGTCATCTCCCATGAACTTTTCTTTAGGAAAAATCATCTCCGGTGAACTTTTCTTTAAGAAAAATCATCTCCGATGAACTTTTCTTTAGGAACAGTCATATCCGATAAACTTTTCTTTAGGAAAGATCATCTCCGATGGACTTTTCTTTAGGAAAAGTCATCTCCGATGAACTCTTCTTTAGAAAAAGTCATATCCGATGAACTTTTCTTTAGGAAAAGTCATCTTCCATGCACTTTTCTTTAGGAAAAGTCATCTTCGATGAACTTTTCTTTAGGAAAAGTCATCTCCGATGAACTTTTCTTTAGGAAAAGTCATCTCCGATGAACTTTTCTTTAGGAAAAGTCATCTCCGATGAACTTTTCTTTAGGAAAAGTCATCTCCGATGAAATTTGCTTTAGCAAAAGTCATCTCCGATGAAATTTGCTTTAGGAAAAGTCATCTCCGATGAACTTTTCTTTAGGACAAGTCATCTCCGATGAACTTTTCTTTAGGACAAGTCATCTCCGATGACATTTTCTATAGGAAAAATTATCTCCGATGAAAATTTCTATCGTAAAAGTCATCTCCTATGAACTTTTCTTTGGGAAAAGTCATATCCGATGGACTTTTCTTTAGGAAAAGTCATATCCGATGAAATTTTCTTTAGGAAAAGTTATCTTCGATGAAAATGTCTTTAGGAAGTCATCTCTGACGAACTTTTCTACAGGAAAAATCATCTCCTATGAACTTTTCTGTAGCAAAAGTAATCTCCGATGACATTTTCTAGAATAAAAGTCATCTCCGATGACCTTTTCTTTGAAAAAAAAAAAATCATCCCTGATGAATAATCTCCGATGAACTTTCCTGTAGGAAAAAATCATCTCTGATGAAATTCTATTGGAAATGTTATCTTCGAGGATTTTTTCGATGGAAAATGTAATCTCCAACGAACTTAGATATATTTTTTTCTGATTCCATGACCTATTTCAAACTAATATTCGTTTTTTTTTCATTACAGGCACCGCTGATGTTGTCTATGAAAGGCGCGCCGATGCTTTGAAAGCCATAAAACAGTACAATGGTGTGCCTTTGGATGGCAGACCAATGAGTATACAATTTCTGACTGATGCCTCAGCCGTCACTGCAACCAGAGCACCTGTGCGCAACAATGCTGGTCCCAGTCCCAACCGAAGAAGACAACCCGTTGGTGGAAATAGAAGAGGAGGTGGTAAGTTAATTTGAAAACCTTTTTATCACACATCCCTTACTCACCAATTCTTGTTCTTGTTTCACATTTTAGCCGCTGGTGGTGGTGGGCCACGTCGTGGAGGTCCTGCTAATCGTAAGGCCGGAGGAAATCCCCGTGCTGCCAATAAAACAACACCCACAGCTGAAGAGCTTGATGCCGAATTGGATGCCTATGTCAACGATATGAAAATATAGATTAAGAATTATTTAGTCATTTTATTTGGTATTTCTAAACGTTTCTAAATATGTATAAGGCAGCAGGTATCATCATCACCATTGAAACATCTCAACAATCTATGTACAGATATATATCAAATAATAAGAAAAGAATGGCGTCGACACGGATATAAGAAGACACCACAATTACCTACCTAAACCATGCGATGATCCTGGAAGACAATTATGAACGGGCCACCTCACTTATCAATCAACAATCTATCACTCACTCACTTCTCCTCCTCCTTCCTCTTCTACTTACAAAACAAAATAGTAGTCCACTATGTTTTAGTCTTAATTTACTACTTCCCCCATTTGTATTTGAATAATTACAAAATAATCTTAATCTTATCAAATGCAATCCCTTTTTTTATTATTCTGCATCCATATTATCATATTTAAGTTTAACCATAACAAACCAACAAACAAACTCTTGACTTTCAAACAAACAAACAAACAAAAGAAATATATTTATAAAAAAAAGCATTTAAACACATTGGCTAATTTGCGATAAATTAGTAGAGTATTGATGATTTTTTCGAACAAAATACAAACTAAGTTTTATGAACTGATTTAGCCAAAAAAAAGGAAAAAGTAAAACACGTTTGTTGCTAAATAAAAGGAAATAATAAATAAAGTAATTTAAGTAAATTAGAAAAAAATAAATAAATTTCTTTGGTTTTTCTGAAAACAACGGGGGGAGTTCAATCTTAAGGTATTTGTATTGGTCCAAATAAATAGCATTGCTTTGGAGTGAAAACTTCTAAAGTGGCTATATGAAGTTGTTATATTGTCCGTACGGTCCAGAGCCCATTATATACAGCGTGAGATAAAAAACAGCAACAATATATAATTTTTACATTTTTTTTTAAAAATTTTTTTGAATGAAAGCAAAAAATATCGGAAATAACATCAAATTTTAGAATAAGTTTAGATTTGTTCGAATTGGTCACCTTTGACACGAATTATGGCCTTCAAACGGCCAATGAAACGTCACACGCTGCCCGAATGTTGCTATGCGTTATTTTGGACCATTCACGGCGAAGCGCTTGCTTGAGTTGATCGACACTTTGGTATTTTCTAGTGGCAAACTTGCTTTTCAAAATACTCCAGATACAATAGTCCAACGGATTGGTATCCGGAGATTTTGGTGGCCATTGTGCGCTGGAAATGAAGCGATGAACCTCATTTTGTAACCATTCTTGGTTGGCGCGTGCTGAGTCCTGTTTGAATGTCCAGTGTCTGCGACCAAAATGTTTGCGTGCCCAATGCTTTAATACACTCTACAGGATATTTGCGCGATAATATTCGGCATTTATTCTGATGCCACGAGCGGAGAGCGACCATCGGCTGTTGTTGCGGTCCACACCATCTCCATGGCCGGAGCTTGATTTCTGTTGGCCAACCGTTTTCTCATCGGAAATGGAGAAAACCAAATTCGGCAGTTTGCCATCACCACTTTCGGCCAAGCGAAGCAACTCTTTAGCTTTTTTGAGTCTAATTTCTTTCTGTTGCGGTGTAAGTTCTTGCACTTTTGGATTTTCAATGGCTTTACCCCGAGCTCATTTTTTAATATTTGCCGAATGAAATATTGCGATATGTTCAGCTCATGAGCCATTTTTTTGGCCACTGTGTCGGGGGTTTCGATCAAGTCGCTTCTTTACTTTTCGAACCATTTCTGCTGATGTTGCTGTTTTTTCCATCCACTTCCGCCCTTGACATCGGGCTACGCTACCAGTATCCCGGTATCGAGCGATGGTACGAGACACAAAAGATTTATTCACATTTAAATGCTGGAGTGCTTTACCGATAGTCACTTGTGGTTTTCCAGCCAAATATAAAGAAATCATACTATCACGCTTGAATTCCATCACGAATAACTTTTTTTCTGGAAAATTTTCACCAAAATGCTTTTGTACGCTTGTAAACGATATAATGAGCTGTCACTGGAATAATTTTAACAGTTGTCGGACGAGTGGCTTAGAAATGACAGCAGTCTGAATTTGGTTGCAGTTTTTTTTCATCTCACTCTGTATATCCCAATGGAAATGGTGTAGAATTTAAATGTAACATAACTGTTACAATGACCCCAATCGGGGGTAAGAAACATGTGATTGTCCACCGTGTGATAGATGTGGCAACTATCACAGATGTAAACAATTATCACAGTCCAAATAAACATTATTTCAGTGGAAAATGCTCAAGTGTTAAAAAGTGGAAATAGTGCAGATTTTTCATTAATGGGAAACCAAGATTAAATTGAAATATATAAAGGAGGCGACTGGAGAATATAATCAACAAATCGAAAGGGTAAAATTTATTAATAAAACATTGCATTTTAAATTAATAGTCTCTATTATTGTTGTTAAGTAGAAGCTATTGATTTTATTGGTTCTTATCTCGAATTTTCTTTTCGCTTATGGAGGAGTAACATTTTGTATTTTTCTTTCCGGGAAGAGTTCGATTTTAAATTGCCAATAAAAACAAGGAAAATATTAAAAGTAGGTCTTCCCGACAGATGTATACCCCCAGCCTCGGGTTATGATTATTCAAATTGTTGACCCTTTATGGGGGAGATTCCGAAGCAGTTGGCCTCTTCGTATCTGACCTAAGATTGATATAAGAATTACAATGTGCCAGATTTGAACTGTATCGACTACTTCCTATACTTCATATGAGATATGTGCAAATTTTTGGAAAATGTGGAAATATGCGTGAGGTTCCATACTTCATACTTCGCCTATGCAGATAAAAATATTGGTATGTGCAAAAATTTGAAGAAAATCGAACATTTATTTTCATTTTTATGCGAAATCATAAATTCCGATAAATTACATATTCCTATTAGATCTCCGGTTAAGAGAAATATTTAGATAAAGCAAGTTGTAAAGAATCGGCGACTTGTTTTGCAAGTATGACAGATATAAGTTTTGGAAATTGTGCCCCAATGTGGGTAAGGTACCAGAAGGGGTTCGCAGATATTTATCATCATAACAACAGATATTGTGTTATCAATAATGTTTGTATTCGTGAAATCTGAGTAGAGTTTGATGCTTATTCCGCTTTCTTTGATCGTTTTTGTTATTCAAAACTTTGACCCTTTGTGGGGGAGGTACCAGAAGAAATGGTCCGATCTCTACGATCTTTTTAACAGATCTTGTGTTGATGGAAATATTGGGATGTACCGCGATAGAATGAAATCGGATGTTAATTTCGCGTTTTATGAGCTTCATGGATATTCAAAATTTTGACAATTTGTGGGGGAGGTACCAGAAGGAGTGGACCGATATATACCATCTTCACATCAGACCTTGGGTTAATAAAAATTATCTGATATGTGTAATTTAAAGAGAACCGAATACTTGTTTCGGATTTTATGATCGTTTTTGTTATTCCAAACTTAGACCCTTTGTGGGGGAGGTACCAGAAGCAATGGTTCGATCTTTACCAACTTTATAAGAGATCTTGTGTTGATGGAAATATTGAGATGTGCCAAGTCTGAATGGAATGGGATGTTAATTTCGCGTTTTATGAGCTTAATGAGTATTCGAAATTTCGACCCTTTGTGGGGGAGGCACCAAAAGGAGTCGATCGATATACTCCATCTTCACACCAGACCTTGGGTTAATAAAAATATTCCGATATGTGTAATTTGAAGGGAACCGAAAACTTATTTCGGATTTCATGATCGTTTTTGTTATTCTAAACTTTGACCCTTTGTGGGGGAGGTACCAGAAGCAATCCGATCCGAATCCGATCTCTGTCATCTTTCAAACAGATCCTGTGTTGATGGAAATATTGAGATGTGCCAAGTCTGAATGTAATCGGATGATAATTTCGCGTTGTATGAGCTTCATGAATATTCGAAATTTCGATCCTTTGTGGGGGAGGCACCAGAAGGAGTGGACCGATATACACCATCTTTACACCAGATCTTGGGTTGATAAAAATATTGTGATGTGTGTAATTTGAAGACAATCGGATACTTACATTACATTTTATAAAAGTTATAAAGTGGAGTGGACTGATTTGTTTATTTTAGCACCTTACCTAGCCATGATGAAAATATTAGGATTTTTCAAAGTTGGAGCAAAATCGGATAATACTTTCTCTTTCTGTGCAGTAAATTAATTTCTTTGAAAATGTGAACATTTTGTGTGGGAGTTACCAGAACAGAAGGAGAGAACCGACATTGCCCATCTCCGAATTAGATCTAAGTTTAATAATGTACTACTCCCTTCGAGAGTTATCATGCGCACAAGCCAGGCAGACAGACAGACAGATGGACGGACATTGCTAGATTGACTCCAAATGTCCTAAAACGGATTTGGTCCCAAGAGACTTAGGATCTAAAACCGTAATTTCGATGAGACACCTTTTGGCCGTATCAAATAATATATAAATGATATATAAAATAATTTGTATTGTTTCTAGGATGGTTGGTATTGAAAATGAAATATATCGGTCCAAGTTTTGGTATAGCCCCTATATAACGTCACCTCTCAATATTCGGTATTTTGATGATTTTTGTCACATTTTTTCAGGAATATTGGTATTTGTAGGTCATAATGGGTTCTAGCTTCGGTGGCGAAACATTGAATGTCTAGGTCCACGATTTTGAATAGGCCCCCTTTAACGAATACCACCTGATATTCGGCATTTTGATGATTTTTGCCACATTTTTTTTTTCACGGATTTGCCTAAAAATTGGTATTTTTAGTTCGTAATGGGTTCTAGCTTCGGTGGCAGAGCATTGAATAATTAGGTCCACTTTTTCCTATAGCGCCCATATAACGATACCCGCCGATATTCGGGGTTTTGATGATTTTTGCCACATTTTTCCACGGATTTGTCTAAAATTTGGTATTTGTAGTTCGTAATGGGTTCTAGCTTCGGTGGCGAAACATTGTATGTATCGGTCCAAGTTTTTGTATAGCCACCATATAACGATATCTCCCGATATTCGATTATTTTTGCCATATTTTTTTCCACGGATTTGCCTAGAAATTGGTAGTTTTAGTTCGTAATGGGTTCTAGCTTCGGTGGCGAAACATTGTATATATCGATGGGTCCACGTTATGGTATAGCCCCATATAACGGTATCTCCCGATATTTGGTGTTTTTATGATTTTTGCCACATTTTTCCACGGATTTATCTATAAATTGGCATTTGTAGGTAATAATGGGTTCTAGCTACGGTGGCGAAACATTGTATGTATCGGTCCAAGTTTTGGTATAGCCCCCATATAACGATACCTCCCGTTATTCGGTATTTTGATGATTTTTGCCACATTTTTTTATGGATTTGTCTTAAAATTGGTATTTGTATGTCATAATGGGTTCTAGCTTCGGTGGCAGAACATTGAATAATTAGGTCCACTTTTTCCTATAGCGCCCAATTGACAATCCTTGTTACGAAATTATTTAAAATTTGCAATTTAAGAAGATTTTGGTCGATGACAATTCTCAAAATTGTATAAAACTGTCTATTGAGGTTCCCGTTGTGATATGGCCCACTCATAAATTATTTACTCTTTTCCATGGAAATGGTAAACGTTGATTGTTTTTCTTTGGCTGCAATGTGTTTTTTCCAGAATTATAGACTGTTGACAATATTCTATAGGCCGGCCCGTCAGCGATAAGCGGGTGTTCTTTTTGTTTTAACAAGTACAAACATGTCTTGTGTATGTTTATAAACAATGAATACATTCATTGTCGAATAAGTGTGGTCTTTCTTCGAGAAATTTGCGATAACCTAGGTGGCGAGGAGGCTGTTTAAAGGAATGCATTTTTTCACAAGAACAGATAGGCAAGATTGTTGTTGTCACTTGAGATGATGGACGGCTGACTTATCGCCCTGACTTGGGTACCTTATGACAATTGTCACAGACCAGGAATGATGATGCTGATGATGAGTAACGGTAGTATTAAATTTAATTGTGCAAAACATTTGTTGAATATTTCCCAGAAATTGCAAGAAGCCTTCCTTTTAAATAATTAAAACAAATTTTCTGTTTTTTTTTTTTTTTGCAAACGTCATATGAAATCTGAAAAGAACAGATTGAAAGTTCTTGATAGATCGACAAATATAAATGGGAACATACATACATACATACCTGCTTACTTCTTGTTATTCCAACACATTGACTCACTGGAGAAACGAAAACTACTCTGAGGCTATGTCGATTTGGATGCGTATGCAAAAAACACGTAATCCAATTAAGGTTCACCGCCTTAAATGATTTTGAAGTGCATCCATTGATGTTGTTTCTTGGCTCGAGAATGATCGCCGTAGAGAAAGAGTTAAGCAGCTAAAAAAAAACAAACCAAACAAAACAAAACTTACATTTGTATTATAAGTGCAACATATGTATATGTATACTTTCACTTCTCTTTCTCTGCTGACTTTTCTCTCTTCATCCGTTGTGTTGGTGTATTGGTGCATTTGCGCAGATTATTTTTTCCCATTCAAAAGCAGAAACAAAAAAACATGTTTGTAATAAAAAACAATCTAAGCATTCAAATGTAGAACTATTTTTTTTGCATTATTTTGAAATGTTTTATTGTTTTTTTTTTCTGTTTCTATAAAAACAACTAATTGAATTGTTATTTCAATTGTGGACATGCCGCCGCTCTCTCAGTGAGATCATAGACGCCATAATGTCTTCATTTTTGTATCTGATATCAAATAATGTTTCAAACACGATTAACTCTTTGAGGGAGAGATTGGACGGAAAAATACCGACCATAAAAATAAATAAAAATAAATATATTTAGATTAGTATAATTTTTCCAACATTTAACAATATATTTTAAGAACAATGAAATTCTAAAAAAAAACAGTTTAAAAAATTAAAAAAGGTTTGAAGAATAAAAAAATGGTTTAAAAAAAAAGAAGAAAAAACCTAATATCCTAACTCTATCCTTAAAATATAGGGTTCTCTCTGTATATAGTCAACTTCTACAAAAGGGCTTAACAAAAATTGGCCTACGAACCGGAAACTACTTTGGGATTTTGATCTACAAACCGATTTGATAGTATCCACTTGGAATTTTCCTCAGTAATTAAGACATTAGGGGCCAAACGTAAAATTTATAGCATTTTCTGACAGGACGACTACTTTTGTGCCACCTTATACTTAAAATCAATGGTCTCCAAGGAATCTTAAGCCGAAAATTTCAAAAAAAAAAAAAAAAAAAAAATGGAAGGGGAAAAGGAAATTTGCCCCCGTCTATTTAGATTACTTTGCAGTGTAAAATATCAAACTCTTTTTGTTGACATTCGTCACTGGTATCGATATCTACATAGCAGAGGTCCATGTCTCTCAAGGTTAGGTTTCTGCTACAGAATCCCAGGGCTGACTGCAAAAGATTTTTTCAAGCTCAATTTTTTCGACTTTTACTTTAACACGGTATGTTCGAATAATTTGAAGTTAGAATCAAAATTTGTATCGACGGGATCGTCCTTAATGTGATTTCCTCGATGCATTTAAAGTCAGGAGTATATTTTACTCCTTTTGAAGCTTCCTAGAGAGTAAGGGGATTTTTCAGGTAATCCTTAAGAGCACTCTGCCTTATTGCTTCTTGGATTCATTCTTTGTTTACGTTTTTGTTCCAGTGATAGATAGGGTGCGATATGGGACCATAATTTTAACTATGAAAGCCGCTGATGTTTTTGTTTGTAACATTGGGAAGTAAGCAAGATAGACCCATAGTTACTTTTGAGGATCTTCATAGAATCACTTTCTGAGTCGATTTATATTTTGTGAACAAAATGCAGGTCGCATTTTTTATCCGATTGAGATGAAATTTTCCGAACAATATTTGTTTGGCACAAGGACGAACCCTGTTGAAATTGGCGATAATCGGATCAGATTTGGATATAGCTCCCATATATATCTTTATCCGATTTCAGGTTAATTGTGCACCAAATGGCCAATATAAGCCCAAATGACCTGAATTTTGGCACATCTAACCGAATTAAGTCTAGAAGCAAGTACATAAAATTTGGTGAAAATCGGTTCAGATATAGCTATAGCTCCCATATATATGTTTCATTCGATTTGATATTTAAGTCATTCATATTCGTAATTTACGTTCGACAACAATGATATTTGGTACCAGATATCAGATACAGCCCAAAAATACCTCTCCCAAATTTTATCAAGATCGGTTCATATTTGGATAAAGCTCCTGTATATATCTTCAACCGATTTCGGGTTAATTGTACTCCAAATGGCCAATATCAGTCCGAAAGTTTTGAATTTTGGTACATCCGACCGAATTCAGTCTAGAAGCAAGTCTATCGAATTCGAAGAAATTCGGTTCATATATAGCTATAGCTATAACTCCCATATATATGTTTCATCCGATTTAGTGTTTAAGTCTCCCACATTCGTAATATGCATTCGACAACAATGATATTTGGTACCAGATATCTTTTAGGAGCTCTGAAATACCTTTGCCAAATTTTAACGAGATCGGCTAAGATTTGGATGTAGCTCCCACATATATCCTTAATCCGACTTCAGGTTTATTGTGCAAATTATGACTAACATCAGCCCAAATGGAGTGAATTTCGAAACTATAACTGCTCTAAAGTCAAATGTTTAGAGGTGGTATGACCTCCTTCAGATAAATTCTTTTGTTACGGAACCTCTACTTAATATGCAAAGTCCTATAGGGTATCATATAGTCGGCCCCATCCGACTTTTGACTTTTCCTTAGTGGTTTCTTATTTCTAGTTTATTAACTCATAGCCCTGTAAGGGATTTGACAACTCCCTCTCAAACTATAAATCAGAAGTATTATTGGCCTGATTCACACTTGGCAGGTTTGCAGGAGAGAGGTGTATGCTCCCATTCCCAAAAAGATTTAAAAACTAAAGATGAGAGTACATAAGCTGCTTGCCATTATGGCTAGGCATATTTATGTAAAATTATAAGGGGAAACGACGGTAGGATTCGATTGCGGCTCTAAGATGTGTCACAAAATATGCAATGTGAAGACTTCAAGCTGCTTATGTACCTACACCTTACAATTTCCTAATATCAATTGGTTCTTTTTTATTCCTCGTACATACGTTTACTCAGCCATACATACATTAGAGTGACGTGGCTTATAGATTCCGTCATTGTCTTATTGGTATTAGGAGTTCTTAGGAAGATTCCATTAATTTTGGAAAATTGTTTGAAAAACAAAAGAACCATTGAAAAACTCTCAAAATTTATTTTGTCTATTTCTTAATCCCCTTTCCTATCCCTTAAACCATCACGATTACCTGTTGCTTTCAACTACCTAACTTGACATTTTTCGCTCTCTGTTTTAGTCACCCAAGGAAATTCTCTTTGGGTTGACAGTGGGTTAAAAACGTCATTTGTTTATGATGGGGGACTCCACCAAAATGAGATACAAATATCAACCAAAAAAAAAAAAAAAACAAAACAAAACCATAAACAAAAACATTAAAGACCAACAACGTGTAGCTGTGAAATAGATAGATAATATTAAATGTATATATGTATGTATATATATCTACATGTGTTGGTTTGGCCGACTGAGCCTCATCGCACATTATAAATACCGGCTCAATTCAGGTTCTTGCTTCAGTCATATTTCAACTGTGCTGTGAACAAGAAGCGATACAAAAAAACACAACTCTTCAATTGTCAATTAAACTCTCTTTCTCTCTGTGCACGCACGGACAACGGAGTGCTCTCTGCAAGGAAACGGGAAAAACAAAACTCTTGAACAAAGTGCAAAGTGATCATAGATTTTTCTTTTTTTTTTACATTGAGTGTTGAAATACAAAGTGAGTTGTCAACCAAAGGAGCAAAGAGAAAATTCCAAAAAAAAAAAAACTAATTTATTTGCTAAATTATTCAGTTTATCACCCAAAAAAAGAAAAAGAAACTCATATAAAATTATCTTCTTTTCTCTTCAACTGCAGTTTGAAACGGAAGTACCAGAACTTTCGGTTAATTTGAAAGTCATTTCAAAACAAGAAAGCAAGCATTCATAGGGAAAATGAAGCGCTTTACTTTAAGTTTTGTCTTATCGGCATTGCTGGTTGCCAGCAATGTTAGTGGCCAATATTTTGGAAGGTAAGTTCCAATTATGATTTTTGCCTTTTCCTTAACAATGTCATAATACAACTAATTATTTAATTATATGTCATCATTGTATGTCTGCTTTGGAAAGAAACACTTTGCTTGGTAGTCACCAAATTATACCAAACCACTGAGTGACTGACTACTCACCGCCCCTATCCACACCACACATAAATTTAGCAGCACATTAGAAAAAAATTGTACTGCCATATGAATAGAGCTTTTTTTTATAAAAACATGTTACTATAATTATTACAATACTAATCAATTTCGCAAATGGCAAATAGTCCAAAGTAAACGAGTCGCAAGATTTGTGCCAATTATTTTCATTGATTTCTTGTAAACGTTTCTTAACCCATTAAATGGCTTTTACTTTGGCTTTGGAATTGGTTAGCAAGACAAATGCATGCTGAAAAAAATGTGGATGGAGAATCAGCTTACGATCAAAATTGTAATTAATATGTATGCCTAGAGATTTCTAAATTTCAGCTAGTGGAAAATATGGATTAAAAAGGTTAATTTTACTGTCTATAAAAGCCAGAAGAAGAATAACCGATCTTTTATGTCTATAAAAAAACAAAAAGCTATTTTGCACACCTAGAGATCCCTATATTTCAAATACCATGTCATGACACCACTAAAGCGGTAATTTTATTTGCCATATGTGTTAAGGTAACACTTTTAAAGGTGAGAATATATAACACGCTTTCTTGAATAGCTTAAGTCATCGGCTGGCTTCTTCGTAGAGGACCAAAAGAGTTTTAGGTTGACTTCAGGTTCAATTTTGGCCTTACGTTTCATTGTTCTTTTCTGAAGAAGCCAGCTGATGACTTAAAGAAGAGAACACATAAAGGTGAGAATATATAAAGCGCTTTTTGGTTGGAATAAAGGAATTTCAGGTTGACTTCAGGTTCAATTTTGGCCTTATGCTTCTTTGTTCTTCTCCGAAGAAGCCAGTTGATGACTTAAAGATGAGAACACATAAAGGTGGGAATGCATAATGCGCTTATTTGGCTGGCTTAAGTCATCGACTGGCTTCTTCGTAGAGACCCAAAGGAGTTTTAGGCTTCTTAGTTCGTTTGATTTTGGCCCTAGGCTCCTTTGTTCATTTCCGAAGAAGCCAGCCGTTGACTTAAGACAGTTAAATAAGCGTTTTATGGATTCTCACCTTAATACCCTCTACCATACAATCTATGGCTGGTATATTAGGTTTGTTATTTCGTTTTCAATACCTCAACAAATCAATTTTAGACTCTAAAAAATATCCGCATAAAATTCTGTGTCTATTTAGGGCTGCCTGTCTGTCCGTCTGTGGAAATCACTCTAGCTTCCGAATGAAATGAATGAAGTTTGATAAAAAAAAGTACAACTTTATATTTTAGACCCACAGGATTTTTAGCATTGAAAATGAGACATATACAGGGTGAGATAAAAAAACTGCAACAAAGTCAAACGCCATAATTTTTACATTTTTATACCCTCAGCCATATGGCTAGAGAGGGTATATATCGTTTGATACGGCCAAAATGTGTCTCATCGAAACAACGCTTTAGCCTCTAGGTCTCTCAAGACCAAATCCGTTTCAGGACATTTGGAGGCGATGCCCGTCCGGCCACCCGTCTGTCTGTCTGGCTGGTGCGCACGATAATTCTCGATGGGAGTCTCTGATCCAAATTTGGTACATCTTAATATTATTTTCAAACTTAGATCGAGTTCGGAGATGGGCAATGTCGGTCCACTCCTTCTGGGACCCCCACAAAAGGTCGAAATTAAAAAAAGAAATACTTTGCTGCACAGTAAGATAAAGAATAATCCGTTTTTGCTTCAACATTGCAAATCCCAATATTTTTATCAGTGCTAGGTCAGGTGCGAAAATAGAGAAGATCGGTTCACTGCATCAAGTACCTTCCAGGGTCAAAATTTTGAAAAATTACAACGCTTATAAAATGTAATGTAAGAGTCCGATTGTCTTCAAATTTCACACATCCCAATATTTTTATTAGGCCAAGGTCTAGTGTGAAAATGGAACATATCAGATCACTCCTTCTGGTACCTCCCCCACATATGGCCAACGTTTTGAATAACCAAAACGATCATAAAATCCGAAATAAGCATCCGTTTCTCTTTAAATTGCACACACCACAATATTTTTATTAGCCCAAGGTCTGGTGTGAAGATGGGACATATCAGACCATTCCTTTTAGTACCTCCCACACAAAGGGTCAAAATTTCGAATATCCATGGAGCTCATAAAACACGAAATTAACATCCAATTCCATTCAGACTTGGCACATCTCAATACTTTCATAAACACAAGATCTGTTATAAAGATAGTAGAGATCAGAAAATTTTTTCTAGAACCTCCCTCCACAAAGGGTCAACGTTTTGTATAACCAAAACGATCATAAAATTCGAAATAAGCATCCGTCTCTCTTCGAACTGCACACACCACAATATTTTTATTAACCCAAGGTCTGTTGTGAAATTGGGATATATCGGTCCACTACTTGCGGTACTTCCCCCACAAAGGATCAAAATTTTGAATATCCATGAGGCTCATAAAACGCGAAATTAACACCCGATTCCATTTAGACTTGGTAAATCTCAATATTTCGAACAACACAAGAACTGTTATGAAGATGGTAGAGATCGGACCATTTCTTCAGGTTTATTATAACTCTTCGCTATCAAATCTCTCATTTAAAGTGAAGTAAGTAGTCGATATAAAATCCAAATCTGACACGTTTTAATTTTTTTGTCAGACTTATGTCAGATACGAAATAGGAAATATCGCCTCACTTCCTAGGAACCTCTCCTATGAAGGGTCAATAGTTTGAATAATCATAACACAAATAAAAAAAAAACTATTTCAATAACTTGTCGGCAATACCGACTGATTTCATTTAAGTTGTTTTTAAATAAAATAAGGCTTCCCATCTCTGGCCGGTGGTGATTCAGTTTGTTCAAATAGCGATCTATGAGTATCCTCATTATTTGCCATAAATCTTCAGCACATTGCAAATACAATTCAAATAGAAATAAATGTTCAGAATCCATTGCAGTGTGTGATAACACTGCATACGGAATATTATTCTTCCCAACCAAAAAAATAAAAAAAAAATAATAAATTCAAAACCCATCCCAAAACAATGGATTTGTTTCACCCACATATGCATGGACGTGCTTGAAATAACACAGAGAATGCAATGCAATATTTTAGCGGATTAATGTTAAAATTTCTCTGTCAAAAAATGACATTGAAAATTAATGGATAGCAAAAAAGAGCTTAAAAAGAAGAAAAACATTTCTCGCCCAAATTATGAAATGGGTTTTAAGGTGAGATTACAGAGAAAGATTATTTTTTTGGTTTAAGTCCTCTGCTGGCTTTTTCGTAAGCAGCTTGGCATCATAACATGTCATATTATGTGAGATATTACAAAGGAATGTCAGAGCCGCACTCGAATCCTGCCATCGTTTTCCCATTTTAAGGTGATAGAACATAAGGGTGAGAATACCTAAAACGCTTTTTTGAGTGGACGTCCATAATCGAACTAAGTCAACCTAGAACGCCTTTGTTACTCTACGAAGAAACCATCCGATGACTTAAGCCACTCAAAATAGCCATTTATGTACTCTCAATTTAAAAGCTTAGTTCGATTTTGACCCTACGCTCCTTTGTCCTTTTCCGAAGAAGTCAGCCAGACCAATTTAAGGGTGAGAATACATAAAACACTTTTTTCACTGGCTTAAGTCATCCGCTGGCTTCTTCGGAAATAAACAAAGGAGCCTAGGTACAAAATCGAACTAAGTCAACCTAAAACTCCTTTGCTCCTTTGCCAGCCGATGACTTAAACCAGTGAAAGAAGTGTTTTATGTATTCTCACCCTTAAATTGGACTGGCCTTTTCGAAAGGAAACGAAAGGTGTTTTAGGTTGACTTAGGAGGAGAGTACATAAAAGGCTTTTTTTGGTTGGCCTTAGGGCGGAAATACATAAAGCGCATATTTGGCTGGCTTAAGTCATCAATCAGTCAATTGAAGCTAATCGGTCAAAATTTAGATATGGCTCCCATATATATTTCCCTGAATATCGTCCGATTTGCTTTTTATTGTGCACCAAATGGCCAAGATCAGTCAAAATAGTGTAGAATTTTGCACATACGACCTGATTGAGCCTGAAAATAAGTGCGCCAAATTTGATCGAAATCGGTTCAGATATAGCTATAGCTCCCATACATATTGTTCATCCGATTTGTTATTTTTGTCCTCCGCAGCCGTAATATGCACTCTATGACAATGATATTTGGGGAAATGCATCAAATACAGCTCAGAAATACCTTTGCCAAATTTTATCGAGATCGGTTCAGATTTGGTTATAGCTCCCATATATATCTTCGTCCGATTTGCCTTTTATTGTGCATCAAGCGTGTAATATAGGTCCAAATGGAATGGAATTTGGCATTCACGATTGAATTCAGCCTAGAAACAAGTATGCCAAATTTGGTGGAAATCGGTTCAGATATAGCTATAGCTCTCATATATATTGTTCATCCGATTTGTTATTTTTGTCCTCCGCAGCCGTAATATGCACTCTATGACAATGATATTTGGGGAAATGCATCAAATACAGCTCAGAAATACCTTTGCAAATTTTATCGAGATCGGTTCAGATTTGGTTATAGCTCCCATATATATCTTCGTCCGATTTGCCTTTTATTGTGCATCAAGCGTGTAATATTGGTTCAAATGGAATGGAATTTGGCACTCACGAACTAATTGAGTCTAGAAACCAGTATGCCAAATTTGGTGGAAATCGGTTCAGGTATAGCTATAGCTCCCATATATATTGTTCATCCGATTTCTTATTTTTGTCCTCCGCAGCCGTAATATGTATTCTGTGACAACGATATTTGAGGAAATGCATCAAATACAGCTCAGAAATACCGATTTCAAGTTGAATGTGGACCAAATGGATAATACAAGGCCGAATTGAAAA